CGGTTATATATTATAAATATTTATGACCTAGGAATATGCATAAATAAGAAACTGCAAATAATGTTAGGTACCTGCCTGGATTACTACCTGTCACATCCTGTTGATTTCTACTGTTCAAGGTTATTTTTTCGCCTTGACCTAGTTAGTAGACAATCAAATACTAGATGAATTAACTATTCTGAACACTACCCCGATAAGAAAGATGGACGAGTTAAGAAGATTGGCAACCCTTTCTACGAATGATAACCATTATTCGATAGTAAATACACAGACTACTACATGCATGTCAACTTACTTAGTTGGACCCAAGATCCAGGTTGGAATTGTGTTGTTCTAGAAGAAAAGAGTGGAAGTCATGGAAGCGCAGGGGTTGCTCCGCTTTTGGCAGCTTGGACGGCAGAGCTTCGAGAATGTTTTCATTCGTATGGTCGAATAAATTGATGTCATTGTTGGTAATGCCTGCGAAATGAAGGTGCCGCTAGCAAGGCGCGGGAGATTCCCATGCCACGGATCAAGCAACGATCCATTGCCTTGAACTACCTAGGTCTACATAGTAAGGGGGACCATGTCCGGATAAGGCGCTCGGCCGAAGGGATAAAACATAATCAGATCGAAAGATTGTCATAACTAATCGTTGAAATAAGCAGGGGGAGAAATGTAACTCGCCGTAGTAATTATGCCGTGGCTAGTATAGGTAGTGTAGTGTAGCTAGACGTTCGCAGCGTCGTTGCATGTTCCTGTCCACGCAATGTTGAACGGGGATAGTTTCCAAAGAGAAAAGATCCTTTCAATGTTGGCGTGCCCGGGTCCAACGCTTTTCTTCCGCTTCTCGAAATCTTCCAGAATCTTGCTGTGTTGGGGTTAGGGCCAATTTCCAGCCTGTTTGGAAACCTCATGCGCCGGGGTGCATTGGTTGATGGAACCCATGCCTTTCCCCACAGCTATCCAGCCATCCATACCGTACCATACCGTACGTGCGGTGGCAGAGGCCACTCGAGAGGATACACTGTCGAAAACGTGGTTATGTATCATTTCGTGTCCTACTCTTACTGAGCAGCTGAAGATAAGCGTGATCACACGAGGCTATAAGCTGCGGACAGCTGCGTTGTTCTCAGCTGGTAATGCTGATAGGAATGCTACGCTAATACGACTAGAATTTTTTTCTTCTCCATGATCTCGGGTTGATTTGGAAACTGGAATACTGTATGGGATAGAGTGCGAGAAGGGGTGTTACTGCCTAGATGTCCTGGATCTTCCCGGCATTATCTGCGTCTTCCCGTCGTGAGAAAAGTGACGTGTTAAGTTGGAGATTCATCTCATTTGGCGACGTCGATAGGTATTCAACTGTTAGAATCAAAAGTAAAAATTCGATATCTGAATTATAACTTATGAGCTATCTAATACAGAAGGGGGTCGTCCTTTTTTTCTCTGTGCTTTAGGTAGTCTATGCTCTGTTCTGATTGGACATGGCGGTAAAAACACTTCAGAAAAAGGAATAATACGTCCCTCTCACACTCGGGGAAGTAGAGAGTAGTGTGGGTGTGATGTGATATGTATGCCTCCTTTACGGTACGTACTCACTTCGTACACGGATCCCCCACCGGGTTACATGTATCGTTGTTTAGTACTTCGTATATTTTATTGGTTCATTCCACTGGCACAAGAACAAGAGGTAGAGTACCCAGGCAGTTAACCTACCTTAGTAAGTAAAGAGGCAACCTATGTAAAGTAAGTAGAGGTATTCCGTAATGAGAAAGAAAATAGTCAAACATTCAAAATCCAGGCATTTGGTGTTGCTATTGCATAATAGCCCATAATAGGTAGCCCAAACTAGTCCGTTTTTATTTATCATCAGATTACCATGATGGAGTTAAGCCTGGATATGCAATTTTGATTCTACCTGGTATTCTTTACGGTCACTGAGCGGAATGCACCCCCGTGGCTAGTGGCTAGTCCCTATTTATGGAAACGATGAACCCCCATGCTGCCATGGAAGCCGAGGAAGCAGATAAGTACATCTTATTTACAAGGATACTTCTCTCTTCTTATTAATTCCTACCTTCTTACCATGTCTTCGGTACGCGCCAATCCGACATCCTCCCTTGGATGGCTCTTGGATTAACTTGAGCTGCTTGCTGAGTCTGTGAGTCTAGGCAGTTCCGACGGCAAATGACTGGTAACTGGTAACTGGTAGCTGGTATTTTCATTGCTCAGTATTCGTCACCCTACCAAGATTTATCACCAGCTCTCCGAGATACTTTAATCCCGATGCCGAATGCGCTGGTATTGCACAGCGTATGTGTGTATGTACTACCCCATGGTTTATATACCTAGACCTAGACCTAGACCTCCTAGACCTAGGTCAAGTATAGTGTAATGTAGACCTGTATGATGTATATCATATGCATGTATGTATGTATCTTATGCGTCGTGTTAATTACCGTTATATGGATATTGCCCACATGAAAAAAGCCCCGTCTGTCTCATTCCCCGTGGATTTCAACGTTCGTACATAAAACTTGACCCTTAATGGTGTTTCACTAAGGTTGTTGCAATCAAGTGATTATGTACAATGGCACGTCTGGGGGAGATCATGGCAATATCGCGGATGGTATGAGCGGGTCCCGTTATACATGGTATGGGTCTTTTGCTGGGATCATAGTTGTGCCTGGTGCCAAGGTAAGCAGTGTTCAGACCGGTTCCTCTTCCTGGGTCCTGGGCTGGGGCAGTTCTGGCAGTCTGGGTACATGATCGAATTATGCGTTTGATATCTACAAACTATAGTGCCTGTCCATAATAGCCCATAGTACTGGTACGCAAATAGTTCAGATATCGATCTGTGTAATAAGAACAAGAGAGAAGAATATATAGAATAGAGAATTAGCCTCGATGTATCTTGATATAGGTACGTATAACTACGTATTTAGAAAGTTGAATGAATACTGCTGAATCGGGACGATCCGAAAAGCCCCGACAGTTTTTTTCTCTTCTCTTTTTTCTTTTTTCGCTTTAACCTACAGGGGTCAAGCTTCTAGAAAACAAATTCAATACTGAAAATAGTTTAGCGGGTGTAAAATAATGCTTAGACTGTTTTACTTTATCGATACCTTAGCGGCATTGTACGCGCATGTACATATGCTACTTTGATACCCGTGTGGCTGTAGCCCTATTAAAATGTGGTTTCATTGGACCTTTACGGAAATGAACAGGGGTCAAAAAAAAAAGAGGTAGGAAAAGGAGAAAAGAATATTTGATATAATATCTATGAGAATCGTATTTACCTACGTATATGTTTTTTCTTTTATTTTTTTACTTCAACACCTGTACATACCTATAGACGCGACTGAGCTGTAAGGGTTGCTGCACTTCTGCCTGGATTACCTACCTATATAGGTGTATACGTACCTCCCTATGTAAGTTTCTTCGTGCAGTGTTTTTGTTTCCTTCATGTTACACTAGAGATAGATACATGCACTTACCTGAGGTACCCACGGCAACATTTACCTTACCTGCGCATTGTGGCCCCTGCTCCCGTTCCTTACCACCTTTACAGTGTGCACTTACCAACCTTTACCAACCTTAATAGTACCAACGCGCACGCACTATTTTACCTGCCCACCGCCAAATTTATATCAAATGTACCAAGACGTAAGTATCTACCTAAGTATCCAAGTATCCAAGTACTAAAGTACTATCTCCCTCGACAAGCTTACCTAAAATAACCATCGATTTGGTCATTTCATCACTTCCATTATTTTTCCTTCCCTCGCCGTCACACATCCTTTTTCTAAATTCCTTCGTCAACCATTTTTACTCTGAGCCGGCCGTCTGGATATTAATCGCCATAAGCAGCGGCGCTCTTGTTCCTCTTACGTTGTCTACCGTTAAACTTGGAAGAGCCCGAATAATTCCTCGAGGTACGTTAGGATCACAAGCTGCCCCATTCCCTCCCGCCTTAGTCGCCTAGCTCCGGATCTACCACGCGCTTTCTTTTGTTGCAGAGAAATACCACCTTCGGTTTGCACGATGTGCTTCCGTAGTTGCTATACAATCTGACCACTTCCCTCATGTCTTTGTCACGCGTCGCATTCAAGCGGCGGTTTGCTTTAACCGATCTGATATCTATGAGCTCGAGGTATCTTGCACTACAGAAGTCTTCGGTGCTACCGTAGCTCTGTCGGCAAGGTTCAAGTCAACAACAAACATCATTTTGCATCCCGCATGTGCTACGAACGCTACGAACGCTACCAAGCTGTTCTTGGTTAATAGCAGGGCTATAGCATGCATACTTTTCCAGAGTGCTGACTCGATTAGGCTTGTTCAGGATTACGAACCTTTCGCCCCATACTACTCTAATAAACGCGAAATCGTGACTGGACTACCATATACATCAGTCGACTGTTTCATCACGTCCTCACGAATTTAGCTCCACGCCATACGCCCGCGATACTACTACCCCGCCTTCGTCATCTCCCCTAATAATCAAAAGGGGACCATTTCTCTAGAGATTGTTCCTTGTGCTGCTGTGCAGACTCTCCTGAAGATCCGAGAGGAAGATTTAGGCGCACCGAGTTGCCTGGCCGTAAATAGTCAAACTGAATCTGTGCGCAATCTCTATCGAGGCAACCCGTTCACGTACCGCTCGGGTGTTAGATTGGACTCGTCAAAGTCAAAGCTGACGCGTATCAAGTCCAACGATCCGGAACCCTCTTACCATTGGCAACAAAGGCGATAATTTGTGTCTTGTTGACTTGTACGGACTAGGATACTTGGATTATACAACACCTTTATCGAACTTAGTGTATTTGGATTTGGAATTCGTTTGAAACTGTCTAAAAGAGAAAGAATCTATCCCTCTATAGCACGCGCAGCACGGTGAAGAGGCGATAGCCCTATCGAGATTCGAGTACGTTGGAAAACGTCATTCGGTTAACTTGGATCTTCGTTCTGGCCACACTATGTCCAAATCGCCGTCGTCAGAAGTGATGAACATCACAAATATGTTGGACAAGAAGAATGCGGCGGCAGTTGCAGCAGCGGCAGCAGCAGGATCAGGTCACTCACCACAACACCAACTTCTTCCCCATCCACAGCTGACTCCGATCGGCATGGATCGTGCGAACTCACCGCACGGATCCGAGAGCTCCTACCACTCTGGCCCCCGCCCTGGCCAGCAATTAGATGCGCTGAATGGGATGAGCAATGGTCGGCCCTATGGTTCCCCCACCCCAATGCATGCAACGATGGCCCTGTCCGACCCTAGTATGCCTCCTACTATGATGATTCCTGGCATGCCGCAGCTCTCCCATGCGCTCTCTATGCCCTACAACAAGCCTCCTGAGCAGTCCCAGCAGCCACAACCTCAACATAAGGCATATCCATGCAGCACGTGTCAAAAAGCCTTCGCGCGGCGTAGTGATTTGGCTAGGCACGGTAAGTTGTCCTTCTGTAAAATCGGTAAAAAGAGACGACCCTAATGTGTCTTAGAACGTATCCATAGTGGTATTCGTCCGCATGTCTGTGACTATGAAGGATGCGGGAAACAGTTTATTCAACGATCAGCTTTGACGGTGCACCAACGAGTTCATACCGGCGAGAAACCCCACATGTGTGAACGATGTGGCAAGGTATTAATTATCCCCATTTTCACGCAGCAGAATACGTACTGACCCGAAATCTTCAGCCATTCAGTGACAGTAGCTCATTAGCCCGACACAGGCGCATTCACTCGGGTAAACGGCCGTATAAGTGCCCTTATGCTAACTGTCAAAAGACGTTCACTCGAAGAACTACGTTGACCCGGCACCAAAACGCTCATTCTGGTACAGTTGAAGAGGCAGCGGCAGCCACAGCCAATGCTCTAGCAGCACAGGCTAGCAGAAACGCAGCTCGCGTGGCTCATAGTGATGGCGACCCTGGATCAAACCACGGTTCACCACTGAACACACCCTCGCCAGGCCAGAGACATATGTCTATCTCGCCTGGTGCTGAGCTTGCTGCTGCTAATGCGATGCGCAACAACGACTATTCATACGTGGGCAATGGTTCACTTCCGGTGCACATCCGTACCGATATGCAGTCTCAGAGTCCTACTTCAGCCCCGGGCTACCCTGCAGGCATGCGACCTACTTCTCACCCAACGGTGTATCCGCCACCCCCTACTCTAGAACCCAGTATAGAATCGCATCAGTCAGGTACCGGTAGTACAGGTGGAAGTCCTCATATGGGTAGCGTCGGATGGCAATCGCCTTCGCACATGGCTTCACCCACCCACAGCAACAATGGCAATAGCTACGTGTATCCCGATCCGGATCAACCATTTCTGGGCAGCAACAACCTGGGCCAGATGTACTACAATTCGAGCGTCCAAATCCGACGGCCAACAAGCACGGAGCCCAGTTCGGCAGGATACGACGTCAAGCCACGTCCTAACGAGCTGTGGGCTGGTCAGTAGGATGACTTCCAAAGTGGCGTAGGATGGCGTTACGATGAGATCGCGTACGCCTACGAATATGATCTTGCATAGATCTCCTTTGTTTCTTGCATCTTCCCTTTGTGTTATGGACGGCTAAATACCCAACGGCACGGCAGGTTTGATTATTCGCGACATGCGTTTGAGATGGCAAGTGGCGTTTGTTTCTTTTCTTTTGTCTTGTTTTCAGGCTTCAGATCAGGAATCCCCACTACGAGGCAGTTTTCGACTCAGTCTAGAGACGTACGCCCTCGCATTAATCGGCCGGGGCATAGACCGCCGGTGCCACTAGTGGAACTTAATAATATCACGGGCCGATACTTCCATCTCACTTGATAGATTCAGCTGAGATGGGGGATGGTCTGTTGGGACTTCGCTTCTTCCTGCCGATTCGAAATAGACTGGTCGGCCTGGCGGTCTTCACGATACTACGCATAAATCGGCATAGGCGGAAAGGAAGGAAGTTGGGGATAAGGATCGGAAAAGATTTGGTCAAGGGACTCTGGAGTAATTGTTTGCTCTTGTAGTGGGTGGTAAATATGTAAAGAAAGACAGGAATCTGCTTGGTGCGACGGATTTCGCTTTAGAAAAGCACAAGTGTACAGTGCGATGGTATGTCGATAAAAAGACTAGTCGCCGTTATTAAGCATCAAGAATGAAATGAAGATTTCGGCAGCGCTTTAAATAGAGAGCATAAGCCTCCTTTGACGCATCGTATGCTTGGAGGTAGTTTACCTCATGGGGTAGTTATACTATATATCGTTTGTTGGTGGCTATGGTTCAAGCTATACGTACTAGACAAATAGTTAATCGATGATACGTATAGGGTTGTAATGGAATTATACATCAATCATAGTTACTCAAGGTTGCCCAGGTGGATGCGCGACTACATAAGATCGAGCACCATACAAATCTTCTCTGTCGTATACTACTCCATGAACGTCGATCCTCGAGGCCGTTTAACACATCTGCCGCACGTGGGTTTTCTTGGCGCAGTACCGTAGTAAGAAAATAAATTCAAAAAGAGAGGATTTGTCCTTTCTCGTACGATTGTGACGAAATTGGCACCGCCGGCTGAGGGCGGTGATGGGCGTGACGGGATCCGGGGGTTTACATAGTGCCCGGGGGCCGGGGGGGAAGCTTTTGGCGATTTTTTGATTTGTGATCATATTTCATATGTATGGGGTAGCTGCATAATATGTAATCCCTCCCCCCTTTTTTTGTTAGAGCTCGGCTCGTTGGTCTACTCTGCATCTGATTTATTGATTATGTGATCTTTAAACTCCCACGAAAAGAAAATTTTGCTGAATTGCTGCTGCTTGATGCGGGAGACGGCGTTTTCTTTCTTCATGCATGTTGGATACATTATTTATTTCTCTGCCTTGCGGTGTCGACTATTCCGCGAAGATGGAAATCCCCAAGGATGTGGTGAAGTCATTGATTGGGCTTCTGCCCCTATTACAACTTTTTTATTTTTTCTCAAAGCGAGACTTCGACCATTCGAAATTCGAGTCCCTTGCTCCTCCTTTCCAGCGGTGGTCCGAGGAGGGAATATCACGTATAGGAACTAGGGGCCTGTCTACAACTCTTCTAGGAGTTCTGCCCTTAGCCTCTGAGATTATTAACGTCGCCCAAGTCCTTGGAATATGGCGAGCATACGAGACTTGCTGTTGCCTGTCGACAACAAGGATGACACAAAGGTGGTAGTGAAAAAGGAGGACGAAGCCGCCGGGAAGACCGATATTATACCCACCGAGACGACGCGGTTCCTTGTGGAATTCATCTTGGATGTGATCTGTCCTTATTGTTACATCGGGTTTAAAAATCTAAAGACTGCTATCGAGACTTATAAAGCCCGTCATCCAAATACAAATTTCGAGATAGTCTGTACTCCATTTCTGCTTCACCCTTTAGCAGCTCGTAGTGGTAAGTAGTACGTTCAACTTTCCAAGTCTCGAACATAGAAAAAAGTATAAAGTTTTGTATACTCCGATGTCGACTGACGGTTGTATACAATACGTCTGTCTAATCTTCCACACATCATGCAACAACTCAACAGATGCTAGAGGGAGGGAGGGAGGAAAAGGAGATATATTCGTTTGACCTTGAACCAAGACACACCCCGGGAAGCCCGTGATCACTAAAATATCGACTACCTAACCAGCTAGCTAACCTAGTCTTACCATAGCATACGATAAATCCGACTACCTAATCGCAGGTACCCGAGGCCCCGCGTATTGGGTCGGCCCCGGAGAGGCAGCCGGTATAAACTTCACCTGGGCCGGGCGCACGGGAAGCACCCGGGACGCGCACAAACTCCTCCGTTTCGCGCTGGAGAGCGCGCCTACAACGACCCGCGGAGCAGCACACAATAGACGGGGGACATCAGCGCCACCATCACCACCGTCATCATCACACGCCGGCACTCGCTGCTCACCAGCATCATCACCGTCCGCCACGAACGGCAACAACAACAACACTCCAGCCCGGGGCCCAGCCCTGCAGCTCCGCCTCCTAGAAGCGCTTTTCCACGCGCACCACGAATCCGACGGCGATATATCGGACCCCTCGTTTCTCGCCGAGACCGCGTCTGCCGCGACGGGATTCGCGACTGCCCAGATGCGTGCCGTTATCGAGGACGCGGGCGAAGTGTGGGGCCGCGCGGTGAGTGCTTTGGTCGCGGAGGTGTCGTCGCCGCGGGGGCTCGCGGTGCGTGCCGTGCCTACGTTTGTGGTCAATGATCATTATGTGATTGGCGGGGTGCAGAGCGTGGGGTTTCTGGTCGATGAGTTTGAGAGGATACGGAGGGGCGGAGGGAGGTAGGTAGAAGGGTACTTAGGGGTCACCACCTCTCCTCTTAGCCCTTTCCACCCTCGAATTAAGGGGAGTCAGTCCGAGACCGCCTAACCTCGAAGTTCAACTAGTCGAAAATAGCTGCAGTTGGAAGTTTGTAAACGGTATTTAGGAAAATGAGATATATTTGGATGTGGCGTTAAAAAGAGTAGCTAGTCGTCCAGGGCCTAAGAGCACGGCGATCTACCTATAGGTATTCCTAACATTGATGAATATAGTCGAAGTCTAACTCTGACACTATGTGTCTATAATGTCTCTTGTTTTCCCTTTTACAGCTCTCCTATTATCGCTATTCTAATAGCAGAAGCATGTGGACTGTACCTTGAATATATAATCTCTGTAGTTCCCACCCAGAAACCTAGGTCTAGTTCGTTCGCATAGAATTATCAGTCGGTGACATAATTGTTATTAGGTAGTATACTATATTTGACCATCTTGGAAGATCTAGACTTCTCTTGACATAAAAGTAAGAGGACCTTAGAGGCTCTACGGTATGTGTAGTAGGAAGACTATTCGCATTATGATAGCCTAGTCGACTACTCCGCAGCCTCATGCCGTCAATTACCGGTACACGATGCCGACCAGACACTCAAAAGTCCCGCTATGGGGAAGGATAATGGGTTATTTGCGGACGTTACATGTATCAACTCAAGGCCAAGGCTAAAGGTTAAAATGAATAATAAATTACTGGATATCAGAAATTGAACTTTATTACAATGCTGTCTCTAAATTTTCCTCGAATAATATCTCAATATTAGCTCGAAACGACTTAACGGCCTTGATATAACTTACCCTTTATTTATCCTCTGATAAAGGTGAGCTGATAGAATATTGGCATTATATGAAATTCCAAACCCCTTCTCGTGTGTAGGGATCTAAGGTATCATCCTCCAAACTCTGGGCATAGAATCTGGGGATACGATGTGACGGTGGATCCGGAACGAGTCCGAAACTAGGACTTCATCCGGGAAACACCTTGTCTACCCAAATGGGATTATTTCTCGACAAGTTAGAAAACTAAACTCTAGGAATATAAGAGTGCTTAGCCTCTCAACCATGAGGTTCGATAGATAGACGATCAACTAACCCCTTACAAGCAAGAAAAGGCTCGAAAAAACATTCATCAAAGATCAAGGATTATGCTCACCAAGTCTCTCCTCTTCGCGGCGCTCCTCAAGGCCGCCGCCGCGACGCCGGTCAATCTTGACAAGCGACAAACCGCTTGCGAGGACATACATTTTTTTATAGCACGGGGATCAACCGAACCATATCCAGGCGCCCAAAAGGACGTCGTTAACAGAGTATGCGAAGGCTTGTCGAGCTGCGGATATGAAGATATCATATATCCCGCCACGTTTGAAGACTATTGCAACTCGGCATATGCAGGAGTCACCAATGGTACTGCACAGATCACAGCGTATGCCGAAAGCTGCCCTGAGGCGAAGTTGGTTGTGACTGGCTATTCCCAGGGAGGGCACGTCGTAGGCGACATACTTGGAGGCGGCGGGGGTCCTTTCCAAGACTGCACGCAGAAAGCGAATACGCCTCTATCACCTGAAACCTCGCCGGGTAATCAGAGTACGCAACCTCACATGCCTAAATTTCGACGGCGTATACTAAACTAGGTTTACTAGTCGTCGCGGTAACTTTCTTTGGCGACGTGCGTCACACAGCGTCTCAGACTTACAATGTGGGAACAGGTGCTGCCGGTAATGGAGTAAGTCGTCTACAAGCGAAAACGCAGAATTATATCTTATAGTTACCTACTAACAGGTAGCCACTTAGATTTGGCCGAGATCAGAGTCAGATCTTGAATCTTTGAACAGGTTTTCAGAGGTAATGCGCTCATGGTGTTTCGTAGATGATCCTGTCTGCGGTGGTGCCGATGGCTCGGATATCAGTGCGCATATTGCGTATTTTAATCAGTCTACTCCCGAAGCTGCGGCGTGGGTGAAAACTAAACTCATTTAGGTATGTATTCTAAAGATAGGTACCTTAGGTAGTGGAATATAGTCGATGTTATTATAAAGAGGACCGGTTTGGAGGTATGAATATGAATGAGATGACAAAATGTTGTATTGCTGAAGTGTTAGTGGGGTTGTTTTTGTAAGTGCGTGCCTGAATTATTTGAATGAGCATCGAGAATTGCATAAATGGCGATAAAGAGCTAGTGTCGGTACTTGTCGTATCGTAAGTGGAAAGTTAGGTGCCTTACGAGGTACGAGGTACCCGACAAATACGTATAGTAGGTACGCGTGGCTTAGCGGTGCCTGCCTTATTTGCAGCTATAGTGTAACGCGGGGCAAATGAAGCTTTTAACTAGGTACCTAGGTACCTAAGTTTACCTGAGACAAGGTAAAAGTATCTGAAGTATCTTACGTAGACCTAATGCTTCTTCCATTTACTATAACTACTTCCTAATCTTCCATAGCTCGACAATAAATCGACAATCTTAGGCAACGCCTTTTACTTATTCATTAGGTACCTTATTACTTACTACCCGACGGTTGCAAACACCCTTTTGGACACACTCTCATATCTATCTGCTCGACGAATCACAGCCTAACCCGCATACTGCTCGCCCACCATGACCACCTACGAAGGTAACTTTTACCCAGTATGGATGGCCAAATGCAAGTCAGCTAAACTAACAATCAACCCACACAGTCGAGCATAATATTAAGGCTGAGGAATATCGGCCCCGTCGGCGGCGCCCGGACATGTCGAGCTTCACCTCGCATTTACATCAGATATCTCCGGACGCGGCGACAAATAATGCACGAAGCCAACGGGAACGAACAGGTCCTACACCCGTGGACACAGCGGCGCTATTCCACCTCTTGCTGGACCAACTTCAGACGCTAGCTACGGACGCCCCGACGGAAGAGAACCGAGACTTTCTCGGGTCCCTGATGTCGGCATTAGAGGACGACATTAGGGCGCCGCCCAAGAAGATCCCCGGAGTGACCCAAGAGTACCTCGACACGTTAGACCGAGTGCCGCGGAAGAGCCTCAAGAAAGACGAGAGCTGCCCCATCTGCGCCGAGCTCTTCGTCGACGATCCTTACCCCTTGGTGGTTGAACTGCCGTGCCATGGGAATCACAAGTTCGATCTAGAGTGTGTTGGGCCGTGGCTACAGAGCAAGGGCACATGTCCTATGTGTAGAGCAGACTTGAACAAGAAGAAGGTCATCGAAATCCCGAAGGATAACGAGGAAGAAGAAGAAGACGATGTTGATGGGTTGTACGGCTAAGCGTTGTAGGCGGGAGTTTTATAGGGGCGAATGGACACGGAGTTTGTGATGATACCCCTTGAAAATTCAATTACAAGCTCTCTATGAGTAACACTGAGAGGTATGGCAAATAGTGTGAAGTTGATATAATTGCAATAGATGTCCACCAGCGACTATAGCCAGCCGCCAAACTCCTTATCTCGAATGCGAATTTGGTGGGAAATGTGTTGGCAAGCTTCCGTCTTTTTTCCCGGGCTTTTCGTCTTTCCCGGGCTTTTCTTCTCTATCAAGCCATGAATACTCATTAGGTCTGCCCTTCTTGGGCGCATCGCCACCGCGGCTTGCCTCCGTTTTCTGCGTCTTCTCCTCCGCCTTGTCTGACTCGCCGCGACTACCTTCGGCATAATCTTTGTTCGCGGGACTACTTTCTAAGGCGTTGCCGTCGTTGCTCTCAGCGCCCGCGGCCTCCACCTCTGTTTCGGGATCCGTCTTGTTCGGGTTGTATGCGGCGTCTTGCTTATCAGCGATCTCCCCGTTTGTGCCGCCCGTCGTGTACTCGTGCGTCCTGGGCTTGAGGGACTCGCGGTCCATGTCATCTTTATAAGGCATACGTAGTGCTGATGATTGATGCATCTGTCTGCTCGCGACTAGACGGTTCGTGGTTGACATGAGAGGAGCTCCCGACCGAGCTCGTAGAGCTGCGCGCATGGTTGTGAAGCTCGACATTGTTTCAACGGGTCGAGTATTAATCCAGGACGAAGTCCGGTGTTTTATGTTACTGTGATAAAAAAATTATTATGAGAAATTGATGAATTTACTCAGTTGCACTTATAATTCTGACGGTTCTACTTCGTATATAACGTAGAGTTTAGATAATCATTATAGTGACGTCACCGAATCGATCAAATGCACCGGGGCATCGCAGATCGGTGCTTCCCTCTTTCCCTCTGGGATGGAAGCTCCACCATATCGGATTCGCAATTCTGCCCATCTTATTAATTCTTATTAATATTGGGTACTGCGAACTTTACAACCTTTTCTCCCATCTATAGCATAGGATGTAATGCACTACCTACTCTATGGATCTGCATAAAGAAGAAAGCCCTTTCGGATGACCGATATGTCTTTCCATTGATGATTTTAAGAAAATGGGTATGATACTCACTAGACTTCGTTGGTACTCGTCGCAGATTCGATAGCTGCTGGTTGAGTGTCCCCGCAACCAAGTATATGGCTATCTAGATCCTAATAAATCCTTGAATCAATACTATTCCCTCCTATCAATATCGGCTTGGTTTATTTTATAAATAAAGCGGTATATTGAATTCTCGCGAAGGGTAATATAAAGGTTGAAATGGCTGGTGAATAATCATGATTCGGATTAAGGATAACAATTAACGAGCCAAACACCGAGGACGATTCAAAAATGATTTAATATAGTAAGCGATTCGCATTCCGGGGTATATAGGTGCTAACCATCCAGAATTATCCGCCCCATTCCTTGTAAGGATATTGGTTATTCCCGCTATCGCTTTACGCAACATATCATCCAAATATGTGACAAGAATCAAAGTCCCTTTCCCAACTATAAAGTACCGCTGTTACGTTCGGAAAAGGCACCACGGCTAGGAGACCTTAAACTAACAACGCGGCAACGACGGCAAGACCGGCGGCGATTTTGCCGTCGGCTGTGAAGATGCCCCCCGCCTGCTGCGATACGGTTGTAGTGACGACGGCGGTAGGAGCAGGGGTGACGGGCGCTTCAGTGTTCGAGTCTACGGTGGTAGATGAGCTGCTCGAAGTCTCCTCACTACTAGTATCGCTGGTAGTGTCGCTACTAGTGTCGCTGCTTGTGCTGGACGAGCTTTCGGGATCGACGGTAAAGGTTGCTGTCGCTGTTGTCGTACGGCTAGTAGTGGAAGTAAAGTCATCATCCGCTGTAGAACTGCTGCTAGAGCTCGGGAAGCTGCTGCTATCGTCATCGCAATCGTCGCCAACATCACAGCAATATCCATCACTGGTACACGTGCCGAAATCGGGACAATAATGGAGTCCGTCACCGCAGCATGTCCCAGTCAAGGGCATGCATAGGCCGTTGCACTCAGTCTCACCGATATCACATGAGGCTTCGCCGTCGCTGGATCCGCTGCATAATTTCCCTTCAGGGCAGCATGCATTAGGGACACAGTAGTAGCCATTGCGGCAGTACTCGTCGCTGTTGTCGTTGCAGCATACAGCGTCGATAGGCATGCATCCATTCTCGCACTGGACGCGGCCTGCACCGCAAGTTGCAAAGACGTTGATGAGCTTGGATTGGGCGAAGCTCTTCGGCAGACCTTCTCGCGCTCGTGGCGTCACGGCCATGGCGGCCGGCGCAATGAATAGAACAAGAGTGAGGGCGTGCATCGTGTGCTTTGATATTTTAGATGGGGTATATACAAACTTGACAGCTGAACACTTGGAGCCTTGGTGGTACGAGGTTGAAGAGGTGCTTGAAGAAAAGGCAAACCCACCACCACGGTGCATGGGCTACCGCGTACCTTTTATCTTATCCCTTCTCGATCTCACCACGCTCAAGACCTGAAGCGGCACAGTATTCTTGCCGTTAAAGCCTCGTCTATCTCAATGGGCTGAAAAGCCAAGCGGCTAGCTTCATTTCTCGGCCAGGGAGCTGCATCTTCAAGGCTATAATACGTATCCGCTCTGTTGCCATGCTTGTCTTAGAGCCCCAATAGCGAGGTATCCTTCCCAATCAGGAGGTTTAGTACCTATGTTTGATTAGACTTGGGCGAATTTACCCCGTGTGACTCGAAAAAGATCAAGTCGGTGAGCTTAATGCGCCAAAGTCCCTCAGACGGGACCATGATGATCATGGATATCCAGTCTATGGTGATTCGGTGGGGAGTATAGGTTAGCGCTATCAGCTCTCGACAAGCACGCTTGGCATCGTCTAGCTCTACCTCTTGATATCCTACATATCAAGCCGCATGTGCGGCGAGGCGAGAAATACCTTCAAGTTGGACTCATTATCTGCCAAAACAAGCGAAAATAGGTTACTCATCAAAATTTATGAAAACGCCACGTCTTAGCTGCGAGCAACACGAAAAAGGACACACGGTAAACACATGAGCAAGTAATGCATCCATCTCCCCATGATTTCTTGGCCTCTTGAGGAGGAGCGAGGAGAAAAAAAAGCCACTATTTGATGCTTTGCAAACCTTAGCCTGGGCTGAATCAAAGCTATTGGTCACTATTCCCGAGCTGAATTAACCCCTGATAATGTACGGTCTGATTTTAGCAATAGTCACATCTTTTCACCAATACTCTTCGTCGTTGAGATATCAAGGGGCAGCTAGCCTTATTAGCGGAGCAAGGGTCCGTTGAGTTGGCCTACAGCCGCAATGCATCAACCTGGTAAAAGAGAGGTGAAAATTGAGCGCCAAGACGTCGCTAGACATTGAAAACTCATCGCGACGTTCTTGTTAGGCTTCACGTGGAGATTAGGCTGAGATGTTTATCTCGGTTGTGTTGATGTGGCGATGCGCTCTTCGCTAAGCGCGCAACTTGGCGTTTTTCGAAGAGGAAATCATTTTTAATTCCAGGTCTAGCGGGAAAGTAAGCGCATATGCTCTCCCTTTAGTCATGAAGTCTCTATCTCATATATCGACACGGCTAGCCTAGGACTTAAATAATTCAGCGGTGATGAAGAACCTAAGTGGCTAATAGCATCGAATACTTGGGGTGCCGAAGGTATCCTATTGTCTTTCATATACAACAGTCTCGACACTATTCAACTATAGAGATATCCGGAACGACCTAGTTGAGATATCGAGCCCTCCGCGGGTAAGGACGCCTAGGGTCCTAGGAAGACCCCATCGGGTATGGTATACTCTTTATGTTGCGTTGATCATATGCATATGATAGAAAATCCATAGCCGTCCGACTCCCGGTCACTCGGAGAGTCGTTTATGTCGACCACAAACTTCAAATTTAAGCCCCGATTCTGAGGAGCCGTGTCATGGGTGTTTCTAGGGATAACTAAATGTAAAATCTAGTGTTTGGACTATGATGAGACATCGACGGGTGTTGCACTGACGAAGACAGGGTGTCAGATAAACTATATCTTTGATGTCAACTTACTACGGACCATCAGATCTCAAATGGATGGGACAGACTCAAGTCTTTGAACTTTAATAGCAGGACAAGGGCTTGTTGCCTCCGAGGTTCTTCAAGGATCGTAATTTGCTGTGCGCTATGCTAGTAAGTACAACCCCGGGTTTGCCTGTGCTTCGTGGGACTATTCATAACTGAGGCCCAACAGCCACCCCAACACCAAAACCACCTGCGAGACATTCCGAAAAGGGCAATTACTAAGTTGCAGAAATGTCGGCGTGGATATCCCTAAGCAGGTGAGTGCATCTTCGTTGGATTGGTATGTATCTGGAAGGTAGGATTTTGAGGCGGAAGTACTGTAATTTTGGTAAAGGCTTGGTCCCCGACGCAGGTAGGAGCATCAGATAAACCCCCGTTTACGTATTCGCCGTCTGGATCTAGTGTTTTGCTTGGTCGTTGTCAGTACACTTGCTCAGTATCGTTCAGCAACCATCAGCACCCCCGTCATCTACACGGTCACAATAATAGTCACAATTTCACATAAGTCAACGACACGAAGACCAACCCGAGCAAAAAACGCCGCTTCATAACTTAACGCTTAACCTATTGGGCCCAACAGAATCCATACGCATGCGCTTATACGCCATGTTTAATCGCCACCAACGACCGTGAGACTGAACTCAAAGTCAAACTCTGGACATTAATATGGCTCGTAAGCAATGCTTCCTGCACGCGGGTATATTAACCCGAAATTTTCTCCCAAATAAATAAATAAAAAGGAATACAATCGCCTTTGGTCCATCAACGCATCGCATAACTCGAATCAAAAATCAACGCCGTGCCGTACCTTAAATATAGTACATGGTGTTTTCTAGGTTTCGGTGGATATCTGGTGCCACCACTGTGGTCTGGGTGCTGGACGTGGACTGCGTCTCGGCGCGCTCGAAGTAATCATCGAGGTATAATCGTTGTCGAGTACACACGATGTCGGCGTAGTATGCTGGCGGACAGATACTAACGGCCTTGGTTGCTCGGCCGAAGAGGTAGCACATCTCGTGCGTCAAGGCCTCGAGGCAGTTGGCTGCTTCCGATCCGAGGGCCGAGCGGAAGACTTCGTCTAGCAGAACAGTGTAATGGGCTGGCCTGGCTGTACCTATATGTCGTACAAGAGTTAGCGGGATGTGTGGTGGTGTTAGAGAGTATGGGATAATTAATTACCTTGCAGGGCCTGGTGGGCGGTTAGGAAGAAGTCCCATACTGTAGCCTGAGTGACTCCTCGGTCTACTACTGTCCCGCTCTTGATGTTCCGGGACCTTGTCATATGCTCGGGATCGGTAGGGTAGAAACGCGTATGGTGTCTCTTTACCGATACTACGATAGATATCTTTGGTGGCTGATTTGCTGGGTATTTCAGCTTGCAGGCTTCTCGGATATATGGAAGCTCCTTATCTAAGACCTGTGTGAACTGGCCTTCGGACACACCATCTCTGAATATGATAATGTTCTGCGGCAAGGACTTGTTGTGAGACCTCCATAATTCCAGACGCGAAGCAAACTTCTCCTTCAATGTTTCGTTGAGCATCTCGACCTTGCCTGTCTGGGACCAAGCCGCAGCTGGCCACTGGCCTAAGTCCCGATCGATACTCGATACCATTCCAACCAAGCTCGGAAGGCCATCGGAGCCGCCTGCTAGGTTCGTCGGATGGGTAACATCATACCCGAGAACCATTGTCTTGCCGTCTTTAATAATGGTTATGTCGTCCTTCAGCTTGTGGTTGATGCCGCCCATCTTCAAGTTGACCTTTAGACCGACGTTCGCGAAATATTGCGGGCTACACTTAATAATATTGGATCGAAGCACACACACGGTGTGGTACCCGAATTCAACATCTCCCAATAGCTTTACGACCTTGTATATATCCTTGTCGGTCTTCTTGCCGGGGAGGACGACGAACACGAACTGAGGTGCATCCTTCCGGAACTGGTTAAATCTCTCCCTCAAGCGAACAATAGGGGGTTCGTTTCTCGAACAGACAACCGTATTATTCGACGACGGCAATGGCTTGGGGTTTATATTGATACCCGTCTTTATCATGAACTGAACAAAGGCCTGCATGGCATTACGAAGGTCGTCCGGAGTGCTATTCTGGAAGAAGTCGACGTTAATCCAAGTCCACTTGGAAATTGGTCGACCGGGTTTGACGACTTTGATATTCTGCATATTCCAGCTGCCTTCATTAACAAAGGTAGTTTGCGGCCTGTTCTGGAGGTTCAGATAGGCAATATTAGGTGCTGTTAGCTCGCGTCCCGTCACTGTCAGCAGCTCCTTGCCAGCGGTAACGTTGAAATCCGTCTGTATAATGATCAGCAAGGTTCATATAGGATCGGATATAAAGATAAGCACCTACAAGCGCCTTGTTGCCATCCAGTCCTAAGCACTTACGACCCTCGTTCATGATCGAGGTCGCATTGGCGAAGGGCGACCGACAAGCAAACAGAATCATACTAGCCGTTTCATCACCCGTTGTCTTGCGCTTGAGAGGCTGCCCCGGTATAATTTCGACCAACTCCGCCGGCATGTAGATTGGCCTCGTTGTGCCAAATTTGATGGCAGGCAGGTTGGGGTCTACTTTGAAGCCATATTCTGTGCAATGAGATTAGCATTGGGCTCGACTGAAAAGAATACAATACCAACTTTTGAGATAATAATCTGCAACCGTGCAGTAGGCATTTTCCTTCAGGCCCTGGGGAACGGAACCTGAGAGGAAAAAGGATACCTCTGTAGGTCCGCCACCAGCGCGCTTCACAAGCGGCTGATTCTTCTGACCCTTGCCATCGTTGGGCGTAGCAAGGCCAGCGATCTGCTTCCTTATTATCTTCTCCCCTGATTTCTGACCCCCTTTCGAGCCCGGAACTGTTTTTTCAGGAAGGATTCTACAGTTACAGCGTAGGCCCGCTAAGAACTTGTTAATCTGGTATGGGGGGGCATTGGTACCATAACTCTTTATCAAAGCAGCTACGTTTCCGCTCGTACGGAATACGCCGTGGGACACATTGGCATTCAGAAGGATACGGCCTGTGGTTAGTCGAGCGCTTTGGAAGTATCCTCGAATGACAGTGTTGTTGTCTGGGTAGCCCAACTGATGAATCTCCGATGGGAGATCAAGGGGGAAATGTCGGCTTTGGCCCACAGACGCAATTTGATCGTTGGAGCGAGCCCGATACCCAGTTATTATGGTCATAGCATCGATGGCCTCTATGAACTTCGGGAACGATGTGTCTCCAGTAGGGTCCCGCATGGATTGGGCATACGCCCTGAACTTATCCATGTCAATGTCGGGTGCGTTGGAAAACTTGACGTCGTAAACATCATTCTTGCCTTCGTCGGTATACGGAATCTTGACTACTTGATCCTTTGGAAGCGGTAGCGGTTTGAGGGTAATAACTTGACTCTTAAACTCGGTTGCATAGGGAATTCCTTTAGCAATCTGATCAAGAGCGGACTTGACGACAGCTTGGAGCTTCATCCCTTTCGCAACCATTGGGCCGTTATCCTTCTTACCTGATTTCTTCCCGCCTGGTTTCGCTTCCGATGAGCCCTCGCCCTTCTTGGGGTTACTTTCCTTGTCTAATGTCACTTCTAAACTGTATTTATAGAGTGACGGCGTCTTTTTGACGTCTAATGCAAAATAGTTGGTCCAAAGGGTAACTTCTTTGCCCTTGGTACCAAAAGCCGGTCGGAGAGGCATCCATTCTTCTGCAGAAGGCTTTGAGCCCTTGCTAGATGATAACTTCAAGGCTGACATTTTAGCCGCCATTCCAAAGTCATCGAGGATCTTGTTCTCAAGCTGAGTAATGCTTTGGTCTGGGCGAGGTGCACCATTCGGTCTATAATTGCGTTAGCATCAAAGCATAGGAAGACTGAGCCGAAACATACTTATACACTTCGCTCTCACCAACAAATCCGCCTCGACCTCCTCGGCCACCTCGCCCTCCTCGTCCGCCACGGAAATCACCGCCACCTCGTCCACCGCCGCGAAAGTCTCCTCCGCCTCGACCTCCGCGATAATCACCACCGCCGCGTCCGCCGCCACGGAGGTTACCTCCCTGGTCAAACCCAGAAAAGGTGGCACTCCCACCACCACGTCCACGGAGGCTACCTCGTCCTCCACCACGGTGGTCTCCACGGCCACGATTGCCTCTACCGCGGTCTGCCATATTGGCTATTGCAGTAGGATTGAGAAAGAGTGACTAGGAGAAGCTATGCTTAAGGTATGTAACTAAACTCAGGAGATACGAAGCTCGGGAATGGGTTAAACGCTAAAGCAGTTCCCGGAGGCAGTCAAATAACGACAATTGATGGCTATGAAGGTAGTTATAGAGTTAGATTGGCTCTAGCGACAGTAGATGGAGTTAAGAAATATTCTCACCTGAAAGGACGTAGAGGCACGCTGGGTCATAGACAACACAGATGTCTAGTTGATACGCGTTAGTGTATATCTGTAAGAATATGAGATGCTGATTTTACCTAAACAGGTCATGAGTGTGATAGAAGGGGATTAAGGCACATGAACAGGATGTAAAGTGATATAGAGAAGTATGCGTACCTTGGTGCAGCGAGAAGACGACACCCTTTCTATGGCGTGATTGTCACCAGGGCAAGTAAGGTAGAAGAAGAGTTTGATTGTGAAAAGTGTTTGGTTGTGTTTGATGTTGAAATAACAAAAGCTGGGGAGTTGCTGGGGAGTTGCTGGGGAGTTGTAGGGGTCCCGGAACTAAAGCAGGGACGATTGCGATTAGAGATGAGATCGACCTTTACCTGCTAGGTATACTGCTAGGTATACCGCTGTAGGGTGAAGCAAAGCAAGCTCTACCTCTATCTGATGGCTCCAGGCTAATCGGTCAAGCTCCAATATGGGGCGATATGAGTAGCGTCTAGCTCTGATAGACAGTCCTAGAAAGCACTATAAACAAAGAAGAGAAGGAATTAATCCTCTAAGGGGTACCTTTTCTATAGGGCTAGAGGAGAGGAGAAGGAGGAGTCTACTATATAAGGTAGTGACTTAGGCCGAAAATCACAAAGACGAAATCTAAGGGAAAGCGTCATAGAATGTTGGAAAGGCAACTGTAAAATACATTTGTAAAGCCCACCTTGTTAGCTTGCCAACACTAAGGGGCCCATTAAAGATATGTACATGTATGTGTGTGCATATAAGTGTGCATATAAGTCACTTACAGGGCTCACGTAAAATCGAAGTTGTCACACAGGATACATGTTACCACCGTACCAGAAGAACAGGTACAATACATCCATATGTACAGTTTCTAACCTAACAAGTTAATTTCTTCTATAAAATGAAATTTCCCTTGTCAAACGGTTACTCTTTCCTCGAGATTCTTTTCCTTTCCCCCTAAAAGCGGTGTATAGTCGGTTTGTTCATATATTAATTACCTTCCGTATAGTAATTATACGTTCCAACTACGGGTTTATACATACAATACGCATTAGATAGGTAGATTACGGTACTTGGCATCTAGATAGTGAACCCCCGGTCAGGCAGTTAAACCGTTTAAGACCCAATTTGGCGTTTTCGAGGACCCGCGCACACGGATCAGAGCTGCAAGCTACCCCTGTCTGAACCTATCCCCCCTGTCTTTTCTTGCCCTACAACTGTGCGTCTTGCATAAACAAAATGTCACCCGCACGAAAGAAAAATGTAAAATATTTGTTAAAATATCAAACACTTGCACATATGTCCCTTTAACCATCTCATGAGATGGGACTACTATACGGATCGGATAGCATAGGGGTATTTACATATAATAGATTAAAAAACAAAATTTAGAGCAGATGATGGCGGGCATCCTTGTCTATTCCCTGTCTTCACCGCTAAACTACATATCTTGGTTTACTTTTCTAAACAGGGATTGCTATGAGGTAGGTAGGTACCCAGATATGATTCGGTTAAGAGAATAACAGGAATGTTGTCCGAAGCCCTATCACAGTAACCAGTCACCATCTTCACTTATTGGTTAACGCTGGTGGATACGAAAAAGCATACAGCATACAGCTTTAGCAATTAGCTGCCCTCTGAGGTGCTTCAAAAATGATATGTCTCTTTGACAGCAAAACTTGTCAGCCCACTATTGCTGTAACTGTAAGCCATAGGCATCCAAAAGTCAACCAGCTTACGAGTCACTCTGGCTGGCCTTTAGAAGAGTCATATTTACCCTACCAGCCTACATACCTAGGTATATGCAAGCCGAGGCGACCCAATCAGCGATCCTAGATCTGCCCTCTATGTATATATTAACAGTATGTCGATAGTAACCCCCGAGTCGTCGCCTTGTTTCCTTGGCAAACCACAGCACCTTGGCACCTTAACCTACAACTTGTCAACTACTACGTAATAACTAGCAAACGGGCTTCAGCCTCATCGGACCACCATGCGAACCGAAGCAACCGCGCCACTCCTTCTTTTGCAGCACGCCGACCTGCATATTGCGCCTCAATATGTAAACGTCTTATTGGAGGGTGAGAATTGGGCCTCACAACATGTCTATGTATTAACCTCGCTAGAGAGTCTGACACGTAGACTCCTTAGGCCCAAGTTGCCCCCCGACCTTCCCCACAACCATTGAGGAATTGGAATCCTACGCCCGTGATCAGAAGTGGTTACGGGACAACGTCAGTTTGAGGCCGTTATACAATCCAGGACTAACTACCTAATCTGCTAATCCCCATGGGGATACTAGTACTACCGGACCGATCCGCTACCCATGCTGCTGCCTTCGTCTCCATAGTCCCCCAAACCATGGAGTTGATGCCGCGGAGACGCTTACTCGCAGTCGGCTCAGATTCCCTCCGGGATTTGGATACGGGCTTGTTCGCTCGGGTTGAGGTGATATTAGAGATTGCGGTCCGTTTGCACGGCCTCATTCAACCAGATAGATCGGCATAGCCCCATTAATTCCGAAATTACTATGCTGTCATGCAGTGCTGCCAACCCCTGCGATAAGTATCGCATCAATCCCGCTGCGAACGGACGTCACTGGCCCTCGTCTAGACCTCGAGCCGGGTCCTTACAACCAACGTGACTCATAGGATACACGACATCTTATAAAGAGACCGTTTTGTCTCAATCATTGGGCAGCTTATCTTCTGCCGAGAAAGATGGGCGGTCAGGGTAAAGAGAGGTTGTGCGACATATACATAAGCCGAGCATATTCTTGCGTAATAGCCCTTGATCAAAAATCAGCTATAGAGCGATGACGATAGAACGGTACGGGATTCATGTGTAGAATATATATCTACCTCATAAACGGGTTGAATGAAGCCATTCCCACTTACCCCTTACTAAGTTCCTTAACCATTGAAACCCTTAGAAAAATGGGCTCCCGGCTATGTCAGTAGTCCAGTGTAATATGTATTCAAGGTATCTATAAGTTACCAGCGCAATAGCTTAATTACTCATGTTCTAACTATTGCTCATATCTTTACATCAAGATTTTTCACCTTGACAAATCGGTAGTTACCACCAGACCACCTGACTACGTATTTACGGCTTGCCTAAGTTGAATCAGAGGAGGAAGCTACGCAGAGCTAGAAAGAAGTCCTCTCACATATACCATAGCAGTCGGTTGGCTCAAGCTAGATTATATCGATCTTAAAGTTCTATGATAGATGAAAATAGTTAACTAATTCTTTACATTTTCTATATTCACTGGAGAAAATCTATAGCCAGGGCTATTTAGGATGTTATCATGGTACAACAATATTGAAGTATCTATGAGTTGGACAAATATGAATCATGGCTTAGCTGTGCTGCACTATATACCTGCCTCAATAGTTGCATTCCTACTCGTACCTATCATTCCAAAACCATGCTCATTTAGCAAAAGGGAAAGATAACGCCCTGTTCTTGATTGTAATTTATACGTGCTTAGCACCATATAAACTCATACCTTGTTACGGGCCATACTCAGAAGTTGAAAAGGTGGCTTGTCGATTATTACGGCAATTGACCAATCTAGTAACTGTACAGGATCATACACGGAAGGTAGATCAGAGTTAAATCACCTTTTGTATCGAATAAGAATTACGTATCAGATGCAATAAGTAGATTATAGCCTTTTAAAGACTTAGCCACTCATTAACTTCTCTCCCGCGAAATCTGCTAGAGTGGAAAGATTTTTGTCAGGGCTCATGATATCAAGAAATGGTACGTCGACCTTGAAAGCAGTCCAAAACCAAGTTCGAAACTCTGATGCAATCATGCTGTCTACGCCAAATCGTGCCAGCGGCTTGTTATCGTCTATTTGGTCAACAGGATTAAGGATCAGACTGCAGAAACGCTTCCTGATAAGCCTCAACATGGCGACTTGCAATGAACCAGCATCCCCTTCGGATGCGAGGAGCCCAATAGCGTGAGCTGGAACGCCTCGAAGCCACTCCGCGGTGGCAATACGTGCGGCTCCTTTCTCATTTATTCCTGATTTTTCCTTCTCAACATCTAGCTCGGATGCCAGTGCGGCGGCTAAAATGGCTAACCGTGGGTCATGTGCGGAACTAAAGGTCATATCGAAGCCTCGATTTACCAGCTGGAGAAACCCAAGAGGTTCCAGGCCAGTGAGTATATGTGCTGACGCTAGGTCATCATTCTCTTTAGCATTAAATATCTCTGCGTCACTGGCAAGCGCGAGGTCGATGACCTGTAGGAATTCCGCCTCCTTTAAGGGCTGTATACCTTTTCGAAGGAGCAGCGCCTCTATCTCGGGATTTTCATGCAGATATCCTACTTCAGAGATCATACCGAGGCCGACCGAAACCGCTGGCTTGCCCTGGGAACGACGCCAGCGAGCAAAGACGTCGAGGAAGCTGTTCGCTGCGCAGTAGTTACTCTCGGTTGCTGTGCCCACACTACCCGAAAGTGAAGAAGTAAGTAGGAAAAAGTCAAGTTTTTTATCATGACCCTCGAGCGCCTTGTGTAAGTTCCAGGCGCCTTTCCACTTGGGCTGTATAGCAGTCTGCCAGTTTTCAGCTGTCATTCGAGCGAACAAGCTTTCGTGAAGCCCCATGGCGGCGTGTACGACCCCCCCAATGCTCTTCTCAGTGCTGAGGCATGCGGAGACGGCTAAATCCACGTCGAAGCGGCTGGCAACGTCGCCTCGAACTACTTTAACGTCAACTCCAGCCTCTTCAAGACGAGAGACGAGTTGTTTTGCATATGGCTTATCGCAGGCCGACCTGCCCAGGAAGACGAAACTGCGCGCTCCTCGTGACACCATCCAGCGACTCAGGCTTCGACCGAGCCCCCCAAGGCAGCCTACTAGTAAATATACCTTTTGTGGGTCGAACAGCGTAAGATACCGCGAAGGCGCAAGCTAGAGTACTTGTCAGCACATAAGGTCTTAAATAACGGGCGATATGATAATTTTAGAATGACATACAAGAATTCTGCTGTCTTCTTTTTCCAGCGAGATAACAACTTTACCTAGCCGGTCTTCGGAAGAGAAGTGGCGATATGCCTCTACAATTCTGTCGGCAGCAAACGTTGTTATGGGCGGTGGCTTTATATGACCCGAGCGATATAGGTTCAAGATGTCTTCCAGTAAACTAGTAGACACCACATCAGTTTCTGTTGCTTTTTACGATTGATTGTGTACCTTGCTTCTGTAGGGCATACCTTGAAAACGTGTTGTCGCTATAATCTACTTGTTGATAGTATAAATCACTAAAGTCGAACGCCGTAAATGTCGCGTTTCGGAGGAAGATATGCATGTCTAGCTTGCCGATATCAAGAAGATCTCGTTTGCCAATCTCGACGAAGCGACCAAACGGCGCTACGCATTCCCAACTTGCGCGTAAGAGGTCACCAATTAGAAAGTTCACAACGACGTTGACACCATGCCCCCTCGTAGCAGACATTAAGTCCGTAGCGAAAGAGGCATTGCGAGAATGGAAGATATTCCCTTCTGGAATATCTAGTTCGTCCGCTATGAATCTCTTTTTTGCTTGTGACCCAGCTGTAGTATAGATATTGGTGGTCGTGCCGAGGATGTGCTTCGCAATCGTGATAGCAGCAAAGCCGAATGCGCCCGCGCCGCCTTGTATTAATATTGACTCGCCGGTACGCAAGTGGGCACGATGGACCAGGGCGTAAAGCGCGGTACCGTATATCGTGGGAAAGGTGGCCATGGTAGTATACTGCTCCCCCGGCAACATTTTATGAGCAGCCCAGACAGGCACTCGTTGAGAAGTGGCGAAGTGACACGGCATGCCAACGACAACGTCGTCGCCGGGCTGCAAGTGTGTGATATCAAGTCCTACCGCCGTCACTACGCCACTAAACTCTAGGGCCGTTGTCGCATTCCGTGTTTCCACTCGGCCCTTCAGCGCATAGACGTCTTTGGCATTAAGACTGACCGCCCTAACGAGTACGTCGATGAAACCATTTGGTGTGGATGAGACTGGTTCCCGTATCTGTTCAAAGTGAAGGGTGTCACCCCCGCCGGAAGTCCCGACCGCGAGCCTGGCAGGGTGAGCTGTAGATAATTTAGCTTTCGCAGCAGCCCCCTGTTTCTCGAAGCGGCGGCGGAAAAGGGAATTAATCGTGAAGTCGGGACCAAAGCGGCTGATATGAAGAAGCCCATTTTTCTGGATATACTCTTTGTCTTCTCCCGCGCCATTGTTATGATAGTATGACTTCAACACTATCATAATATTCTGGTACGTTATAGGTTTGCAGTCAACAATAGGGCCGACATCTATGACAACAAAATTAAGGGATGGCTGTTCTAATATCAGTCCACGGGAGAGCCCATTTGAGAGAGTAAGATCAGGATTTAACTCGTTTCCCGATACGTTTGCGCCCGTAAGCCAGAGGATGGTCGTTATTGTATTGGTAATGATACGCAGACAGTCCATATCGTACTGATTCATGGACGCTAGAAACTCATGCTCTAGTTCAAGTAGGGATACGCATATCATCTGCGGGCAAAGCTGAACGCCATTAATTTCAGAAATGGAAACGACCTGAACATTATTGATATTCTCTTCTTGATGAAAGTGCGTTCGTAAGGCTTCAGCGAAGCTTGTTACGGCCAAGGACGGATTATGGACCTGGGAAAAATTAGCTGATGATCTAAGAGACGCGCACTTTTTATTCATTACCACGATGATCACATCACAATTTTTAATTATGATATTTTCCTCGGCTGATGGACGCGAAGCTAGGATAACTTTGCTTCCAGGGAGCTCGGTTACGGTGAACTGGCTTCGTCGAAGTGCCTCGGCAGCGACAGCTGTTCTCCGGGTGATGACGATGCCCTGCTGAGCAACTAAGGAATAGAGTGTTTCTACTGAATCCCAGATGGTTTGAGAGGCGTGGATGAAAAGTAGGTCAAAAGGGGGTTCAAGACTACATTTGTCTCCGTCTTCGCTGTCCAGCTGGATCACACCGGTCTCATCCAGCTTGCCAGGTTGCCATGACTTGCAACGTCGAAACCCAGTCCCATTATCAAGGAGTTCTAGTAGTTTCTTTGCCTTGCACTGACAGCCACTTCCGAGTTCTAGAACCCGCATACGCGGATTTTGGTGTCCCGCAAGGTCCACCAAAGCGCCCATGGCGGTTAGACGTTCATCGTCAGCGAGTTCCATATCCTGGTCTTGACACCGAGCAATGAATTCCAAAATATATCTATCCAGCTGCTGTGTTATTCCCGCATGTAAATGTCGGATGTCAGGCTTCCATCGAACCCGGAGACATGGTTGACGTGGAAGAGGAGATTCTTGAACGATGCTAGTCTTATATTTAGCCACACGTACGCCTTGTAAGTGGACAATTGGTGTTGGAGTGGCATCTGTAGACCGGAGGGTTGAAGTCATTCTCCGCGTCGAGGGCCCTGTCTTGGTCGATGTGGCTTGGACTAGGCCAAACGCTTCTTGATCATTTGGGGCCGACACGTGGATGTAGCATTCGTCGATGAAGACCGGCAGGTAAACATGGGTTTCACTCACATCTCCTGCTGCCGCGCCCATGATAGCTACTTGGATGCATGCGTCAATAGTGATTGGATGAATGGGGTAATGTGTACCGTTTAACTCCCTTGATACATCCGGCACAAGACGGGTAGTACACATGGCTTCACAGCGAGATCGACTACCGTCAGTGCGCAATTTCATCACGGACCGAAAACTAGATCCAAACCGAAGGCCTTCACTGGCGAACCTATCGTACCAGATTCCCATATTCGGCCATTCCTCAAAGTTATTCACATCAGTAACCGTGACGGTCTTGGCAAGCGATATGCACTCTGGGTTGTCCATGATTCGGATGTCGCCAGAGCAATGCACCGTGGCCTGACCAGCCACGAAGGACGAGATAGAGAACTTATACCAGTCTTCTGATACAGTGGTTCTGGAGAGCTCCCGGAACGTCAAGGACGTGTGAAGTTCTACCTCGTCCTTAGCTTCGTCATCGGGAATAATAAGTGCAGTACCAATATTAACGTGGCGGAAAATGACTGCGGATGCTGTTCTTGAAAGCGTTTCCCGGGTTTGGGAAAGCGCCTCAATTGCTATAGCCAAATAGCAAGAGGCTGGGAAAACAATCTGGCTCTCTAACTTGTGGTCACGCACCCACGGAATCTCGTTTAGGTTAAGCACGTTTCTCCATGTCCAGTCGATGCCATTCCCAGCAACCTGCCGAGAACCAAGCAGCTCATGCCGCGGATACCGCCGATTACGAAGCTCAATACTGGCGCGTGGCTCTTGCCAAAGTAGACCAGCAGAGTAGTCCCAAGGATATGGTGGGAGGTTGCGAATAGAAGCTGAATTGGGCAATGAGTTCACATTCTGCCAGCGTAGGGTTTGGTGAAATATGAAGAGGATACCGGCTAGCCGTTTCATACAGAGGTCGGCATCTTGGTTTCTGATGAGCGTACAGGAATACGGCACTAAGAAATGATCCCGTTTAAGATGAGAGCATATCTGCTGTATCGGCCCTTTTAGTGCTGGGTTCGGTCCTATCTCAACCAGGTGCACCCTCTTTCTGCTTCTCAGGAGCGTGCTTAGCGCAAGAGAAAACTGAACAGGCTTTTCGAGATTGTCTCGCCAGTAACGTTCTGAGACGGAGCCTTGGGTGAGGATCGAGGCTTCACCCTTATCATTGGTGTTTACCGAGGAATACATCTCCACGTCCGGGATTTTGATTTGATTGCTATCTTCGCACACAGGGTCGAGAAATAGAGCGAGTAATGTTTCGTACAACGCGCCTACTTCTTTCATCATGAAAGAGTGGTAGGCTCGCTCCCCAGTACGGATCTTGCGAGCAAATTTTCCCTGCCGCTGTATTTCGACCATGATATGTTCGATGCCATCTACTGAGCCACTCAGAGTTACACTTTCGGTCGAGTTAATACAAGCAACTGATACCTCACTATCAAGTTTGGCTTGCTGGATTAGATTTTTGGCCAAATCGGCATCAATCCCAGCCGCTAACATAGCACCTTTGCCTGTCAACTGGCTCACTACATATCCACGAAAGTAGGCTGTTAGGATAGCCTGCTTGGCACTTATTAGACCAGCGGCATACGCGGCAGCGATCTCGCCAGATGAGTGGCCAACCACCGCGCAAGGAGTGATACCCCAGCTATGAAGCAAGTCAACAAGAGCAATTTGAATAGCCGTGCATATTGGTTGGCTTCGATTAGCCTGATGAATCTGACTGTTTTCGAGTGGGTCGAGAATGGCGTTCTCCAAAGTCCAACCAGGGATATATTCAGGAGGTAAAAATTGCAAGACGCGATCTAGACTGCGTATGGATGTAACGAAACATTCATTCTGGAGAAGAAGCTCCTTGCCCATGGCTGCGTATTGGGCACCCTGGCCTGTAAACACGAATGCGACAGGCAAGCTAATATCCATAGCTTGAGCGTTGTTCAAGCCCATGTCTAGGTCTAATATGTCTGGTTTCTTCCCGGGGCTACTAGATCTGATAAATAAGACATCTCTAGTGCTGAAGTGGGAGGTACGTCGAGTTAAAGTGTGAGCCAGCCCCTTGAGGGTGTCTGTATCACTGCCTTGGACCGCTTGCCGGACATGGCTCATACGTGTCTTCAATGATCCTAAAGAGGCAGCAGATACAGGCAGCACAAGAATCTTATCATACTTATTAGGAAGAGCCGTTTCTGTTGCATTCTGGTCTTCACGTCCCAGGTAGCTGTTAGCACACTCGAGGATAGCGTGGGCATTGCCACCGCCGTACCCAAAGGCGTTGATACTCGCCCTGCGAAGTTCTCGTGGCCAATCCTCGATCTCCGTAGCAACACTCATGTTTAGGCTGTTTAGTCTAACTACAAGCCGCCGTTAGCCAATTCAAGCGTCTAAGAATAACTGTCTGAGTTAATGAAAACAAGCTCACGCTTCGGGTTCAGATTATTCACGCCGTATGTGGGTGGTATCTTGGCATATTCAAGCGCTAAGGCTACTTTGATCAGTGCTGTTAGGCCGCTGGCCGCTTCGCTATGACCAAGGCCAGGCTTTGACTGTTTGTATATCACACTGGTTAATGTTATATCTCGGAGCATCATTACTATTGCACAGTCAATGGTAACTTACAGATCCTATCAGTAACGGTCTAGTCCTTTTCAAACTTGTGAAACAACGACCAAGAGCATCGACCTCGATGGGATCACCGACTGGCGTTCCTGTTCCGTGGCACTCAACGTAGTCACTGTCGGCGAAATCCAGGCTAGCCTTCGAGTAAGCCTTCCGGATCACAGTTTCTTGCATATCGGCGCTAGGTTGTGTGATACCAGGAGTCTTCCCATTTCTGAGTGCATGCGGTGCAGATTTAGTCGTCGTGGGAGCAAGCAAGGGTAAGGGATTAAAGCTTACGCATTAACAGCCGTACCACGAACGACAGCCCAGATCTTATCGCCGTCCTTGATAGCGCGTGACAGCCGCTTGAGGTAGATAGCATTCATGCCCTCAGCGCGTCCATAGCCGTCGGCGACAGCGTCAAAGGTATGGCAAGTCGAGGTAGGTGAAAGAACACCACTCTTAGCGGCAGCTACACATTGCTCTGGAGACATGATCAAGTTGACAGCTGCAACGATTGCAGCATCGCAGTCATCAGCCTCCAGCGCGGTCACGGCACTATGTAGTGCATAGAGAGATGAGGAGCATGCCGTATCAAGAGTAAAACTTGTTATTACGGAGTATTAGCTTCCCTTAACTTATTGTCGAATAAAGATACTGATATAGAGGGCCTAAAAGTAGGTAGCATCGATATGAGAGGTACTCACCTGGGTCCCTGGAGGTTGAACACATGACTGATGCGGTTCGCCAGGATGGTAGTCCCGCATCCTGTGGCCGAAAAGCGATGAATCGCGTCCATGTCCCGAGATTGCATCGTCTGGTGATCCAAGGTAAAGTTTCCGACAAAGACGCCGGTGTTCGTACCTGAGATTTGGTTTAGAGAGGTGCCAGCATGTTCCAAGCACTCGAACACGATTTCAAGCAATTTACGCTGCTGCGGATCCATTGAAGCGGCCTCTAGGTTGTGAATACCGAAGAAGGCGTTGTCAAAAAGACGTACATCTTCGTCAATAAAGTAGCCGCCATCTACGTCCATCAATCCCGCGTGGGCACTAGATCCGCCATCCGGATGATAAAACCCGTCCTTGTTGAAGCGCTTGGCCGGCACCGAGCCCTGCGCACACCCCTTACGCATCAGGAATTCCCAAAATTCGGAGGGTGACTTAATTCCACCTGGTAGCCGGCATGCTTTATAATAAGAAATATTAGCAAGAAAAGTCTTAGAAATTGGCAACAATATCAGGTCCGCGCACTTACCCATGCCGACTATACACGGAGGATCACGGTCAACGGTTCGGTCTCCGCCACCGGTCTCGGTGCTACACATGAGGAAAGACTCGGAAGATTCGGACATGTTAGTACTTTTGCCACTTGATGTTATGATCTATTATGAAAGGGGTTTCCTTTCCAAGCTAACACTGAGGCGTCTCGTCGTAGTTTAGTTTATCCAATTCTCCGGGATGTGTGTACTACGAGATTGTCTTTATAGCTTTATTATTTACTCTCGTCCTACTCTTAAACTATTAACTCATCGATTAACCTAACACTCCTACAAATAGAGCTACCGTAAATTAGATAGCAACAGGATGCGGCTAAGGTATTGTTTTGGGGTCCATTATTGCCTTTGCAGTCACCATACTTGATAGCTCCAATACATATTACCTCCTAACTACCTAGGTACTCTATATATCAGGTATTTTGTACTTTAGGGGTACGTGCTAAAGAGGCGTAAAATTATGCATACTCGGTCATGTATATGCGCATGTGTGATACCGCATAGAGTTGTCCTACATTGCTGCACCCGAAGATGTGAGTGGCTAGAAGCGCTCGGTGCTTTTCTCGGCACATGGCGGTGGTGCATAACGATGCTTTACAGGCTGGTTTGTTATCTACAATAACGCGGCCTTAGCGGCGTACTCGACGACGAGCAGAGTGTACCAAAATAAACCGAGACTTTTCCAATACGGAAGGGGTGTCTCCAGAGTCACGTCCACTGATATTCTTGAATTTCCAGACTTTAGTCTACATGTAACTAAGGTGTAAATATTTCAGTTCAACCCATTTTTAAACCTTTGTAAAACCGTACCAAAAATTGACCCTGGCACAATGCCACAAAGACGCAAATTCGCTCTCGTCACCGGGTAACTTCTTCCTCGTATTAGTATAGAGTCCCTAAGATGATGGATGCTAGCTAATCATTTTTTCGGTGTAGGTGTGGCCATGGTGGCATCGGCGAGGCTCTAGTTAAAGAATATGCTCTGCGCGGACTACATGCCATTGCCACAGTGCTTCCGTCGGAGCAGAGAAACCATCTCGACCAGCCCGGTATCACGTGCTATTCACTAGACGTAACTCAAGAAGAGTCAATTTTAGAGCTCCAAAGAAACGTTATTGATCTTACCGATGGGTTCCTTGACATCTTAGTCAATAACGCGTAAGTTTTATCTAACAGCCCTGGAGAATTACAGGAGATGTCAACTAATAGAGTTATCTTTGATATATTAGCGGAATAGGTGAATTGTCTCTCATAAATCATTATTCACGTCGCACTTATATTGGATACTGAACACCTTCTTAGCTTACACCATGACGGCCATCGATACCGATGTTGCCGAAGCGCAATATATGTTTGACGTCAACGTCTTCGGACCTATGCGCATGGTACACCATTTTCACCATATGCTGATCGAATCATCCGGGACCGTTGTCAATATCGGTTCCATAGGCGGCATTGTCCCATACGTGTATGGTGCCGCATACAATGCCGCCAAAGCCGCCCTTCACCACTGGTCTAATACGCTACGGGTTGAAATGGCGCCATTCGAGTGAGTTTAGGGGGTTATCACAACTTGGAAAATTTCCGACTAATACATCCTATTTCATAATCACAGCGTCAAAGTTCTTACGGCATGTGGTAGATTTACGCCGTTTCCTTCATTACGTTAGAGCTAACATGGAAGCATAAGATCATATCCGGAGAAATCGGAACAAATATCCTCAAGAGGGACACGAAAAGGGAACTCCGACCAGGTCCGTCCCAATTTAGACCCAGCTTCCTCGCACTGACCTAACCTAGACTAATCCTATGCCTCCAACTCAGATTCATATTACTCTGCACTTGCTGCAGAATTTAGACAGCATGTCCAGAGGACACCCAGTAACACCCCCCCTTTAAGTTGTTAGCAGGTATATCCTGATTCTAAGCATTCTGGCAGATACTACAGATCGGTTTGTGTATGCAAAAAACGTCGTTGCAAAGAGTCTCAAGTCGTCACCGCCAGCATGGTTCTGGTATGGCAATTCTACCGTCTCCGTTCGGCTTCTCACCAATCTTGGCTGGCGCACCATTTGGGTACGGTACCCCCCGTGACCTAAGTATCGTGTGACTGATCGTATTCTAGGATCGGATATTCTGGGTCACTTTTAGCCTCGGGAAACTTCGAACAGCATACATGGAACATCGAAGAAAAGGGGATCAAGACCAGGGATAATTTACCATCTGGGGGGAACTGTCAATTATATTTGTCTATCATTGCTACATTACTGGAATTGCTACATTGCTAGTCTAGTTACTGAGATGCGATTTATTCGGATAGGTTCTATCTAGCACATCATGAAGGCTAAAGACATATACTCCAACACGAATAATAGGTAGGTAGGTAGGTAGCTCAGTATTCTAACTTCCCATCTAATAATAATATAATCGCCCCAATGTCGCTATTCTCTTACATAGTAGGGCGCTAGCTCAGCCAGATATTCGCCGAGCTCTACGCCTTCGGCCGTGATAACGGGCTTAGAGTCGACAAGTACGTAGAGCATACGCCCAGGCATAGTGCCATTTCCCGTGAGATTGCGCCACGTGTGGGCACCGCCGCGGTTGACACTGATATCACCTTGACGCAAAATCCGTGTCTCCCCTGAGTCGAGGATTAGCTCAAACTCGCCCTCGAGTACGATACCGAAGTCGAGGGACACGGTTCGGTGCATGGGCGATACCAGCCCTGGCGCAAAATCCATCATACGCAGCACAGTGCCCTGGGGATAATGCATTGGGGGCTTGTTTCTGTTAGTCGTACGTTATTAGGACTTTACGTTTAATCTGAAGCTTACTTCGTGGTCTTTTGCATGCTGCAAGTCTTTGTCATTATTCATGTCCACTGGCGTCTCGGAGGTCGAATAGATGATATTAGCCAGCGCCTGCTGGTCTCCGATGATGCGGTGGTGGCTACCGCAGTCGGTTGACAAAAATACGGACCTTCCCTCGGCATTATGGCCCGTGATGTGCCGCACAGTGCGACGAAGCCCCGGTGCCGGAAAGCCTTGTGCGATGTAACCTGCCCCACGGAAGAACATGAGAGGATCTTCTGACATCTTGTTGGTGTTGATGTTAGCAGTAGTTTCAGCTGTCGGTTTTCCAGAGGACTCCATGTTCGAATAATGATAACCTTATAAGTTAGTTACTTATTTTCAAATGATAAGATATAAGAGGTAGTTGTGCATGAATATTTTATCATTTTGTGACTTCTGGGTAGTTTAAGATATATGTCTATAATGACAGAGAAGGTCCGTAATCATAGACTATCTTCGAGTAACAGTAACGATATCTATCGACTGGATAATCACACCCCTTCCCCAAAGGCTTCAATAACTGGAAGTCAGGATTAACCTTGAGCCTCTTTCGTGAAACAAGCAAAGTCGACAGTCGGAGTATCACATTTTTTGCGAAATACTTCCCCATAAATGTTACGCTGATAGGTACCTAAGGTGGTAGTATACGCATCAGCTTAGGTAGGTATGCCTTAATCAAATAACGAGCCACTATGATCCTGCTATCCCACCAACCATTGCAAATCATCTACAACATGCCTCGCAGAGCAGTGCCCCCGTCAATAACCAGACTGCAGCCCGTCACATAACTTGACCTTGGGCTACACAAGAAAATAACTGCATCGGCTACTTCCTCAGGACGAGCGACGCGCCCGAACGGCACCAGTGTCTTAATCGTCTGCTCAAGCCCGGATACTTGCTCAATGGCCCGCCGGACCATTGGCGTATCAACCCACGATGGACACACACAGTTGACCCGAATCCCATGTGTTGCATTATCAAGTGCTACATGCACGAATACCTACTTGTTAGCGGCTACTTCACGCTCATTGTAACCATATGAAGAGATGGGCGTTGGTTGCTTAACGCCTTGCAGATAAACTGGCCACTTACCCGCGTTCTTGGTCAGCCCTAAGACTGCGTGCTTCGAAGCTGTGTATTGCACCATTCCTGGCTGTGCTACAAACGAAGCCAACGATCCTATATTGACGATGGCCCCACGGATCATTCCCCGCTCCGGGTAAGCTGCATCCGCCGGTTTTGGCTCTTGCATCTTCATGATGGCTGATACATCGCGTGTAACGAGAAAGGTTCCGGTGACATTGATGGTCTGAAAGCGGCTAAATTCCGCGACGTTGGCTTCAGCCATCTCACTTGCATTTTCGACACCAATCTAGAAAACGAATAAGCAATATTGCAATGGCCGGATAACCAGCTCATGAATCGAAATACGACTCACACCAGCACTATTGACGCAATAATCAACCCTCCCAAATGCCTTCACCGTGGAGGCTATGACTCGTTTGACTGACTCCTCGACTGTGACATCGATATGGGCTGCCTGCACCCGAAAATCCATACGAGCGGATTTACGCTTGCAATCGGTTGCACTACATATCGCGGCCGCGAGATCGATATCGGCTACCATAACACCTGCGGCTCCTTCTTTAGTGAAGCCTAACGCACATGCTCTACCTATCCCACCGCCTGATAGGTCCGTAGAGTTAGTCTAGCCGTCGCATAGGTAAAATACGCACACATAGATCAAAGACAAAATCCGTACCTCCACCAATCACGAGCGCATATCCATCGATATTCATATTCTCTCGAGCGACACAAAATCCTTCGGTATACCTATGCTGATCGGTTGGCGTTTTGGTAAAATCTTAAAGAGCATGGGATCTTTAAGTTTGGTAGTTCATCGCATTTATGAGGCTCAAAATCCAGTTTTTATGCTGCCTTTATGGTTGTTTTAAAATCCTTCAATGCAACGTAAAGAGCTCAAGTTCAAACTATACCGCTGGAGAGATACGAACATCCGAACGTCCGAACAGAGGCTTCTAGTATGTAGATAAGATGGCTACACAAAGCCCATCTCGCTCAATAATTTTGACTGGTTGTTTTTGAAAGTACCTACAGACTGTAAGGTGATGCGTACAGGATTCCTTCTTAAAGTAGCATTAAGAAATATCAAAATTATATGAAGTACCTCCTACTTATTCGCCGAGCTAAGATTCGATTATTAGCTAAAGTCGTCTTGAATCACTATCTACGACCCAGTCTGAAATTGGTGTTGGTTGCTATACTTAATATCAACGTATGATTCCGGTATAAGTGCCTTAGGTATTATACTCAATGTTGGTTGCGCGTAAAGCCAAGGTTAACCCTTAGTTACTGATGGTGCATAACTACCTACCTACCAGGTACATACTTCTATATCTCTTTACATTTTAAGCTAAGTATATATACCTAGGTACCTACCTAACTAGCACCACATGTTAAGCAATAGGAACTACTCAGCAAGAAGCATAAGCTTAAGCTTTGGCCAAATATAGCAATATACCTACCAACTAGGCATGCTTAATGGTACCCTACCATTTCTCTCAGCGAACGAAACGCGCAACAAAAACATATGCTTAGCCTATCGTATTTCACAGTTATTTTAAGTTTCCATATAGCATAGTGTTAGATCTAAATGTTGACGGTACCTGATTCGAATCGCAAAATATGCCCCCCAAGTACGAGAAAGGAGACCAACCTGTGTACCTAATCAAATCAGGGAAACCACCCTGCAAAACCTGAAATCGAAAGTCTTCAAGTTGCTAATTCTTTTTTGTTACCTAGTAGATATAGCAGTACTGTCTAGGTGATGTGTGTGTTCTGACTAATGGTAAAGGGGGACACAGCAATCCATCGCTTCAATCCTTCGAATTTGGGGGCCGTATACTGTTTCGGCTCCTGCCGTCCGATTTGCTCCAAAGTTGCGTTATACCTCACCTCTAGTAAGACATGTAAAACCCGCGTCCATTATCTCTCCTCCCACTAAGAAAGTGGTTCCGTTCCCCTTGAATCTTTAGCTCTTCTGTTTACCGACGAGGTGACGGCTCGTTACAATCTCAGCTAATAGCAATGTCCGCAACAAACATCATGGATATGCCGGCCATGGAACCACCGTTAGGGGTGGTGCCGAACTACGACAACCCTCCTAACCAGAACAAGATGGTGCTAGCCGTCGTGTCCGTGTGCCTTATCGTCTCATCTATCGCCGTCATACTTCGTTTCTACTTGAAGTTGGCCGTGCTACGCAAGATGCAATTGCAAGATTATTTCCTCTTGGCGGCATTCATTCTTTACATTGCTATCCTGATTATGTATTGTCGGCTCGTCGACTATCCTGGATGGTACGTCCATATGTGGGATGTACGCATGGGAGGCATGATAGAGTTCCTGCGTGTAAGTTACTTAAGCCAACCAGTTGTTATATCGGTAGATACGAATGCTAAGAGGATGTGATTCACATAGGTCGGGATCCTCACGACGTCCATGTTCCTGGGCTTTTTGTTTTCCATAAAGACGGCTATTCTAGTGGAGTGGATCCATATCTTTCTCCCCAACGGTGGCAACCGACGGAACCTATTCTTTTGGGCATGTCATTTTGTCATCTGGGCCAATATCGTCTTCTGTATCGTGATACTGATACTGGTAAACCTGGCATGCGTACCCCACGAATACCTTTGGAACCGCACTATCAAGGGCGGCTACTGCCGTATCAATACAGCCTATACTAGCCTGTCAGCCGCCTGTTTCGCCTTTGCCACCGACATTATTATACTATTCATCCCACAGCGCATCATCTGGACGCTCAATATGTCGCACCGCCGCAAGCTCGGCGTCTCAATCGTGTTTGCTTTAGGTATGGCTGCGTGTGCTGCCTCTATTATACGCCTCTATTATACCGTCGCCCGCTCTAAGAGTGTCGACTTAACCTATCACCTCTCAACGGTACAACTAACAGCCGTCGGCGAGGGTGCTTGCGTTATCCTGGTCATGTGCATGCCTAATGTGCCCAAGGCTGTCGCCGGACTCAAGCTGACCAATATTCTACCATCAATTCCATCGTGGGCCAGTCTGGTGTCAGTTGTCCGTCTCCGCTCGTCGCAGCAGTCACTTAGGAAGAATGCTGCTGGTATCGCTGCTGTCTGGCCCACCTCAGCCGACAAGGGCGGCACGAATTGGCAAAATGGGCCCGGCTCGGAACGATACCTTGTTCCTCCGGAGCAGATGAGCAGCACTAAGCAGTATGACCTTGAGATGAATAATACTATCGTCCGCAGCACAGAGATCCAAACTAACGAGAATTTCGGATTTGATCCGACCGTGGCCGTCCAAGAACATAGCCGCCAGCACCCGTGGGTTGAGAGGTAGTAGTTAGCTTTATTCATTGATCATTGAAGGGTCTTGTGCCATATATTAGATCCGGTACTCTGGTCCCGGAAACGGCAGGGGGAGTAACTTCATTTTGCGGGAACGCAGGAACACAGACTGACAGAAACACCACCGAAATCAACTCTTACCTATATATTTCATTATGTAGTAGTAGATGAATTGATTTTACAAAAAAATTCATCGGACGTGCGTTGGTGTGTGGCTAGCCAATCAGAGGCTAGACTTTAGCTGTGGCGTTAGTTTTGCGCATGATCCCCCCCCCCCTTTTCTCCCCTTTCCCCCGTATGTACGCGCTTGCGCGGGCGGGCAACGCCACTAGTTAACAGGTAGATGATAATAAACGCAGAACCAAACGAAAACCTTCAATGCAAGACAGCCATTCCGGGTGTGAGGAGGCGGAAGCCAGTACTAATAACACCCATGGGAGCCTAAGACAAGACACTTTATAGGGGTGTTGTACGTGCACTCATTGCCTATATCCTGGAAAAGGTAATCCGGATACCTCCCGTAACTCCTATTTTAACTCTGGAAGATACATAAATAACAATGCATTAAACTTATCCATACTTTGCATGGATACGACCTGCAAGTTATAAGTGAATGGATATCTATCTATTTTACATAGGAGGTAGTTATTAGAACACCGAGTTCTTAATTCATTCCGTTCAAACCCCCCGCAATCATGGATACTGCGTGGGCAGCGCATTATTGAAACCGAAAACATTGTCTGGGTCCCACGTTTTCTTCAGGACTGCCAGCCTTGGTAACTGGGAACGACCGTAGATCTGCTCTAGCGACTCGTCACCATGAGCATAGTTCACATAGACAGCTAGGTCAGGATACCCCGACGTTGCCGCAAAGTCACTGCGAATCTGGCGGCCGAGCTCGTCCCCCGCAGTACCCGCTTCAGTAAGGAGAATTAGTCTAAAAAAATAGTTAGCAAGACGATGCACGAGAGCGGCAAGAAGGAAAATAGAAAAAAAAAAAAAAAAGGCATAGACTTACAAGTGAGCCACAGTATCACGCCAGGGATACGCCGTAGCTGCATCCGGAATGGCCCGAGCGGCTTCGTTTGGGAACATTTCAAGCGAGAGCAAGGCTTGGCGGCCGTCGGTATGATCAGCGTAGAATTGTCCCATCTTCTCAAAAGCTGCCTGATATGTGGAGGGTGACATATTCTTCATATTGACACCATAAACGTTCTCACTTCGGCCTCCTGCGCAGTTTGATGGGTCCGTCCCAAACAGGTATTTATTCGCGACTTGATTCCACGGTACGACGCTGAGCGATATTGTGGCCGACTGCAAGTTTAAGATCGGAGCCATGATTTCACGCGCCTTGGCTTCTGGTCCAAAGTACACCCAGTTAGCCAAGAGGTGAGCCTAATTCCGTGTTAATGCCAAATGTTACTATTTATTATATAAAATATAATAAGATAAGCGGAATTAAAAGGAAGAGCGAGACTTCGAGAAAAGTAACTCACGCCATTGGACTCAGCATCGTACATAACAATTGTTTCTGCTGACAGCTTGGCGGGTAGAGATCCGTTGTAAGAATTAACCGCAGTGTTAAAATAGGTGGCGCTCATGTTCGCGGGGAAAATAATGTCAACGTTCGTGACCTTGCCATCATAATCGTCATTATTTAGAATATTATGCAATTTGTACGTGGCCGATACGATGATGCCAAAGTTTGCTCCCGCGCCACGGATAGCCCAGAAGAGATCAGCATGAGAGGTGGCTGACACGTCGATGAGCCGGGCATCCGCAGTCACAAGACGAACAGACTGCAAAGCGTCTATTGCTAGGCCATATCGGCCTTCATCACGACCAACTCCGGCACCAAGAGTGGACCCAATCATTCCAGGACATTGTGAAGTAATAGTCTCTGCAAATAGTTGCGTTAGGTGTATGAATTCGCAGGGGGAAGACTGAAGATGAAGGTAACTAAGGAGCAACCTAGGGTGTGAACTTACGCAGCTCGAATCCGGCATTATACACGGGATCGAAGATCTGTCCTACTCGTACACCCCCGCCGACAGTCACTGTCTCGGCGTGTTGGTTAATATTAACCGTGTCCAGCTTACTCAAGTCAATGGCCAGTCCATTTTGAAGCTTTTTGAACGTGGTAGTGTAGCCATGTCTTCCACCTGTTGCAAGAATAGAGATATTGTGGCTTCTTGCTAGTTTTACCTTTTCCCATGTTAGCAATTGGTCTTTGGTATGGAGCAGATTTTGACGTACACTCTTGACCACATCAGCCGCTGTGCCTGGGCTGATAGCCGCGACATAGGTTGGTGGTGCGTAGATATCCCATCGAAGTGTGGCATTCGTGAACGCCTGACTGTCTGGGAAAGAAACTGCGGTTGTAGGAGCCCATTCATTCTTTGGATCAGTCAATATAACTCTCAGATCTTGGGTGTTGCAATTTGAGAGCTGAAAGGTCCCCAGCCAGATTGGAAATAGTATAGAATGCTTCATTTTCGGAACTCTCGTACTTCAAGGTCTTGCAGGCTTGCGGTGTATTCTTCCCATAGTCATGGGAAGAACGCATTGCGGATATCAGTCTTTTGAACAACTCGGCCATCTGATAGCTGTCCACGCCACGAGGGAATTCATGGCCGTTTCCCTCGCCAAACGAGCAGCACGACCCTATAGCAATCTCCGAGAGAGGATCAAAAATAGGAGCTGATCCGTAGCCGCAATGAGCCCCGAATTGCGAATGAATCCGAGTATTGAGTATTGTCCTTAACCGAAGGATGCTAGGATATGTGAGACGACTTCATGAGTACCTTCTTACGCCGCGGATGTACAGATCATACTGAATCCTTAGGCGGAGGCTGTAGAGCAGAAAATATGCACCTGAAGCATAAGGAATATCAATAACGCAAGTTGGCGAGCGGCACTCGTCGATATCACTTCATGCGTACTTAGGATGTGGCCTTGTTGTGTTAGACCAATGGATTTTGTTTTGACGTTACATAATTCAGTGTGATGACATATATACCTCTGCATTAGTACCATATCATATCATATCATATCACTTGCTTAGGTACCTACTAAGAAAAAGAAAGAAAGAAGAAAGAAACCAACAGGCCACCAACACGGCAAGAAACCCCCGAGAATTGCTATCAATAGTTTAGTACTTTCGGACCAAGACTAATACTTCAAGCTGAGATGTTGTACAACCCAACCCGGATTTACAATGTGTACGGATATATCAAATACGGTATTAACCGCCGTTGGCACAAAGACATAGGGGGTGTAGGATTTGGGGGCTGTGTAACACGGACAAATGGGTGAAGGCCTAAATGATTCCCACGTCTACCATCTCTCCCTTGCTTTTTATTCCCCTAAACTTGAGCGTTGTAGTAATCTTAACTAATTAATATGGTTAGATTTGTAACGGCCTCGATTCTGCAATACTCTTAGCTGTGACAATCACGCTTGCATAGTCGAGAATGTCCCAGACGGTCTCATTTGACATCACTCCTGAAAAGGAAGCCAGCAAACTCCAGTTTCTTCGCCGTCAACTCTCCGGATCTCCGCCTGAGGTTTCGCGACAAGATGTCGACCTCACTGGACAGACGGCTATTGTAACAGGGGCTAACGGCGGTATCGGCCTAGAATGCTCGCAACAGCTCCTCGACCTTGGTCTCAGTAAGCTCATTCTCGCAGTTCGCGATGAGGTCAAGGGTGAGGCTGCCCGCAAGACCCTGACGACTGCTAAAGCGCTCGAGCCTAGTCAGACAATCGAGGTCTGGAAACTAGACTACGCATCCTACGAGTCCATCATGGGGTTTGCGCAGCGGGTTGAGGGTCTTAACCCTCGGTTCAACATTGCTATTCTCAACGCAGGCATTAACCGAGGCGTTTTTGCCCTCAATCCGACGACCCACCATGAAGAAGATCTGCAGACCAACTACCTCTCAACGGTCCTTCTAGTACTCCTCCTACTCCGCATCTTAAAAAAGACCTATGCGACGTCTAGTCTCTCGAAGTTCTCCCCAGGACGCATCGTCGTGGTGTCGTCCGACATGGCTGCTTGGGCCAAATTTAACGAGAAGAATGATGAGCCGCTGCTAAAGGCCTTCGATAAAAAATCCAACTGGGATAAGTTAGAACGCTACGCTACCACTAAGCTTCTAGGGCAGCTCTTCGTGGCCGATATAGCTAAGCGTGTACCGCCATCGATAGCTATCATTAACTGTGCCAACCCGGGCCTATGCCATGGCTCAGCTCTCGCCCGTGAACTTGGTACGGGCACTGCACTTTTTGTACGGGCTATCGGTCGACCATCAGCTATAGGCGCGCGTATACTTGTAAACGCCGCCATTAAGCAGGACGAGAAATCTCATGGGCAGTACGTAGAGGATTGCAAACTGAGACCGTGAGCAACCCCCATTCTCCTTAAGTATCTCATGCCGTTTCTATTGTATAATTTATATATCTCTAAGGCCGATGGTAAGCAGACTGACATATATATGTTAACTTATCAGAATGGCACCTTTCGTGTATTCAAAAGAAGCAGAGCAGGTAACGCCACGGTTGTGGGAGGAAACGATAGAGGAGCTGTCGTTTGCAGGTGTTCAAGACATACTCGAATCCCTATCATCAGCTCAAGTTGATTAGTGCCCAGGGGATGAAGTTGAAACCTATTCCATAGTTGATGCCCCACGTATGATAAATATAAAGATTAGACTTATGAGAATGGTGGATAATTTGATGGGAGGGGACTTTCTTACACATAGTTTAAGACACGCTATTTCTAGGTATAATTCATTTTTAATTAAATGTAGTTACCTTTAAAAAACGTTGATGAGTCTCACTCCACAACCGAGCGCCTCAAGTGATACCAGCGGTAAATTTGAAGTTACACGCTAAATAAACGGTATGAGTTCGGATTCAGCAAATAATATACGCGATCAAAAATATAGTGGCTTTAGAAGACGAGGGAAAAGGAATACCGGCTGAAGAATGCTTATATAGGTAGGTAGGTACCCAACACCCATCCCGCGCTCTCTCTTCTTTCTCTTCTCTGTTTTATAATCCCTAGCCAACATTTCATGTCAGCTGGAATTAATACCTTTACCCCTCAACATCAAATATGTTTTTAATGCCTATACAGAACTCTTTAGCCCTTTTTATCATCATTCTAATAATTACTCTCCTATATCTCGCATTTATAACACGAGTTGGTCATAGGCCGAGGGATTTCCCACCAGGGCCACCGACGCTTCCTATCATAGGTAATCTTCATCAGATGCCGGTAAAGCCCGAGGAGAATGGTAAGAAATTCGAAGAGTGGGCACGGCAGTACGGCCCTATATACTCTCTCATTCTCGGTACAAAAGTCTGGATTGTGGTCTGCAAGGACTGGGCGGTCAAAGACCTATTGGATAAACGAGGAGCCATCTACTCGTCAAGACCCGATGCCTATCTGGCGCAAGACATTTTTAGCGGTGGCATGAGGGCATTTTTAATCGTATAGTTTCCTCCTTTAACAAACTCGTCAATTTAATATAATATACCAGCTTAAAGTAAGGCTAACGACAAGAGGATTCATAGAAAGACGGCGAAACATTCAAAAGAAACCGCAAACTTGGTCGCATCCATCTAAGCGAGACGGCGTCGAGGGCATACGTCCCATACCAAGACCTGGAGAATAAAGCAATGCTAGTAGGCTTTATAGAGAAGCCTGAGTTGTTTATCGACCATATTAAACGCTTTACGACTTCCCTGACAACGCAGATGATATTCGGTTTTCGTGTTCTCGCTGAAGATGACCCGTTGCCCAAGAAGTTGTTCCAGGTCAGTCGTATAGAGGCATTCCAATTGATACCGAGGCTTTATGCCTAGCTTACATGATCCCTATAGTCATTCGACCGCTTTTCCAATATATGTTTTTCCCTGGTAAGTCTTTAAAACATTATGGCGTCCTACTTACTATGGCTACTCTTGTTCGAAATCGCAGCCACTAACTGCCAGTGTCTATCTCTAAACCGTAGACCGCAACTTTATTAGACATATACCCAGTGCTAAGACATTTGCCTGATCTTCTCATACCAGAGAAAATGCGAGCGAAGGAACTACATAAAGCGGAACGAGAGCTTTTTCTTCGTTTATACCTTGAAATAAAGGAGAAGACTTCCGAGGGCACAGCCCCAGTAAGTGGCAGCAGTTTGAAAAGGTAGAAACAATGAACTTTAGCTGACTGAATTACTTCCACTTGCTCAGCCGTGCTTCTCTCGAAACCTTGCCCAGGTTCAACAGGAAGAAGGCATGTCGGATGATCAAGCGGCATACACTTGCGGCTCGCTCCTTCAGGGCGGTCTCGGTTCTACCGTGGAGACGCTCACCGGCTTTGTCAAAGCCATGGTTATATTTCCCAACGTGGTAAATACAGCACAGGCCGAGCTCGACTCGGTATGCGGGGATCGCATACCTGACCTGCGTGACTGGTCTAACCTGCCCTATGTGAGGGGTTGCATCAAAGAAGCTCTGCGCTGGATGCCCGCCGGTCCGCTCGGCATCCCGCACGCTCTGATAGACAATGACGAGTATATGGGCTATCGGCTGCCTAAAGGAGCCACCGTCATTTGCAATGCTCGGTGAGTCCCCGTCACGCCTTGACCTTTATAACATTCGGTTTGTTTACTAAAAACTCAACCCCAAAATAGAGCTATACACAACGACCCAGAGCGTTATTCTGATCCGCATGTTTTTGATCCATCAAGATGGGCACATGACACCCAAACGGCTGCGAAGGCAGCAACCAACGCTGACGTGAGCCAGCGCGACCACTTTGTGTTCGGCGCGGGCCGACGTATATGTCAGGGTATCCACATCGCCGAGCGGTCTCTATTCCTAGCTATATCCCGGCTTCTGTGGGCCTTTAATTTTCAGCAGGCCGTTGATCCGGGAACGGGCCGCAAAATCCCGATCCCGGGTCCGGAAGACCTGCAGGGCGGTATGTTCGTCATGCCTCGCCCATTTCGTGCTAACATTACGCCGCGCGACGCGTCAAAAGTAAGACTTATTAGAGAGGCATGGGAAGAAGCAGTAAGACTCTTGGACGAAAATCTGCAGTGGAATGAGGTACCCCAGTTCCCTATTTGGGGGGACTCTGAAGAGAAACGGACCAACACTACGACTAGCATAGGGGGGTAGATCCTAACTCGGGACCTATCTTAGGTACCTATCTAATGATGAGTATGTCACCAGAGCTGCTCTGGATGCTTCATGGCAATTCCAGTTTATTAGAAACCGTTAAACATACGTAACGTATGTACCTTTTCATTTCACACATAAATAAATCTATTAACGCATCAATAACTGTTAAATATTAAAGTTAAGTACCTAGTTACCTATCTCCTAGGTACTTGGTCTACAGGTGTAAAAATATCATATTAAATCCTGACATTTGATTGAGCACTGACATCTACCTATACACATACATGAGAACGTACCAGGTACCTACCTACCTACCTAGGTACCTATCGCATATATTAAGAGGTACTTTACGTACCTAGATACGTATTTAAAAAGGAGGGAGAAAAAGATTGAAGGCAAAGATGGAGGATGTACCTTAGGTATGTTTTGGCCCCCATACCCCCCTTTCATTCTTCTGTTTCCAAGCAATTCGGTCACTAATACCCGTCATGTTGCACAGAAACAGGCCGATAAAGCAGGCGGACGGAGCAGGTTATTTTAATTTTGGAGGGTTATTAGACACCTAAAATGCGCCCTGTCCCGGGACTCTGCTCAAGATTTATCATACCTACCCAACATCCATCTCTACCTAAACCGCCTATACTCTACTTGTATCGCCAACAGGAATATGTTTTTCCTCGAGATATTGAACTCCGCCGCTGAATATGTGGCGTACGCTTTTGTTTTAACTGTAAGATCATCCGGTCTATCAACTACTTGAGTAAACTATAAATTAAATTCATTTCTCACTGTTCTCGCTGTAGCTTCTGTTAATCGTCTCATATCGCCTGTTGCTGCATCCTTTGAGCAGCTATCCGGGGCCTTTCCTTGCCAAGATAACGGATGGCTACGCTGGGGTACTTTCTGCGCAGAAGCGTCTGCCCTTGGTTACCTGGCAGCTACATGAGAGATACGGTATAATCACACCTTAGAATCTAACCCATAGCTGTACAAAGTTAATAAAGTATTAGGATCTGTCATAAGGCTAGCACCGAATAGATTACTTTTCAATTCCGTTACAGCTTTTAGGAGTAAGTTACGGGCGGCCTATGTTTTGAACTAGGATGCTGAGCTGCTTCTCAAAGGCATCTACCAGAACGATGATCGCATCACCAAGTCGTTCACATACGAACTCCTGACCAGGAATAAAGTCTACAGTGTCTTCAACACTCTCGATAGAGATCTGCATCGCGCCAAACGGAAGCTGGTCGGCCATGCCTTTTCCGAGCGGTCGATACGGTCTTTCGAGCCCGCCCTCATACCGCAAGTTGATATTTATCTCAAGCAGCTCCTCCAGTCATCACGTCAGCCCGTCAACATGACACAAAAACTAGGCCATCTCGCCATCGATATCGTCGCGCAGCTTGCACTAGGCTACGACCTGGAAACGCAAACGAGCGAGGGACATCGCTTCTTCCCAAAAGCGATGACGCTCAGCTTCTTCGTAAGCAACATCTCGCACCATTTCCCCATCTTTCATAAGGTCCATACCAACATGGTATTCGACTACATCTTCTACGCGACACGGGAACGGTTCATCCGTGTAATAGAGAAGATGGTGCGCTCCCGCCTTGCTCTGGATACGCATGCGAAACCCGACTTCTTCTCTTCTGTCGCCCACGCGCTTCCCAACGAAGCCGTCAAGACGCGCGATAGCGTCATCTGGAAGGAGGCTATGGTTTTCCTAGTGGCCGGCGGAGACACGGTGGCGACGGCCATGACAGCCGCTTTCTTCTACCTGTCACGCAACCCGGCCTGTTACGCGCGTCTGGCCGAAGAGATCCGAACTACGTTCTCCAGTGGTAGCGATATCAAGAGCGGACTGCAGCTGGGGGGTTGTCATTATCTCCGCGCCTGCATCGATGAAGCTCTCCGTATGTCACCTCCAATCTCGGCGAACTTATGGCGACAACAAGTCGCCACAGACGAGCAACCACTAGTAATAGACGGCCATTACATCCCCAGGGGTACGCTATTCGGCGTGAACATTTACGCCTTAAGCCACAACGCCGCCATTTTCCCCGAGCCATTTACGTTCAAGCCTGAGCGCTGGCTCCCGTCTAGTAGCACCGATCCAGAGATAGCAGGTACCGACGAGGCTGCCAGGAAGTTGATGCTTGAGGCTTTTGCTAGCTTCTCCATAGGACCGCGAAATTGCGTAGGTAAGCCGTTAGCATATCTGGAAACTTCCCTCGTCCTTGCAAAGACGCTTTGGTATTTCGACTTTGAAGCCGCTTCTGGTCCGCTTGGCTCCGTCGGAGAGGGCAAGGATAGGGGAAGACTAGGCGAGTTTTATACGGAGGATGTTTTCAGCTCGACCCATGATGGCCCCTTTCTAGTATTCCATCCGCGGCAGTCGGTTTCCTTGGAAGAAGACCTTAAAATACATGCTTAAGATATGATGAGGATCAAAGGTCTTGGGGTTGCTCTCAGTTTACAGGACTCTCTGTATTCGCTGCCGGTTTATTGTACGTCGAAAATGTATAAGGGAAATCGTCAGTAAGCCCGTCTTAATTAGCTTCACATTTCAATATACGGCATTAACAACTATCTTGCGTTACTCGCCTATATGGGTGTAGAGCTGGCACGCAGGGTTTGGTGTATGCTGTCAATGCATCCTTAGGTTATTCCACCCACCTCGTGTGTCCCTTCCATCATCTAGGGCGCATATATACAAACTAACTTCTATACTTATCTATTGATATCTACTCTCGACATTTCTCTTCCTCTTTTGTTTCCCCCTTCCGGCTCGATCGGCCATCCCGACCACACCTCCCTTGGCGACGATTTCTTGAACGCTAGGAGACATCTCACCAACCTTTTGCTCCCAGGAGGTGCCATGCTGCTCTGTAATGGTGACTTTGGAGAGACGGACGTCCCAAAGTGGCTTCCAGCCTGTGCGGGGAGTCAGGGGCTTATCTGCATCGTCCTTGTACGCTTCACGAAGCCGCTCGACCAATTCAGGGATTTCAATTCCAAGAAGAGCGTTGTTGATGCCTGAAGTATTTCCATTAGTTCTTTGATATGAGGTCTAACCAATTAGAACTCTTCCTTCTTTGCTGCGTATGAACTACACAATGATTGTGTACTAAACTAATGATTGTAATACAAGATAGTCATTGTGAGACTTAGCAATCGTTGTTTAAACTTATTAACTTTCGCTGTGATAAAGAGAAGGAAGCTTCTCTTTCTTTTCCTAATTGGGAGTCCTTATTTATATGTGTATGTGTAAGTCTGCTTGTGGCTTTTGGTCATTGTTAACCCGTAAACTACTCAGATTACTCATACTTACCTATACTTACACCGAATAATCTTCCCAGTGAAGCTGGTGGTAAGTTCAGAAAATGATTTCTTTACCCACCCATAGCGAGTTGCTATCTGAAGCAAAAGAAGATATGAACCTATTCCTAAAACACTATATTAACATAACGCAGGCGCGTAGATGGACCGATACGGAGGAAAATGGCGACGATGACAATGACGATGACGATGACGACATGACCTATCTTGAGCAACGATCTCTCGAGGGTGATCCACCAACGGTTGAACAGCTAGGTCAGTCGCTATCTCTCTTCCAACCCGAAACGGCATTGCGATTTCTAAATCGAAGCGAGATACAGTCGGCCTTCCAAAGGACTTACCTAGAACCGGTACTGCTAAAGGGCGACTTTGACAGCCTACCGATCGACATGGTGCCGGTGCTCCTGGTGTTCGATAGTATGCATGAGGCGTTGCGACCACATGAGTACCTCCAGTCGGAGATCGCGATGGACCCAAAGGGAAGTGATGCCCACGTTGTAGAATTCATCGTTGAAGTTATTCTCTTTATTATGAGCGACGAATGCCAGGAGGAATTTGGGTGGGAGATAATCGATCCTCTGATTCTTGGCACAAGAGACCTCGTTTACATCGCCGCTATGATGATAGATTTGCTTGCTAGACAAGCTCTAGGAGTTGATCTGGATCTGGAATTGTACAACGGCGGCACCCGCGCGCCTGTTGGCAGCCCTATTCATTTATGGTGAACGTTGTGAGAAGCCTGTACGTAAAATAGGTATAGATAGTTGAATTGAAGGAATTCGTCAGTTTAACTAATACATAATAACTATAATATTATGGTAGTACTATCATTGGTATCATCAGAGCACATCTATTGTCTTGACCACCGGAATATAATTTCTTTTGATATGTGCATTAAGTAGGTACCTTAGGAGGTAGGTAGATAAATAACCACCTAAGAAAAGTTGAAGTACCTATTGTATAAGTCAGCTACAGTATGAATAATAGCAAGGGGACAGTGCACGCACACACGCACGCACATGGCATCCTAGGGTTACAAAATACCTCCTCAACCTATCATATCGCACCATCACCGCACACACCATTATATACGGCAAAAAGTTACTGTCTTTCACGCCCGGTTAGCTCAATCGGTAGAGCGTGAGACTCTTAATCTCAAGGTTGCGGGTAAGTTACTCTCAATCTGAGATTATTCACACAATTATGTGCTAACATTAACCTGAAGGTTCGACCCCCGCATCGGGCTCAATTCCTGATGCTTCCCAGTACACTGGGATAAGCAACCCCTCTTTTTTTGTCTCTTTTCTTTTTTGCGACTTCCTTTTTTCTTTTTCTTTTTTTTTTGCTTTCTCCCTGGTAACTTTGAAGGTTATTTATTCATAAAACAGCGCTATCTGACATGTTCGACCCTCGAATTAGGTTCGACTTTATCTTTTGTGACTTGATTTTTTTAATTCGATTTGGGTGTTATATATGTTTCTTCTTATTCTCTCAGAAGGACCCCTCCTCATGCATCATCTGGATCCAACTCGAAGATAAATTTATTCTTAATGGTCATATTTTCCCAGGGTTTCTTTAAGCCCATCCAATTCCTTTTTTAGACAATGTCTCCTTTATACCCCAGTAGTCTACTTATACATCAATAGAATGTATTGATACGTGCTTCTGGCCAAGGTGAAGTGATGGATGTCAGATACAATAGTATGCATAATGACAGCAAATAGTTCCATCAGCAGTTCCATTTAGCTGGCCTTATCATGACCTGCTGTTGCAACTTCTAATATTTCCTTTTCAAATCCGGAGACGTGCACGAACCCGATGTTGGCATTCTCTAACTTCCGCTTGCTAGAATTATCGCTAACAAACTTTTCCGGTTCATGAACTCCGACGTAAACCGTCTTGATCTTATTCCCTATGGCTAATATCCTATCCACACACGGTAGGTTTCCGCTGAGCCTTTGGGAACATGGCTCTACTGTGGTGTAAAGTGCGACTTGGTTCGGGAGGACTTCACCTATGCGGGTTGCTGCAATATCGTACTTTTCTGCAAGCTTCTCAAAGCAGCATTGCTCAGCGTGAGTGTTACCGGGAAGCTCGAGTGTATACCCTGTTGCCAAGATCTCGTTCGTAGCTATGTCCACGACCAATGCTCCGACTCGATAGTTGGTAGGTTTTGGCGGGGATTTGGTAGCAAGAGATAGCGCAAATTTCATGTACGCTTGATGGTCTTCCGCATTTATATCACTCGCTTGCTGAGGAACACTTTCAGCCATTTTCCAGGTGACTTGGCGAAATAGACAGTAAAAGAAGAATAAAATTGATGATAATCGAGATGTATAATACTACCTTAGTAATGTACACTGTTCTATGCAGGTACCCCGCTACAGGAATTATGTAATAGAAGTTTCCTTATCGATAAACCGCGTAAAGAGGAAACGCGTTAAACGCGATCCCCTGGACTTTGTCAACTTCCAGTATCCAACTGGAGGTACTAAAAACGAATCTTGCCGATTACAGCTTCGTAGTCTATCCACCATTTCTTGTCCATCATGGATGACTCAGACGATCTTCTCGCCGGTGAACCGCCCACCATCGATCCGTATGAGGTCCTTGGCTTAGAGCGCACGGCAGACGAGGGCCAGATCAAATCTGCCTATCGAAAGCTCGCTCTTAAAAATCATCCAGGTAAGCTATCCAATTAATTAAAGACACTTGAGCCGTACACATTCTTACGTGTGTTATTTCTTTTATAGACAAGGTTCCCGACGATCAGAAACAAAAAGCCCACGAGACCTTTCAGTCTATAGCCTTTGCGTACGCGGTGCTATCCGACCCGGCGAGGCGCAAACGTTATGACGAGACAGGCTCGACCTCCGAGTCCATTGTCGACTCGGACGGCTTCAGTTGGTCGGACTTTTACCGAGAGCAATACCGCGACGCAGTCACTGCTGATGCGATCGAAAAATTCGCGAAACAGTACAAGGGTTCCGATGAAGAAAAGGACGACGTCTTAATCGCATACGAAGAATACAAAGGCAAGATGGACAAGGTCTACGAGTCAGTCATGCTAAGCGATGTACTCGAAGATGACGAACGATTCCGCGCAATCATAGACGAAGCTATCGCCAATAAGGATGTCCCTGCGTTCAAAACTTACACGCAGGAGAGCAAAAAGTCCAAGGAAGCCCGAGTCAAGGCTGCGAAGAAGGAAAGCGTCGAGGCTGAGGAGTACGCTAAGGAATTAGGAGTGCATGATAAGTTATTTGGCAAGAAAGACAAAAAGGACGGCAAGGGCAAAAGCAAGAAGGGGTCGACCGAAGATGACCTAGCAGCGCTTATTCGCCGTAACCAGCAGGGTCGAAGCAATTTTATTGACAATCTAGCAGCCAAGTATGGTGCAGCACCGAGTACTAAGAAGGGCAAGAAACGTGCTAGTCCGGAAGAAGAGCCTTCTGAGGAAGCTTTCCAGGCTGCGGCAGCAAGGTTGAAGAAGAAGAGTAAGAAGTAGGATCGAGTCTAGTTTTTGTTTACGGCGCATATGGTATTCGGGCGCGTAGGGGAATCAATTATCAAGGCAAGCATGCGATAGGTTTGGAATTGTGAACGTGCTAGGTATTAACTGCTAAATCAGACATAAAATTCATAGAGTAATTCAACCATCTTGGTGTTGTATCATTTTGCGATGTGTTAGCCACGTGTAATTGTGTAATCGTAGTCACAACCAGTAGTTATGACGTACGTACGTACGTGTATGTACCTTGCAGGAGGTACCTACATACCCCTAACCCAGGTGAGTGGGGCACTAGGTAGTACATACTTTTTAAGTGCCTAAGCTTCCGCGTCAGTCGCGTCATCGCAGTCAATCGTCGGGTCTCTTTCGATATTTTAAGACATAACACCCTAGTCTCGTCAGTATTGCTTTTCAGTAATTCACTTCGTTTATCAAAATGCCATGACAAGTGCGGAATCATTGATCTTCTATCCGGCGTATTGCTTCCATCTGTCCCCGACGATAAATAAATGGTGTCCTCTACGCGTTGCCGACATCCATGATCTTGAAGGTCGACCTGGATTTGAAGGTATATCTTTTGAACCTAGCAGATGAGCTATCAAACTTGTGGCCTGAGGCTTACCGTGTCAAAGGTGACAATGTATTCTTCTCCTTAAACCACCCTATCCGTTGGGTTCGGATAGTTGGCGTTGTAGTTGCAATAGACGAGTATTCTTCTACCCGCCGAAACTATACCGTTGATGACAGCACTGGCGCGTGTATTGAATGCAGCATTATTATCCCGAAGCCGGTTGATAGCCGATATCGGAACAACGCAGCGGACCCGGTCCCCGATCCGTATTCGGAAATTGACGTCGGCATGGTCGTCGAAGTTAAGGGTAGTACGAGTGTCTACAGAGGATGGAAGCAGATACAGGTCCACAAACTACAAAGGGTCGGATCCACAAATCAAGAGGTCCAATTCTGGGACAAGATTCGCAATTTTCGCGAGGATGTTTTGAGTAAGCCCTGGGTTCTGGATAAAAGAGAGGTTCGGCGGTGTAAGAAGCAGTATATGGCTGATGTGGACTCCAAGGGGAGGAAGAAGAGGAATAAGGAAAACGGGCTTGCTATTGACAAGCATAAACGGGATCCGGAGCTTAAGGACAAGAGCAGGGAGGCAGGTAAATCCATGAAGGAAGAGTCTCCAGTCATGCTAGGAGCCCAAAGTCCCTACGCCAAAGGTCAATACAGCGCATTAGGGCTGTGAATATACTTACTTATATTTACTCCCTTTTTCCCATATTTTTACATGACATGCTAGGTTCACATCTCAGATGGCCACGGTAGAGATCAATATAAGTGAATGAATTATTGTAATTATCGTGATAAACATTAACGATATCACCTTTCTCATCTTATATTTAACCGAAGTACGACTTTAGAGACGCCTTATAAACCTTAACCAGATAATACACGACGTCCCTTTTCTCAATACTCAAAATACCCAACAATATTAAATATTTACATAATGTAATAACTATTAAAGTGGGCCCGTTGAATTTAAGCTGCGAAGGGGGAATCTGCAGCTCATAATCGTTTTATCTTCTAGTAAGTACTCAACTTTAAATGTCGTGATAGCACGTTCTTTCTAACAATACGAAGCTTCTGTTTAGAATATGGAATGAGCTGACGAATGGGTAGTTACGAGGCCGCCCTCAATGACTGTGCCCTATACCGTTAGAGTAAAAGTCCACAAGCTTAAATTTCTGTCCGACACATTCACTAGACTACAATCAGCATTCTTCACACTTTCATCTCTCTTCTCCTTACGACAACTCCTAAAGACCTAAAACCACCATCGAAGCCAAATAATACGTCTTATCCTTTTCTAGTATTCCTATATCGTATAAACTTTTTAGCTCACTTCACGATTCACTCGTGGTATTTCGCTGCCGTCGATTCTCATTCCGGTGACTCTTCTAGACTCATTCGCTTGCTCAAGCTTGTCACTTAGGTAGGACCCCCAAGCTCCTATTCAAGACAACTCATTCCTCTCCTCGTAAGCTACCCTCCACGCCACCTAAAATCGGCGACCTTGAGTCATCCATCACCTGGACACCATCATCATTCTTGGACATCTTTGCGCCAGTGTCACACCATGTCACTAATCAACACCTTCACCCCTCCCACTACTTATGAGCCATGGGTATCGAACATCAGATCTTAAACTCCAACATTATCTTTTCATTTATATCAATACAAATATACCCGTTTGCTGTCCCACTATTCGTGAAGATATCATCAAATCATTTCGTTTCGAGTTGAGCGCTGGTAGTTCCGATGAGGCTTCGATAGCCCATAAGAAATATACTAAGGATTTCCCCCTTGATCTCCGTTTCCTAAACCGCGATGTTGTTACTCTATGGGATACTGACGTTGGCTCAGGTCTCCCCTATCCTGACGGCCCGACTCTGGACCCCAAACATCGAGGTCAAGTCGCATCATAAAGGTAGGCCCGCCAAAAGAGACTCTTTTCGAGAGAAGTATTCTCCCCTTTCGAAAAATCAAAATATCCATCGCGAAGGTTATCAACCTATCTCAGTGACAGTTAATTCCACGTCCTCGACCATCCCAGAGTTATATCCCAATACAACTATATCACTCGAAACTAGCACGACACCAAGTCCAACTGCGCCTTTGCCATCTGAGCTGAACGAAAACCCGTCGGATACTCCCACAATGTCTCCAGCAGCTGCATCGTCAAACATCTTTGGGGCACCAATTGCAACCAGTGCCCCTGCATCGTCTTTCCCTGTTCAGAAGGATCATCCAGTATCTCGAAAAGGGATCAACAGTAAATCTGCGCCGATAGGCACAAATAAATTCTATGCCAATTTCTTTCTCGGTAACCAGACGTCGCCCACATTCGTGCACCCGTATTCAGTTGTTTGGTCGCATGGTCAGGGAGCATCGTCCAGCTGGGGGTTAGCGATCTCACATATTGATGCACACCAGATAGTGTATGGTAAACCATCCAAAGAAACAGGTGCCGCGCAATACTTCTTGAGCCCCGTTGGCATTCAGTCATTATGTCTCTCGGCGTTGGAACTAGGTCCAACGACTAGTTTGACAACCGATAATCTGACTGCACACTCGGCCAATGTCAACTTACACAGTGATCCCAAAGCAAAGCCCCTTATTACGTTCCCCTTAGTGCAAGGGATGGGGTTCGTTACTGCTATCTATCAAGGAGGGACTCCGCTTATTAATACTGCTATCTACTTCAAGACGGTCACTAAATCAATCAAGGGGCCTAAACCAGGCGTGACCAAGTATACGCTATATTTGGAAGACGGGAAAGTATGGCACGTATACGCATATTCGGAGAAGGGTGACACTTTTGACCTCACAGTCGTCAACAATGGAATGGCCAAGGCCGAGAAGCCGTTCAACGGCATCATTCAGGTTGCCAAGGATCCCGGCGACGCCGAGACCGTAATAGACGCCGCATCTGGTGTATACCCCGTCGGTGTGACGCTTTCCGGCTCAGTATCTGGGTCTAAGGGCACATACACGTTCACTTTCGAGAAGGGGGGAATTTCAGATGTTAAACCACTAATTTACGCTCTGCCTCACCATGTCGACTCCTTCGACGATGCGACCCATAAAAGTATCACGACGGCGAAGCTACAAACCACAACGAAGGGAGTAGCCGTGGGCGTGGTTGCAGATTCGTGGACGATGGTTGAACCTAATATGCCTGTCTCGATGGGCCTTGCTCCTTGGGATCCCGTCGATGGCGAGAAGAAAACGTTGAAGGATTCTGCAATCAACGTAATCAATCCAATAGCTATGAACGAAACTGCCCAGGATGCAATCCACCAGTCGGACCAGAATTCAATGTATTTTAGTGGAAAGGTATAGTTACAGACTGATCAATTTTCTACCTGTGTGGATTGCTAATAGTCATGATAGGCATTGGCGAAGTTCGCTGGAATTTCTTACGTAGCCAACGACTTGCTCAAGAACCCAGCGTTAGCTCAGAGCGGGTTGAAAAACTTGAAAGCCGCTTTCAGTCGGTTCTCGGCAAACAAACAGCAATTTCCGCTGTACTATGAAAGTAAGAGTTGCTGTATCTATATCTTGAATAGAGCTAACTTTAGAAGCTGCCTGGGGAGGTCTTGTCTCTTCTGCGACTTACCTGACCGGAAATGATGGTGCAGACTTTGGCAACACGTTTTACAATGATCACCACTTCCACTACGGCTATTTCATCTACGCTGCAGCCATCATCGGCTATCTTGATCCTAGTTGGCTCACCAAAGACAATGTCGACTATGTGAACGCGCTGGTCAGAGACATTGCCAATCCTTCTCCTTTAGATAAATACTTTCCAGTCTCGCGCAATTTCGACTGGTACCATGGCCACAGTTGGGCCCATGGCCTATACGAAACCTCTGATGGAAAGGTTAGTAGTATCTACGATTTACTCGAGACGTAGGGTATTAATGCATTTCATAGGACCAGGAATCGAGCTCGGAAGACGCGTTGCATGCCTATGCTATCAAGGTGTGGGGAAACACGATCAAGGATGCTAATATGGAGGCCAGGTAAGGTTGAGCGACCCAAAAACGATGCTCTAGTGACTGACGGGGTGAAACGTATAGAGGTAACCTAATATTGTCAATCATCGCTCGTTCTATAAACCAGTATTATCTCTATACTGAAGACAACGAAGTCCAGCCCTCCCAGTATGTGGGAAATAAGGTTGCCGGAATTTTGTTCGAGAACAAGTGTGATCACAATACGTACTTCGGGTCCAACATCGAGTACATCCAAGGTATCCATATGATTCCGCTTCTACCCAGCACGAAGCTCACTCGACCCGCCAATTTCGTGAGGGAAGAGTGGGCGACGTACTTCGACAATGGCCGAGCCGAGAACGTTGAAGGAGGTTGGAAGGGGATTCTCTTCGCCAATCTAGCCACAGTCGACCCCAAGGCTGCGTGGGATTTCTTTACACGGAAGGACTTCGATCCTGGGTGGCTGGACGGGGGCGCTTCGTTGACGTGGTATCTGGCGTACTGCGCAGGCGAGTCTACCTTAATTACTCTTCTTAGGCTTCAACAGGCTAACAATGTTCTAGCCTTTATGTGATAGTCTGGCTGGGCTTGATTGCTTTTATGACAGCCTTGAGACATTTGCTAACAAGCGGAGGGGATAGGGGTTACCTGGATATATTAAAGGCGTTGGTGGCCTGCTTAGTTATTTGTCGACATGAATAATGATTATGATTAGAAGCCAAAATTTGGAGGATACCTAGGGATGGTAATATACTTAAAATCGGGTTTTGCGTATCGACTACCTATAGGAGTACCTATCCATATTGTACCTTACTGGCGGTGTATGAATTAAGCTCATGCTATCCCCTATTAATGTGCCCCTAAACCGTATCCCTCACAACTGGAGCATGCTGATGCTTATAGATCAGATGGCAGTTGACCTTAGGAGTCTTCAACTCCAATTTCTTCTACATATTAATCCGCACTTCCCTTGTCATTTGCGGTAATTTGGGAACGCGTAGCCGCGTTGGTTACGTATCGTTTGGAATAGGCATACCTTACATGGCCTCGTTGTAAGCCCCGTGCATGGCATCCGACAAATAATGATTAGACCTTGGCATCCGTACGGGTCCGGGTATCATGTCAACTTGTGCAGGGCGACCTGTCGACGGTTTCAGGGGCTGCCATTGGCTACGGCAGAGTGATTTCATGTATGTTATGGAGTTATGGACTTGGGAAAGGCTTATCTAGATTCCGGTAGGTACCTAGGTATCATTTGGAGGCCTCTGGTCCTAGGTACATGTAAGGTATTGTATATAATATGTATGTACACAGCCACACTTGGCAATCTACACCTGCATTCTCCTCCTTCCTATACCTCATGTATCCGTACTCGCGTACGTTTCCGCAAGTTTCGATTCCTGCCAAATTGATACTTTGCGCAAGCCATTGGCACGGATATTTGTTATAATTATTGATATACTCGCATCTTGTTTCCGCTTTTATTTCGGATGAGCTGGAAAGGACGAAATCGTCCTGTTGATTTGTATTTGTATTTGTATTCGAAGATCTAGGTCAAGTTAAGCTTACCATGTTTCGTCCCTGGTGAGATCGATTTATTCGAGAATCGGAGCTATGTAAAAACTTGGTTGGTCCTAGCTCCTTTGCTAGGAGGTACGTAGGCTTTAGACTTGCATTCAATTGACATATCCCGTCGTATTATAGGATACCAATGTACCTTTTGCCCGACATTTTGCATACTAAATACTTGGTACATGTATGCACCCCTGTCCCTGTCTCATCGAATCCGGTGCGACCTTAGAGCTCACGCCACGTTTTAACTGCAGGTAAAGCCTGATGTAGTTGTCTGATGTACATAGTTCCTTCACCTTGTTTCGGGGGTGGAGTAAGATGGATCTTTAGCTTCGGTATTATACATTAGGTACAATTAGGGAAAAACTACGTCAACACCGGGACGGTCAAAACAAAGAAAGCTATGAAATACCTGACTCGTACGACCTACACTAGCTGCCCAGGTCCTAGCAGAAAGATAATTGTCAAGGTTTTTCTCTTGGCAACTCACAAGCCCAAGATATGCCCAGACATTCTTCCATGTCATAATTCTATACCAAGAACAAGAACCGAAGAAACCCAAGAAATCCAAGAAATCCAAGAAATCACTTACAAGACAAGCAACAACCCGTCAGCCAGGAACAGCAAAAAGTTACTTTGGTATCTGTCATCACAACTAAAATAACGCCGCAACTGCGTTACGCCCAGAGACACTTGTTTCTTTTCTAGCGACTCAGTAAATCCCCCCCTTTACCAACATAGCTACGAGTGAAAAACAAAGGGCTTTTTTTTTTTTTTTTTTACCTTACTCAGTCTGCGCCTCGTTGTCTCGCGCCCCAAATTCCTGCACATTCTTTTAAGCTTGGGCATCTTTTTTATTCGCCTGCGCCTGCGTTACTTTTCGGGGGAATACCCAGCGTCTTCCCAATGGTGTGTAAGTTATTGCACTAGATCTTCCTAATCTCCCAATATTACACTTACTGCATTTTACTACCTAATCCATAATCAATTAGACGCTCAATCCCCAATTCCCATTTTTATCTTACTTACCTTGGTCCCCCCCTTCTCGTGTTTCCTCACACCTCCGTATATCCCTTTGTGCGCGCTGCTTTCTATAGAGTTAATGTGGTGTTCGCCGACGTGGTGGCATTAATCTTCCGAGCGAATCTTAATATTTATATTGTCTGGCTAACGATGACGCGACGATGGATCGTGATTCAGCCTTACCAAGTTTCCAATCCCAAATCCGCAAGACCGTAACAGGCTTGACTTACCACCACGAGAATGGAGAAGCAAACGAAACTACATCTCTGTTAAGAGGTAACGGTCACTCCGTCTTAAATGGCTCCGCTCATCAGAACGGACACGGTGGTGGGGCTTGGGTGTATTGGGAGTTCTTTTTCAATACGCGGTACACGCCCGGCACTGAGAACCCGAAGCCATGGGTCAAGTATCCGGCCCATACGTGGCATATCACCAAAGCTACTTTATTGAGCAGTACGTATACCATATGCCACCATATACCAAGCGAATAAATCCGGGGGAGACAGGGATGTATGTGTAGCTAAAATGCTAAAATTGACTCTGTAGGTCCCGTCAACATCCTTCTCGTCGCAGTGCCAATTGGTATTGTTGCTGGTCAAGCCGGTTGGGATCCAGTTGCCGTATTCGTTATTAATTTTTTCGCCATCATCCCGCTAGCTGCCGTGCTCTCGTATGCGACGGAGGAAATATCAGTAAACCTGGGCGAGGCTCTGGGTGGCCTGCTCAATGCCACTTTCGGCAATGCTGTGGAGTTGATTGTAAAAAACGGCCCCCAACCCGCCATTACTTGCATGATGACCTTTATTAACAGCTTCCCTGCAGGTTAGCATTATCGCATTAAGAGATAGACAGATCGAGGTTGTCAAGTCGTCTATGATTGGTTCGATCCTATCCAATCTGCTCCTCGTCATGGGTATGTGCTTCTTTTTCGGCGGTATCGTCAATATGAGGGACGAAGAAGGTCGTGGCCAGGAGCAGTCTTTCCAGACAATCACCGCCCAAACCACAGCTTCTCTCATGACCCTATCTGCTGCTTCTATGATTTTGCCTGGCACTGTAAGTACTCCATTCTATTTTGTAAAGGCTGATTGGAGATTGACAAGAAATGTAGCTATTTATGATCATAAATGGTACCGGTGGAGAGGATAAAGAGGCGCGGAACCAAGTCGTACTGTCGCTTTCTCGCGGCACCGCTATCATCCTGCTGCTTCTTTACGTGCTATACCTATGGTTTCAGCTGAGAACACACCACGAATTATTCAGTGCCGAAGCGGGGGTTACACCGGAGCCCACGCAGAACGGAATCCAGCCTCCTGCCGAGGCCGCGACCGAAGATATCTTCCCGGTGTTAGCTCAGGGGCATGAAGAAGAGGAGGAGGAAGAGGAGGAAGAGTGGCATATGAGCCCATGGTCCGCTGGTGCTGTCCTAGTTGTTACAACTGTCCTGGTCTCTATCTGTGCGGATTACCTGGTCGAGAGTATAGATGCTCTAGTAGAACGTGCCCATCTCAGCCGCAGCTTTATTGGTCTTATTCTAATTCCTATCGTGGGTAACGCGGCGGAGCATGTTACCGCCGTCGTGGTGGCAGTCAAGAATAAGATGGACCTTGTAAGCATTATCCTAGAAAACTTGAGTAACATGAAGCTTACTTGTGACGTAGGCTATGGGAGTTGCTATTGGTTCTAGCCTTCAGATTGCTCTGTTCGTGACACCATTCCTTGTTGTTCTCGGTTGGATCATGGACAGAGACATGGACTTGCACTTTGAGACGTGTAAGTTGAATGTAATTCTTACTGCTATCTCTTGAACTGACAAAATCTAGTTGAAACGGTCTCATTTGGGCTGGCTGTGCTGGTCGTGATCTACACGGTCCAAGACGGAAAATCTAATTACCTCGAAGGCGCAATGGTAATGTTACTGCTTTCTGTCAAAAGTAATTAGATGTACTAATATTATTTTAGTTAATGGCCCTCTATGTTATCATCGCCCTGGCTTTCTTCGTTACCCCCAGCCAATACTTCGACGCCGACTGGGTCGTCGGCAAACTTGGCAGCCTAGTCAGCTCAACGTGATGGACGTTCCCCTATTTTTTCTAACCCGTCCTCGAAGGGCGCGGATCGCAGTTTTACGTTCAACTTGTCCAATATATATGCATGCCTAGCGTTGGGTACCGTAGTATCGGATCGTATAGCATATCGCACCACAAGCGTTCCTCACGTCCCATGTTCTTATACATACCTGTCATTCCATTGAGACGTCTTTTTCTTTGTTTTTCTGTATATGTATATGTATATTAGTGGAGTTAGGTTTGAGAAAAATTCAAGGTGCGAGCTGTCTACCTGGAGTTTGGTGGCACATGCAACTAGAATACAGAGTACAGAACAAGGAGTTTATTATGTCTTGGAAATAGGCGGCTATTCCCTATCAATTATATGCGAGTTATCTACCTTGTTTACCTAACAGACTTGTTATTGAAACATGAAGCTATTCCAAGGTATGTACATCGATTAGGTACCTACCTTGTCTGCTTGTCTCTGTTAACCCCTGGCTAGCGTTGGTGGAACCCGAGATTCTAACGTGGGGCTGGAGGGGGGGTAGGTACCTACCTAAGCTATGACAAACGTCATTATTCCGAATGTTATACACAACATTTATCGGCATTCGTAGATTGGTTGCACAAGGTATAGACTACCTAACCTAACCCAGCTATCCTCGGATTAGATATACACTGGACTCCGCGCGCAGAACCTTCTACCACGGCTATTGGATTACATCACTATAGTCTGTCCTACGCTCATTAATAGAAAAATTAATAGAAACACCTCCCACTACCTACATGTCTTGTCTCCGCGGCTTGTACAAGACAACGACGCGATCACATATACTACTTCCATTTGCACAAATCGCAAGTAAACAGTTTTTATATCTTGGTCAGCCATCTAGGCAATTTCAGATATCCAACCAATTTTTTAAGACTACAAGTGCTTGGCGCACATTTGCAACAATGGCGACGACTACGGACACGAACAACTACAAGTTCAATCACACCATGTAAGTCAACGACCCCGCCTTCAAGAGAAGAGGACAAGCTACTAAACGCAGAAACTCGACCACAGGATTCGAGTGAAGGACCCCAAAGCATCCAGTATGACACTACTGCACCGTATATACCCTTCACCACCACAGCACAGACTAACCATATACCCATCACCACAGTCAAGTTCTACGAATTCCTAGGTATGAGCGTAATTAAACACCTACAATTCCCCGACGCCAAATTCGACCTGTACTTCCTAAGCTACGATGGGCCGACTGCGCTCTCGCACGGCCACAGCACCTTCGACCGGCAGGGCGTGATCGAGCTGACGCACAACTACGGCACCGAGCACGACCCGCACTACAAGGTCAACAACGGCAACGAGGAGCCCCACCGCGGCTTCGGGCACGTGTGCATCTCCGTCGACCACATCCAGGCTGCGTGCAAGAGGATCGAGGACGCGGGGTATCGGTTCCAGAAGAAGTTGACGGACGGGAGGATGAAGAATATCGCGTTTGCGCTGGACCCGGATGGCTATTGGGTCGAGATTATTAGTCGTAGGAGGGGATCCAAGGGCGCGGAGGATCCGGAGGAGCAGGGGGTCGGGACGGACGTTGGTACTTATCGCATGGTGAGATTTATTTATTTCTCCCCCTTTTCCCATTAGGTACCTAAGCATCCACGACTAACGCAAGAGCGTAGAACCACACGATGATCCGGGTCAAGGACGCCGAGAAGTCCCTCAAGTTCTACCAGGACGTGCTAGGCATGAAGCTGTTCCGCACGGTTGAACAGTCCGCTGCCAACTTCAACTTGTACTTCCTCGGGTACCCCGGCCCCGAGGGCGTTCCGGAGGACGGGTTCACGGCGGATTATGAGGGGTTGCTGGAGTTGACGTGGAATTATGGGACGGAGAAGGATGAGAAGTTCAAGTACCATGATGGGAACTCGGAGCCTCAGGGCTTTGGACATATTTGTGAGTTTTACTTGCCTTATTTCTCCTCTCACCTTCTCTCTCATCTCTAGGGAATAATGCGTGTTGGTTTTTTTTTTTTTTTTTTTTTTTTGGGGAGAGCTAACGTAGGATAGGCGTTTCGGTCGATAGTCTGGGCGCGGCATGCTCGAGGTTCGAGACCCTGAATGTCAACTGGAAGAAGCGGCTTACGGAGGGGCGCATGAAGAACGTTGCTTTCTTGCTTGATCCGGATGGATACTGGGTCGAGATCGTGCAGAATGAGCGGTTCTCTGGACAGGAGAACTTTTAAGTCTGGTTGCGGCGAGTTGTAGATAGATAGTGGGTCTATGATGGTTGCTATCGTGAGTTGTTAGGTGTGGTATATAGTGTGATTAATTGGAGTTGAGGAGGCCACCTAAAAGAGGGCGAAGAAAAGAACGATCTAACGGTCGAAAAGGTAAACAAATACTTAGCTAGGGGCAATATCCGCATAAAAGTTACTCAATATACCTATATATCAAACGACTTAGAAACGGCGGGCAGACAACATAAAATTCGGCGAAGACTGGTTCCTATTTGATGTACTACGTCACCGGTCCATCAAGGTACTCGTTCTGTTGCCGCTATAGATCAACACATTCTGAGTTTCTCAGGTATGTAACTACCTAAGCTAGCTTAACGGTCGACTTGGCCATGCTGCCCTTCCTCATCCCTCTGAATTCTCAATAGCTCGGCTCTCTCTCTCTCCTTCTCCTTGTTCTTGAAGAACGCGAGCAAGCCTAAGTCATATAGGATTTTCAACCCTCCCGAGGCGACAAATGACACCCAGAACAGATTCCGATCGACCAATATACCTGTCAGCAGCGGGCCGAGGCTCTGTGCCGTAGTTCTGACAACGTTCACGGTCCCCATGACCGCCGTTCGCTCCGCGGGCAGTACGATGGTGGCAAGGAAGGCAGAGCGCGGCCCTGAGTCCATGGACTGAGTGCTCGCGTTCAGAACGAGGAAGACTAGTGCTAGGTGAACGTCGCTGGGGACGCCTAGGAGGGCGCGGAATATTTGCGAGGGGAGGTGTGTGAATATCATGGTCTTGGAAGTTATAGTGTTAGCATTGGGAGGGATATTTATACGAAACACGAAGACTGGAGGAATAAGAGAGCTTACATTGACATTACCAAACCGCTTAGCCAGAGAAGAGGCAACGATCATAGAAGCGCCTGCGATTATCTGCGTGACGAAGAATATTGAGCCTAGCTTCCCCTCTTCGATGTCGAATTGGGATTTGAAGTAATACGTGATCCAAGATCTAACAACATTTAGTAATAGTTGGATAGTCACGAGGCGAAACGGGTTGGTCTACTTACAACGGAGCAGCTCCAGAGCCAAAGGAATCTAAAGCAAACAGAAGGCACAGCGTAACCACTACAGGGACGCTCTCCTTACTGATATCTGGGAATAACGCCCGCAATCCCCGTTTAGGAGGCGTGGTAGCCTCCGCACCGCTCTCTAGCAACGGCCTCGTCTCGCCATCTCGAGCACGGTTCTGTACCTGCTGCTTCTTCTCAGACTCTACCGCGTTGCTCAGGAGCAGAGTCAGGGTTAGCTTTAACAAGCCGAGAGCAGCATATCCCAAGTAAATAGCGCGACACGCGCGGACGAAATCCCACCTGAGAGTTTCCGTCAGGTGCTGGAGGATCCAGCCGCACGCCATGCAGCCGCACGCAGCACCGACGAGACCGAGGAGGCTGTACCAGGCGTAGATGTCGCTTCTCTTTTTGGGGTCGGTTAGCTGCGCTACGATGCTCTCTTCGATGGCGCGGAAGGGGCCGATTTCGTTGCCGCTGGGAGGGATATTTAGTACTTGTGTAATCTAATATTTTATATTTTATTTTATACTAGACAATAAGAAAGAGAAAGAGGGGGAGAGAGAGGTAGATTTGGCCCCTCACCTTGGACTTATAACCCCCACGACCGCCGCGACGAGAAGCACCCAGTACGACCCGAACAAAGCGAACACCACACCGCTAGCGCTCACCAGCAGCGCGCCGAGAGCGAGGACTACGCGCCGCCCCAGCGCGTCGGCGAACAGCGTCAATGCGAAGCTAAGACACACGTCGCCGGCCAGGGTCAGCGTCATGAACAGCCCGATGTCCGTCTTGGGGATCGCTAGGGCGGAGAGATAGGCGACTAGGATGAGCGTTGATAGCCCGTATGCGAACATGCGCGCGAAGCGCTGCAGACAAAGTAGTTTGACGTCGAGCGGTGAGGCGTAGAGCGATAGGAGGCCTGTCTCTTCGAGAATGTGGCCTAGGGCTCTGCGGAGCTTTGACGCCGAGGTGGGCGGAGGGGGCGAGGACATGTTGCTGGTTGGTAGAAGAGATATATTGGGGGGTGGGGAGGGGGTATTGTTTTTTTTTTTTTTTTTTACCAGAGAGTCGATTAGAAGGGGCAATAGGTATGTGACTTGTATAATACAACTCGGAGCTATATTAGAGTATTATTGGGCGTAGTCGAACATATTTTTTTCAAGCCTGGTAGATATCCGAAGCTACGAGATGCCTCGGAGATAATATCGGTAGAGGATCTCGTTAGTTCAGACGAACGATGCCCTTATATCCTGATGTAATAGTGGCTTATACGCTTATATAAACATTCAGGAAGCAGCAGCCCAAGCTTTCTGATCTATTATTTGATTTAGTTTAGGCAGAGATGTTGCTCCGAATATATGGACAAATCGGACAGTCGTTGAGATATTATCGTCAAAGCTCGGCGTTCAAGCTTGTCGCCTTCTAATTGACCAATCAACGACGGCTAATAGAAGATGATCCCCGCCGCGTAATTACGAGCTTAGTTTATGGCTCACTTACAGGGGACGACGCGTAGAGATGCGCTAGCATGGAAAATATCGTAGATATATCCTCTTTTATGAACTACCTTCATCGTGTTGCAGTTGGTGTCTTAAGGTGTAGATGTTCATAAACATTAAAAGGTTTCGTATTCGTATTAGCTACCCAGGCTGTCAGGTAGGTAATCCTACGTTGATCGACAGCTCCCCTATTACAAAAACGCTCGAGAAGATATTCACTATCTATCAGCTTATAGGTAATCATAATATCCTCCTCAATGCCTTTAAAGCTTATATCGGAAGTGTTTGTTCTCCTTGTCAGTTAAATCCTTGAAACCCTCCAGCAATTCTGCTTCTGTTACCTCATTGTGGCGGGCCAGTCGGTCGCGTTCCCTATTATCAACCCAACACCATAGTGTGTATATTCCCTGGAAAAGAACAACAGCACAATAAGTTCCAAGGAGACCCTTAATTGCGGTTGGATACCTAGGCGCCTCCCACGATAGGAACAAGTGAGGGCCGATGATACTACATTCGTCGACGTTAGCCGTTGCCCCTTTTGACTCGCTGATCTTAAACTTACTTTCCGACGACAAAACAGACGAAATAAATCCCGATCACAGTACTTCTCTTAGTATGTCCAGCCACATTGAGACCGGGAACTGTCCAGTTCAAGACAACGGGTGATCCGAGGAAGTTTTCTAGCCAGCACATAGCGACAAGCGCATACCGGTGCTCAATATCAATGGTCAGGATACCCACAAGTCCGGCTATACCAGGTAAGCATCCAAGAATGATAGCTACGCCCACCATATTCGGGAGTTGCGAGAATAAACCTAGTGAAATGCAAGCAACGACTTCGACCGCGCCTCCCGGTGTCTGTAACAGAGATGTTCTGAGCGCGTCGAAGTTGAACCCCTTAATTATAGCGGACATGAATGTAGTTACGGCGCCGTTGAGGATTCCGAATCCTATGCCAGTTAGCCACATCAAGTAGCATTTCCCATCTAGCAGGGCCTCCTTGACTTGGTATGGCCGAAAAGTCGCGTCCTTGAGGCCAATCTGGTTGTTGGAGACACGCCAAACGGCAACGGCACGTTCGTATTCCGTCAGCATCTTCGCATTGTGCGGTCCGTCGGGGAGGTAGAGCAAGATAACAAATCCCCATGCAAACGTGAGAGCACCGACTATCTAGACGTAGGTACTTCATATTAGCCTTTGCCGTAAGGAAGATAAAGGGGGTTCTCACTAGGAATATCAACTTCCATTGTGCTATCGCCAACCCTTCAGCAACGCCCGAGGCGTAAGCTAGGAGAGCTCCGAGAATGTTTGACAGGCCATTCGTACACAGCCAAATGGAGCTTCTCAAGGACTGCTCTTGACGAGTCCATAGCATCGAAGTCAGGAGCACCCACGCAGGCGAGATGCAACCCTCAAGCATGCCTAGAAAGAATCGGACAGCAAAGAAGCCACCGAAATTAAAGACCGCGGCTTGGAGCATGCACACAGCCCCCCAGACGAATAACATGCCGCCAACCAGTTTTCCAATAGCGACGCGTTGTAGCAATAGGTTCCACGGCCACGCTCCGCCTTGGCGGCTAGTATTAGCTTTTCATCTGATACGTTAAGATTCAAGGACTGCCACGTACAGAGCCAACCAAAATACACGGCTGACGCGACCCAGGAGTAATCGTCCCCAGTCATCTTCGTGTCTCCTTGTAAGCCATACGCGTTCGAGTAGTTGAGGCTGTGATTGCTTGGTCAGTATGAGGACTCAATAAGAATAGCTCGGTGTCAACCGTACGTCTGCTTGTCGAGGAATGATAACATGTATGTGATCATCATCTTCACCCGGACCTTATGTTAGGAGCAAAAACATTATAAGATGCGTCAATGTCATCATCGTACCATGGGAAGCACCAGAAGATCCAACTTCCATCGGACTTTTACGGCGTCCGCTTCAAGCTGCGCTCGGTCGTATTGCAACGACTGCTGCAACATGTCTTTGCCTAGTTCGTTGAGATCATTTCTTCGGTGGATCAAGTCCCCTAATATGTTCTTCTTCGGCAATACGAGGCTATTCCCGTGTTCTATATCAGAGGCCACGCTCTCGGCGCCGGTGGTGCCCTTTTTCTCCGCCATTGCTGTGATATCTCGGGTTTCCAAGGATGGGTTGTTGTTGGAAGTAATAGAGAACCATTGGAATTTACGAATGCCAAATGGCATGTTAAATATTACTCCGCTCTATCCTAGCTCTACTTGGCTGAGATAGTCGTGATGTTCTCTACCCCGAATTGTACCTAGTAGGTATCTGGTAAGGTATGCTGATAAGATCCTTGCTCTATATTCGTCGGGGTACAAAGGTGATGCCCAGGCGTGACGTCGCCGTTCCGCTTATAACAACTCCGCTTGAAATCATTCATACCGCGGTCTTACGCCCAGGACTGTTATCAAAAATGGGTATAGTGATTGTATGTTAGATCTTAGATAAAAGGGTAGACGAACAATACTGATTACCAGATAGGCAATCCCCGATGCCAAGAGATATGATTATCTTGCGTCAAATGTAACGATGGGGTAGGAATTAAACAGGTTATACATGAGGAGTTACTGGTATAGTCCCCTTATCTCCAACTATTCGGATCTAATGAAGTTTAAGTCTATTCCCTTAATTCCTTCCCCCACCCTTCGAGGTTATACCGCGGCATAGCGTCTCGGGGCTGCACTATATACTCTTATGAGGGGTCAACCTTATAAGCATCTCTCTGCTTAGATGCTTCCTATGTAATGTCTATTATTAGACGGTCAAACGTTTGAATATGGGCGGTATTGAAGGATCGACGACCAAGAAGTCCTGGCAGGAATTGCAGGCAGCAAAAAAGGCTGAGCAGGACTCAAGAATACCAGTAGAATGGAAGTTGAAACCAGAAGACATTCCGCCGGAGGACACAGTTGACCTCCGCCCCTTTATTAACAGATACGGGATATTGTCGCCGGCTGAGTTAGCAATCACCAGCGACGAGTATGACGCAACATCGCTAGCGGCCGCCATTGCCACAGGCAAATTCACAGCCGTAGAGGTCGTGACGGCATTCTGTAAACGTGCTGCGATAGGCCATCAGCTCTGCAACATGCTGACGGAAATCATGTTCGCGGATGCGATAGAGCGGGCCAAAGAATTAGATGACATTCTCAAAAGCACGGGGAAGGTGGTCGGGCCTCTGCATGGGGTTCCTATGACTTTCAAGGAGTGCTTCCATTTCAAGGGGTACGACTCGACGAATGGGTACATGTCCCGAGTCTTCCAGCCGGCCGACCGCACGTCACCTCTGCCGGAACTCTTGCAAGCTACTGGGGCGGTAATCATTTCGAAGACAAATGTGCCCCAGACGATGCTGGTTGCGGAGAGCCATAACAATGTATTCGGGCGCACCAAGAACCCCGTGAACTCCCGCTTGACATGTGGCGGAAGTAGCGGTGGCGAGGGTGCGAGCCAGGCCTTTCGTTGCAGTGCTCTCGGAGTCGGAACGGATGTAGGCGGATCGGTACGAATACCAGCTGCTTGCAACGGCGTTTACGGGTATAAGCCAAGTTTCGGGATCATCCCCATGATCGGGTATTCCTACTCTGGATGGACGGGTTCTAACACCGGGATTCCAGCTGTGACAGGTCCCCTGGGCCATTCCGTGCGTGACCTTGACCTGTTCACTCGCATCGTCAGAGATGCGAAGCCTTGGGATTTCGACCCTGCCGTCATTCCGAATATCATGGAACTCGGCACTGCAGTATCGCGAAAACCCATCGTCGGCGTCATCCACGCATCAGGCCTTACGCCTCACCCGCCGGTCCGCCGAGCCCTACGCGAAGCCGTAGCCAAGCTCGCAGCAGCCGGGTTCGAGATCAGGGACTTCGATCCGCCGGACTTCATCGGCATCCGCGACATATCAGAGCAGCTGTTCACGCTAGACGGGCTCTCGTTCCCAAAGCAGGAGTTCGCTAGGTCGGGCGAGCCGATCGTGCCCAGCGTCAAGAAGATCGGGTTCTTGGACCTCCCGCGGAAGACGCAGGAGGAGGCGTGGCAGTGGAATACCAAGAAATTGGGGACCCAGAAGCAGATGCTGGACGAGTGGCAGAGGGTGGGCTGCGATGTCGTTCTGGCGCCGGCCGGTCCGCATACGGCGGTTTTGCCGGGGAAGTGGACGAGCGATATTTATACTGTGGCTTGGAACGTGGTCGACGTAAGGCCTTCCTTTATTTTACGGGGAAACAAGTTGTTTATATTATACGAGTTAGCTGACGTTATTGTTGCCTCCATCCATTTTAGTACCCTGCTATCGTCATCCCCTTCACGCACGCCGATCCGGCTCTCGACCCCGTGGATGCCGAGTTCAGGCCTTTGCACGAGGCCGACCGGAAGAATCAAGACATGTGTAAGGCAAAACATTTAACCTACCTACCTACTTACTATAGGTACTATACTATATTACGGTTAGTTGATAGCTGACGTATCAATCACAGATGACTCGGAGCTTTTCAAAGGCGCGCCTGTGGCATTGCAGATTGTTGGGCCGAGATTAGGGGACAAACAACTACTCAAGGACGTCGAGCTGCTTGACAGTGTACTGAACGGTACCGCTTGATCTACTTGAATCATCGACGTGTTTGATCTTTGGCCTACTAGGTAGTAGCATCTGTCTCCTGTTCGTACCTATCTGACCACAGGACAGTGCGCTCTTTGCTCGGCCACCTGCTTTTACAGCTGATCTTAAAGCAAACTAACGAGAGTGTCTTTTAAATAAGGACCCTTGGTAGTCTAGTTGGTTATGGCGTTCGGCTGTAATTGTAAATGAACATGATTGTTACCGAAAAGTCACCGGTTCGATTCCGGTCCGAGGGATCATATATTTTTTGTTGTCTTGTCTGTGTCTGTTACTACTCGTGCTTGTTTGTGCTTGGATCCGGGCTTTGAAAGTCTGAGAAGTGTAGTAGCTAGGGCTAGGGTTAGGCCTCTCTTTTAGTCCTATGCTTTAGTCTTGGTAGTACTAGCCTTATTTTCAGCTGTGGATTCCCTATAAGTTAAAAAAGGGGGGTAAATGTGAGGCTACCTACTTTTAGCGTTGTTGAATTTATAGTCGCATGCGAGGATGGAGATCTAGGATATGTGAGAATTAAAAGACTATTGTCTAAAAATGAATAAAAATGTCGACTTTTGCCACGTCCGGATCAATACAGCTCGCCTAATAAAACCACTTACAGTAGGTAGCTAAAACCTTCGCCCGGAGCATGTGTTGGCGCCACAAATGGAATACGTGCTGCATGCATTCAGCCGGGGCCGGTTCCGACTTGTCCGTTTGTAGACGGGGCGGCTCCCGGGCCCTTGCATTAGGTAACAAACTTCGTATTCACATCCGAGGAATCGGGAAAGCGAGAAGAACTTTAACTTCTATTTTTATTATCGGGTGTTACGTTGCTACTAAATGTTGCTTAGTAGTACAATGTCGTTTAGGTGTTTATATATAAAGAGAAGTTCTCAACGTAAAATTGCATCGCGTCGTACTCTCTTTGATGCTGTATTACGGAAACCCGCGGCAACCGACATATCCTCAAATCCACATCGAAACCGACTTCCTAGTGTAAAGTAGCACCAACTAATAAAACGGGAAATTCACATCGACCGGAAATATGCAGCTTCCCAGGAGTCTCGGAATCTCGACGGCTGTCCTCCTCTGCCAAATCAGAGTCGCACTCTCATACGATACCACTCCGTTCATCGGTCCACTTGACCCCTGGAGGGTAACCCGGCTGCAGATCACGGCTCCGGAGCCGGGCCACTCGAGACCCTTTGGCATCGACCTGGCCATCTCAAATCCCAACAAGGTCTCAGCGGGCCCAGCGCCGCACGCGGCTGGCGGTGGATACTTGCCCTTCGCCCCGAGCGCTGCGAATTGCACCGTCGAGAGCGCGGATGGGGACACAGCTGTGAGCAACACCTGCATCGAGACAACGCAGTACTCATACGGGGTATGGTCGGTAGATTTGCTGCCTGGAAACACTACTATTGACCCTCGGAGCTTTAACCTTGTTTTTACGTTGAACTACAACGTTACTCGTTGGGGAGGGATTCTATACAAATTATATGAGGGCATGGGACACTTCGGAGTCGGTGATAATTTAGAAGAGGGCCGCTGTGATGATGGGAGTGGGACGTGCTTGTTTACGCTGAAAGTAAATAGCACGCCGGCTTTGATACCGCCGACGATGACGGCTTGCCAGGGGACTTGTAGACTGGATTAGTTGAGAGGGGAAGATTGCCTATCTTATGGTTGTTAAGGGTGGTTACTAGACGCCACTTTGGTAAGGCGAAATAGGAATTTTGTAGTAGTTGATACTTCCTCGTTAGTCCTAAATAATTACCTTGCTGAGTTATTTTCATGTATTTATTTAGATGCTAACGTCTCAAGTGAAAATTCGACAATATGCTGAGATGTCTGGGTAGAAGAGAAGCTTAAGGGGTAGGGGCTAGATCAAATTACTAGATTCTCGTAGAAGAACGACGAACTGAAACTTCCTACTCCATGTACGGTTCATTGTGTTTGGATTCAGACGGGATCCATTTAAGCTCTGATTGATGGGATGCATAACTTTCCTATAAGTGACAAAGCTCGAGTCATTGTCCACCGAGGCAAGGCGCGTAGTAGGTAATCCCTTATAATGACGAACGAGTAACAGGTACCTACCTACTATATGCTTGATGATAGCGCTACAAAGCGCTCGTAACTGAGGACTTGTACTACTAATGACGAGGTTCTATAATTGAACATATTTATTACGAAAAGATATCTAATCCTTCCTAAAAAAGGAGTAAACGAGTTCAGGGGTTATCGACCTGAATCTCATATCTGATAGGCGGGTAGTTAATACATCTACCACTTCTTCGAAATTAATAGTATTTCTCTCCTTTTACCTGTTCACTTCCTATATAGTAGCATGCGTAGCTAAGTTTTACTCACGAAGAGTACTAATAGCCTTTGTTCCTGGTCATTGGGGTTGATTACTGCCATATTCGAGCACGCAAGTTGGGCATTTTCTTTGAGGGGGATCCAATAGCCCCCGATGAATATACCAGGCACTAGGCGAAGAAAGGAGCAACTAGTCCTGCTTGTTCTTAATAAAAGTATAGTAGATTTAATTCATATTTTATTAAGATCAAGCCCTCAGAACTTGGTTGCCGTTGGTATTTTTAGCAGTCTGAGGTGGTTGAGATTGCCAGCCCCTCAACATCGTTCACGAGCCAGCCTAAGGTTGTTCTAGAGCTCTAGTATATGCAGCATACTTAAAAGGTCTTGGATGCCTGTATTAGGGCTATTTTATATTGATAAGGCGCTGCAGGTGCTCTTGCGAGTCCAGAGCCTAGACGCGTACAGTGCCGCCGGCAATGCGAGTTGAGCGGATTTTAGAGAGCGCCGTAGACGCAATAGACGCCGAGCGGGATGCCACTCCTGCCTCATTGTATATATATATAATTCACAAGTATACGGTTAACTACCGAACTTACCATGCTGAAACCCAGCAAATAAGAAAAGAGCAAGTGCTCTGGTCGAGATAACCCACGCTTGGATAAGCTTATGAATTGTTAGCCGGCCGCGAGCACCAACGGCAAATCCCCTTCCCCCTTACCGTGAAAATACCTAACCCACGACTTTCTAAAGCGGAGGCGCTTATTACCAATGACTGAAAAACCACGCAACACACCGCCGGCAGCTCTCGAGCATGACTAACAAGCCTTGTCAAAGTCGGACTTTAAGCTGCATCCGGGGTATGTTTTCGCCTTGTACGCGGTCTGGAAAAATACGGAATTTTAATGAGCTGCATCCGGTGGGTAGCACAACTTTAAGAAGTATATCAAGGTAGGCGGCACGGCATCGACGGCTACCTAAGAGATCACGTAGGTAATATCGAGGTTGCAGTTGTGTTCAAAAAGCAAAAGGTCTAAGCCGGTGAAGGGGTTGATATCAGGCTATATGTAATGGGGAAGAAAGGAGGTAAATATGCTCTTACACATACCTACCTAGGTACCTAGGTAGGTATATTATATAAGTGATTATTAAGTGAGATCGGATTTACATACTCATCGTGCAATCCTACCTCTTATCGGATCCCATCCGGGTCCATGTGCCCGGTCCTTACCTTACGTAAGGGAACAGTCACCATTGATGGAACATTCAAACGGTTCACAACATATGAACATTGACCTTACATGTACTAATTCGCGACATGCAGGTCGCACGTGGTCTGACTATAATATTTTTTGCGCGGCAAAACCGCAGTGAAAATGGAAAGAAGTTAGGAAAAGGAAAGAGAGAGTTTGCTGTAGGTAGGTACCTACCTATAGATATTATGGAAGTTATGGGTCTCTACATCTGCCGAGTTGCTATTACCGTTATTATATCGTCCCCACCTCACCGAATCTGTCGATGGCTCGATTTGGTTAATGTCTGAAACTTACTACGAGATTCCCTTCGTCATTACAACTCGGCAGTTTTAATGACCCATTTCTTGCTCCAGTCAACAACACCATCGCCATTTACCATTTACCATCTAGGTTACCATCTACCATCTACCATTTACCATTACCAGACAACGACGGGAATCCCACACGCCTGGTCTCGGACGTCAGATTTATTGTGTGGTCTAGAATCTAGATCCTGCTCGGCTTGCAGCTGTGGCTGTGGCTTGTGTATCACGGTAGCATACCTACCTCCTATCATTGTAGCATACCTATCATCAATGTAGGTATGATGATGTACAATGTATGATGTATGACGGTATGCTACACACGGCCATGCAGCAATACCTAACGCCTACATACATACAGAGACACATACTTGACCTACAATTAGAAATTCCATCTGAATTTTCACGAGAATCAAACTACATCATACATCATCGCGGAGTCATACCCGTCTGCAATGCTGCTATCATCTCGATAGCCTGCCTTCCACTTATGGATGTGCCGAGGCTTACGCTCAAATTTGACGCTACCTTCTTCGCCTCTTGAGCTAATTACCATCTCTGGTTTGCCATGGATGAGAGCCGCATTGCCTGCCCCCTGCGCGCTTAGTTGCGCTCTTCGGCGCCATTTCCAACGAGAGCTACTCTATTCGCCCAAGCGGATGGCGGATGGCGGAAAACGGACTTAAGCTTCCTAGGACAGCGTTGAGAGGGTAATATATACGCCTCGGGTTTCCAAGAAAGTTCCCGAGATGGTTACCGTGTCACCAACAGCGCCCTGGTCAACCCAAGCTACATCAGTTGATCATCGCGGATATGACCCGAAACATAACATATTCTCCGGCTCGTGCTATCGTGCTCTTGTTTGCTTGTTTGACTATACCTGCGAAACCATTGGACTATCCATCTGCCGAAATCACGTCTAATACAGCCCCAAGCCGCAGAGTCGAGCTATTCACGTGTCTACTCACTTGGCGGTCATCCCAGGGTTTTCTTGTCGATTTTCCCAATTCAACACTGGGCCAAGCGCTTGTTTCCCCCGCTCACCTCGTCTGACGGCCTTGTCGACAGGGTCCCTTTTCCTTCCAGGTGGGTCGGCGGGGTCCCCAGAGTCTTGGGTCTGTAGTAGCCTGGCTAGTTCTGAGCGGAACCTCAAGCGGATATGGGGACGATCTCGCAGGGGCCGAGAGGCGCCGGGGAGCTGGTTCAAGCCACCGCAAGGCCCTGAAGTGCCGTCACAAGCGTAACGGTTCATATATCATATAGTTATCTAAATATTAAGTACGAGTGTACCTTCCACCCTCAAGCCCTCTCCCACCATTTTAATCGAACAGGCTAGCCGCAGGTACTGGGAGTCTTTATCCTTGGCCAAATCACCGTTGGATAACGCCGACATGCCCGTGGGATAACCGACAAGTAGGACCGCATATATACCCACCTTGGCACACGTTGTCAGCAGTCCCTGATATTCGGCCTCGGCGTTTCTACTTCTCATATTTCTAAGGGCATAGGTGCACCCAGGGTTTTTTTGTTTTGGCTGTACTACCAGGTCGGAAACTCTATACATCGATAGCCAAGAGTATCTAGAGGTTTTAATGACCTATAGGCTCTTACAGATTTCCCACCGTTTTAAGGAAGTGGAAATCTGCTATTATCCGTCCCGTTCTAACTCCAGCTTATTTCACAAGAGCAGATGAAACCGTGGGGCAATGCTTGGACTGGAGAACTCTGTGATTGGGAGCTTCATAGCTCACTTTTGGCTACCCCTAATTGTTTCAGCGGTTCTCACATGGCTGGTTAAGAATCGATACCATAATGGCTTGAACAAGTACCCGGGACCCTTTCTGGCTTCGTTGACGGACTTGTGGCGATTTTGTGATGTTTATGGACAGAGACCTGACATAACACATCGAAAGTTGCATGCCAAGTATGGCGATGTAGTACGCCTGGGACCCAATTCTCTGTCGTTTGCGGACCCGAAGGCCCTCAAGACGATATATGGCCTTAATAAGGGATTTGTTAAGGTACGAGCCCCTTATACAATTTCCAGTAGGAGGTATCAATTTTTGACACTTTTTATTAGTCCGACTTCTATGTTGTCCAGCAGTCAGTAGTCAAAGGAAATTCTCTTGCCTCACTATTTAGTACGACGGACAACAACTTCCACGCCCAATTCAGACGATGTGTCAATTCAGCCTTTGCTATGTCTGCTTTAGTACAGTACGAACCTTTTGTTGACAATACGACTAAGTTGTTCCTTAAGCAAACGGAGTACCTCTTTGCTGGCAACCCGGAAGGGTGCGATTTCCCACGATGGCTGCAGTTTTACGCTTTCGACGTAATCGGTGAGATTACTTATAGCAAGCGACATGGATTCATCGAGAAGAACGAGGATATCGATGGTATAGTTAACTACTTAGGGAATCTGTTCCTCTATGTTGCGCCGGTATGTTGGAATTTGACGTGATACGCTATGAAAAGGTACTAACACACATAATCAGATCGGCCAGATTCCGTGGCTCGACCGTGTCTTCCTCAAAAACCCCATCTACCTCAAGCTCTCCCAATGGGGGCTCATTGATGCGACTTTCCCTGTTGCGCGGTTCGCGCGTGCTCGCATGGCTGAGCGTCTGGGACCTAACCTTACAGGCGATCCTTCCAAGCCTCTTCTTCCGGTCTCCACCGAAGGCAAAGCCGAACCTAAATCGCCCGATCTACTATCCAAGTTTCTCGCTTCGCATGATGCCCGACCGGAGTTCATGAACGACACTCTAGTGCAAACCATGGCTGTGTCCATGGCATTCGCCGGCTCCGAAACGACCGCTATCTCACTAGCTAGTGTCTTCTATTATCTGCTACGCAACCCGTCTGCGCTCTCAAAATTGAGAAAAGAGCTGGACGACGCTGCTTTGTCTGGCATATTCAGCGATTACGAAACGGGTCTTGTGACATGGACCGAGAGCCAAAAGTTGCCATATCTTGACGCTTGCATTAAGGAGGCATTCCGGTTACACCCGGCGGCTGGCTTGCCGCTCGAGCGCATCGTTCCCGAGCCCGGCGTTGAGATTGCAGGCCATTACGTCAAGGGCGGGACCATTGTTGGCTGCTCGGCGTGGATCATACATCGCCGGCCAGAGATCTGGGGCGAGGACGTCGACACCTTCAGACCTGAGCGGTGGCTAGTTGACGAGACACTCGTAGGCGCCAAGAAGGAGGAACAGGAGCGTCGGATTCGTGAGATGAATGGAATGATGTTCCAATTCGGCATGGGCGCCCGCACGTGTATCGGAAAGAATATTAGCTTGTTGGAGATCTATAAGGTTGTCCCAAGCTTGCTCCGGCGGTTCGATGTAAGCCATTCCCCGTATCCTCTGATCTAATCGGCGATGGTGCCCGATACTAACACTCACCCGCAGATCCAATTCAAGGACCCCAACCAGGAGTGGAAGCTGGTGAATGCGTGGTTCGTCAAGCAGCAGAACTTCGATGCCATGTTCGAAGTGCGGGATCTGGTGAAGCCCCTGAATGAGAAACTTGCCTCGTCTTAAACTATATTGGGTAATGGCTCGAGCCGAGAGGAAAATAATGAATGCTTTGCATACTATGTATACTTCTCATGTTCAGGTCCGCTAATGAGCGTAATAGATTTACTTCTTGTTGCTTTGATATGCCTAGAAAAATTTGATCTAATGTAAGAGAGTAGAAATACTTGGGTTGCTCTAGAGGATTAATGTGAATTGGCCTGGCCTAGTTGCTCTGATATAACATCGTGGATTATGATATGTATTGATTTTATCAAGACTCCCTATCATAGCTGACAATGACATTAAGAGGTACGAAACCTACCTAAACAAACGAAAGCCGCCAGCAGCAGATAAGAAGGGGGTATCGTCCATTTCAACTACTACATAGGTAGGTTAGGTACCTAGACAAGACTACTACAATATCCACATAACGTAGTCCTTAGAGAAAGTAAAGCAAAGCAAAGTAAAGTAAAGTAACGTTAATCAATCAGAACGGGCGGGGAAAACATTTCCTTCAGCATTACCTTAGCACGCAGCTCGGCTGTTCCGCACAACTTTCCTATTCTTCTCATACACATCAATCCATGCCGTTCCATGTCCTCCCATCCCGGGCGCGACGACTCACAGTACAGTGAAGAGAGAATAAATAAAAAGTTGAATAAAAAAAAGGTCGCGCCCTTCCCTTCCTCCCCCCTTAAGGTATCTGTATCAGGACCCCTTTCCCCTCCAAGAAAAATATTTCATTACAAAGCGTGTCGGTTTCCGAATAATAAGTGCAAATTCCCGATAAACGGCGTGCGTTAGTTAGGGTTAAGCCCGGTCGCAAAGGTAGCGGTTAGGCGAGAAGATTGGTTGGACGGCGTATCCAACGTGTTGGCGTTGAAAGTTCGTGGCCGGAATGAAGTCAAAAGGCGAGTCATGCTGGGAACGTCATCAAAAGCGTGGAATGAAAGAATCGCTATAATATCGAGAAGGAATTCCTCGCCATAGCCGACTATCGTTCAGTTCCAGCTTATGATTTCTGGGGAATATTGGTCATGGACTTGAGCATGCTGTGTCCTATTAGCCTATTGATCGAATCGACACCTTCACACGCGTATAATTTAAGAGATGAGATTAGACATTAAATCTACGTACCGCAGATTCCGGTCCCCCATTTCGTCACTCATGGACTTCAGGCCCTTGATGGATAGATTAACTTGTGCTAACTGTTATTACACATGAGTCAGCCACTTTTTCTCGTGATGGCTTGAAAGAAACTTGTGTAAGTGAAAGTAGATGTAAGCGGAGATGCTGCGACTGGCAAGCGAGGGTTTGTATAGGGGGTACTGCGCACCGCACTCATCGCAGCCGATGAATGGTCAGGCTCCTCACCTGCAGCTGCGGGAGCCTCCGAGTCGGTAGCACCTTCGTTATCTTCTTTCTTGTCAGCTTCATCATTGTTGTCTGCGAATCTACTAGCTGACAGACCCTTCTTCACTGGCGTTTGCGCCGCCGCCTTGGCCTGGTATTCAGGTCAGCATAATGTATTATAGATTACTACTAATAGAGTTTAATCGGGCTTCATACCAGTGCCTCGGCAATTTCCGCGTCCTTGACCTTCAGCTGAGCCTCCATCTCTGCAAATCTCGACTTGATATCGGATGCTTCCTTCTCGGCTGCCGCTCTCTTCTTCTGCTCTTCCTCCGCTATAGTAGACAGATTCTCGTACATATCCTTGTAGTCGGCTTCCTGGTTCTTCAGTTTGGCCTCGGCGTCGTTCTTATGCGCCTCCAGGTCCTTCTGCGCAATGAGTGCATCCTGCTTAACTGCCTCTAACTGCTCCTTTAGGGATTCGAACTCTGCCTTTGTGGCATCGTGCTCCTTCTGTAGAAGCTCGAAATCACCCGCAGATTTCGCGGATACCTCCTTGACGGCGGCCAATTCTTGAGCATGAGACTGTTTGAGTTCCTGGAGCTCCGCCTTCAACCTGTCCGCAATAGAGGTATCCGGCCTCTGGTTCTTTAAAGCGTCAAGCTCAGCCATGAGCTCCACGTTGTTCATCTTGGCCTCTGCAAGCTGTTGATGCAAGTACTCGTACTCTTCCTGAATCTTAGCCAGTTCAATGTTTTTGGTCTTGATTTCAACCAATTCTGCTTCCAGAGTTGTGGATTGCTCTTGGGCCTTAGCCAGTGCCTCCTTCGCTGCGATTAATGCCGTCTCGTGCTCGGTAGCGGCATCTAGATGCTTAGCCACATCAGAAGTGGCCGCAGAGAGCTTACTCTCGTGGTCCTGCTTTAACTCCTCGATCAGTTGAGCGTGCTTCGCTTCAAGGGCTTCGATGGCTTCCTTGTGAGAGCTTGATGCGTTGTTCTTCGCGGCTTCTACAGCCTCGGATTGCATCGTTATCAGTTTCTCAATCTCGGCAGAGTGGGCATCTTCGGTTTCCTTCTTGAGAGCCTCGAGAGCAGCGGCGTGACTAGCTTGAGCTTTCTCGAGCTCGGCTTGCGAATCTTCGACCGCCGTCTTGAGGGCTTCTAATTGGGTTACATAGGCACTTCCATCAGCATCCTTAGCAGCCAGCTCTTGAGCATGGCTAGCCTTAGCTTTGTCGAGCTCCGCGTGCGCGTCCTCGAGGGCCGCCTTCAATGCTTCCAACTGAGCACCATGGGCGCTGCTGTCAGCCTCCTTCTCGGCGATCTCTTGTGCGTGGCTGGCCTTGGCTTTCTCTAGTTCGGCCTGGGCCTCTTCGACAGCCGCCTTCAAAGCTTCTAGTTGCTCCATATGCGCGCTGCCATCAGCATCTTTGGCAGAAAGCTCTTGGGCGTGAGCAGCCTTCAACTCGGCAATCGCCGCGTCCGCGTCTTGCTTCTGAGCATTGAGAACCTCAAGATGGGCAGCCTTGAGAGCCTCCAGCTCCCTTGCGAGAGCAGCTTCACTCTCGGCCTTGGAGATCTCGATTTGTTTCGCATGGCTGGCCTTGAGAGATTCTAATTCGGCTAGTTGTGCTTCCCTGTCAACTGAAGCACCGCTCTTGGCGCTTTCTAAATCCATTGCATGGCTAGCTTGTAATGCATCAAGTGCTTTTTGATGCTCTTCTTCCTTAGCGGAAAGGGCTGCAACAGCAGCCGCATATTCGGCCTTTGCAGCCTCCAACTTTTCTGTGTGGCTCTGGATAGTCGTTGAATGCGTACCGGTTAACTCGTCAAATTTGGTCTTTAATTCATTATGTTCTTCCTCGAGGACGTGAAACTTGCGTTTGAAGAAAGCATCACCCTTGAGGCTCTCAATCTCCGTCTCGTAGTCCTGGGATACCTGCTTCAGTTGGGCTTCGTGTGTCTCATCCGAGAGTTTATGCTCCTGCTTTAACTTCTCGTACTTCTCCTCGGCCTCCTTGATCTTAGTAGCGAGATCAGCGCTAGACGATGCATCCGCTTTTGCCTGGCCTAACTCCTCCTGTAAGGTAGCAAATTCTTCTTTGACTTTAGTTAGCTCTTCCCTTGTCGCATCCACGACAGCGAGGGACTCCTCAAGCTTCGCTTTAACTTCTTGTAATTCTGCCTGCGAAGCAGCCAGTGCAGCCTTGTCTTGCTCGGCAGCAGACTTCAGATCTGCGAGCTCTTTCTCAAGTGCAGAAATTTTGGAGGCACTTTCGGCACCTGCGCTGTCGGTCGAAGAGGTCAGTTCATCAATCTTCTTCTGTAGCGCCTCGTTAGCGGCCTTCAGTTCTTGAAGTGCTTTCTCGTGCTCGCCGGATGAGGCTTTGCTTTGGTCTAGTTCGGCTGCATGCGAAGTCTTTAGAGCTTCAACGAAAGCTTGATGTTGTTCCTCTAACGATTTGCGAAGACCTTCTAGTTCAGCAGCGTGCTCCTCAGCCGCCTTAGTCAAAGCACCTTCGCTATCCTTAGCACCGGTATCTTTCTCAAGCTGAAGGGCCTCAAGCTTGCTCTGTAGGCCGTTGATCTCGCCGTCTTTGGCTTCCTGTGAGCTAGTCAATTCAGCTAGCTTCGTCCTGTGGGCTTCAAGCTGCTCCTCGGCGGCCTTGAGCTTGTCAACAGCCTCCGAGATCTGGGTACTTAAAGTCTCCTTCTCGGAAGCATGGGTTGACTTCAAGGTTTCCAGGAGTTCTTCGTGTCCCTGGCGCACGGCATCTTCGGCGCCCTGGACACCATTTACCTCGGTCTTGATCTTTTCTTCAAGCTCAGTGACCTTGGCCTGGGAAGAGACAACCTGTTCCTTCAACGACTCTACCTCCGACTCTTTCTCAGCAAGCTTCGCTTTCAAGTCTTCGATATCCTTTGCTGCTGCCGCAGAAGTCGGCGACGCGAGAGATGGGCGGGGCGCGTGTCTCGCAACTCCAGTAGAAGAAATTGGAGACCCTGTGACGCTGGACAGTCGCTTCCTTGCATCAGCTACGGCACCAGGAGCTCCAGGCCGAGTGGCCGTCGACGTCCGTGTCGACAGAGAACTCCCTGTGCCAGCCGTAGACGGTGTGGGCTTTGCAAGGGTGCCGGTTCTCGAGGCTATGCTGCTAGTAGCCGAGGAGGGCTTCCTTGCCGCGGTAGTAGTGGAAATGCCCGATCTGACGCTAGATTTTCCGGGAGACGACGTTACACTTGGTGCCGTCGAGGTTCGACGCGCCGCCGCAGAAGTCATAGTGGACCTCTTCCTCTCATCTTCTGAGACAGACGGCGTGGGCCTATGGGTCGTAGTAGTGCTTACTGACGGCTTCTTGACAGCGGCCCCGACAGGTGGGCGAGTTGGAGGCTTGGTCAAACCTCCACTAGCACGAGCCGTTGAAGTTGTAGTAGTCTTCGGAGTGGTACTGGCTGCTGTTCCCGGACGACGGACACCGGAAGTGCCAGTAGCCGGTCGCTTCACGGCAGTGTCATCGGTTTTAGATCCGTTGCTCGACTTAACTGAAGATTTGGGCGATTCAGTAGCCCCAGTACCAGTAGTACCAGCAGTCTCCTCGCCCGATAGAACCGACTCGTCGTGCTGGACAACCTCGAATCCTTCGGCGTCAGACATGATTTCGGTCTTTATGAGATAGAGAGAACTCTATTATCGAATATACGTAATCGGTCGCTTGTCAAAGATCTCTAGGTCGGGAAAATCAAGAGTGCTACTAATACAACTTTCTAGAAGGCCAGAGTGTTAATCAATTGTAATTATTCAAACATAATGGGTGACTACATGGGTGTGTGTGAGCGCGACTGAGATGCATGTAGCTTTAGATTCTCATTGACCAAGGAATCAATTAAGACTGAAAACAGCTAATATTCACAGCATCGACACGTCACAAAAGGGGGGGTTCGAGCGTTGATGGTGGGTTGAATCGGGTGTTGACTGACCTGTCGTCTTACTTACAGACTCCTTTTTTCCCCTTGCTCGTCTTGATATCGGATTAGCGCCGTGGGATATTAACCAACGAGGTATAATACAGCAAAGTATTCACTTGCTACTGGTGTAGTATTGACAATAGAAATTTAAAAATCAGGTAAAAGAAAGGGATGACCGAGAAAAGAACGCGTATTTTGTTTCGCGACGTGGATGGCCTTTTTTTCTCAATCCTTCGCGACGCCCTTTTGCAAAAGATAGGAAAGTGTCGGATTGGGGGGTGGAAAAGGTAAAAAAGAGAATGGCTTCTCCAAGATTCTGCACCAACGGTTAAGACCGCCACAAAACGACCGACTCTCTTACTGGCTTAGAGCCCGTCTAAGCACTGAACCTAAACCCCGATAGGCAAGCATCGCTGGAGGGGATCACTTAATCACAGGGGTCTAGACAGGGGCTTCACAGGGGCCCTAGCGGGTCGATTGTCATTGAGCAATAAGAGCTCTAAGCTCACTTCCATGCTGCCATGCAGTTATGTATTTGGTCCGTGCTTGTTGCCGGCTAACCCACCTACCAATTCCACTAAAACCGAGCATTAATGAAACCAGATGGCTGGTACCTACCTGTAACCGGCATTTAAATCCATTTAAATGCCTCCTATAAAAAGACTAAGAACATTCTTTAATTTACTTGTTACGAATGAAAAACTAGAAGCAAACTTCCAAACAGGTGCATCGACGTCGCTTACTTCTAACACGACAATGCAATATAAGGTGTATATATATACATCAGCTTAATTCCTCGCCATTCCGTTTCATTACAATGTTGCTTTTGCAACGTCGTCTCGGTTCGGCTACGTAATTGATAACGGTCAACCCAATAGCAGACATGTGACATAGATTTTGGCCTGTCCGCCTCGTTTCAGTGGATCTACCGATTACTTGCATGTACATACATAGAGGTGCCTACATAACAAGCCCGCCTTAGCGAAAAGTCAACTCTACATACCTTAGGTATAGGTAGTTTCCGACCTGCTAATGAGAAGCCCTGAATAATGGATCACAGCTAATCTAACCGCTGGGCTCAACTGGTTCAGTCTGCAGGCACGACTTGGCCAAGCTGGAGGTTGAGACCGGGAATTGGCCAACTAATGCCGTCGGCCCCTCGTCGATGACCCGACAGCATGCAGACCGCATGTACGCAATCTAATAATTGGGTATGCTAACCTCTCATTTGACATTGAAGCTAGACAACTCCCTACTTGTAAGCCTAGAAAACCTGTCTTGAAACGTTCTCGAGAACTCCAGACATACTTATCCGAGAGCCAATTAAATCGACCCAGCCCTCCAATACGTAGATAACTAGACCGGAGAGGATTGGCAATTAGACCATTATGCGATTTAATCACATCAATGGCAGTACGTTAGAATAATAGAATCAAAGTATTATAGCCTTAAATTTTGAAACTTGATATTCTAGAAGCCAAGAGCTAAACATTGCACACGCACGGGTATAGTAACTTGTATTCCTCAAACAAACAAACTCAATGACCCCATGTACGCCTATAATTCCGCATGATCTCTTGGATATGCGCATTTCTGTCTGCTGCCGTTTGTTGCGGAGATACAGCTTCCAACATCAGCCCTAAGAGCTCTTCTGCCATTGCCTCGGTGTCGTCCAGGGTTTTATCAAGTTCCCAACGGACATCATCTAAGTCTAGCAGATCGGGGTACGACTCCTGTATTTTCTTGAAGAGGAATATCTTCTCTTCGTCAGACCAATCGCAGGACGGTCGTATTCGTGACCGTCCTTGGGCTGATGACCCTCGCGTAGACGTTGGTATTCGTGATTGCGACAGCGGTATGTGGGCTCCCCTGGTAGACGACACTGACCTCTGTTGCCGTTCCTGGGTAGACATCATCAGCGACGCTTCATATTTCTCCCATTCTCTTAATCGCGCTTGCTCAGCCCGATGTTCTAAGTCTCGACGGCGTTCTTCTCTCTCGAGCATATCTGGGCCAGCATCAACAACCTGCTTCAAGTCGTTTAAAACCTCTTCAAGTTCTTCTCGTTTCTCCCGCTTCAAGCGTTGCTTTCTTCTCTGGGTTTCGGTTCCTTTTTCTCCTTTCCCCTCTCCTCTAGTGTCAGATGACTGCTGTCGTATCGACCTAAGCAACGGGCGGTATAACAACCCGATCCAACCAAGTATCCTCATAAGTAACTCAATGGTAGAAATTGTAAATGACGCATCATTCCCATATCTGCCACCACCTAGCCACCACGCAGATGCTAGAACATGAAACAGCATAGGGATGGCGAGCGAAGCAATGTCCTGAGCCAACTGGTCATGTTTCTTAATTTCCTGATTTCGTTGTGATCGGCTTAGCCCTTCCTTTGCGGGCTTCATCCCCCGAATATGACGGAGTATAAGTTTGATCTTCGAGAAATAATAGCCAAAGAGATCACCGTACTTATCAAGAAACTTATTCTGCTCTATAATTCGAGGAGCTCTTGGAGTTGCTTTGAGCAATCTCTCCAGTTTCGTTAGAAACTTGAGTAAAACTCGGACAGGTCCAGGCTGCATAAAGTCGAAAAGAAATGGCCGCTCATGCCAATCTCGTCCCTTACCAGACCACGCTTCATGTCCTATAAGTCGAAGCGCTTGTCTGAGACTAGAATAATCAATGTGTATAGCGACATCATCGTCTTTTTGGGGACTTTCAAATATTTCACTGCCTCTATAGCCTCCAGGATGTCGAGCTCGAAATTTTGCCACATCCTGAGCGAAACCATCTTCGGACAAGTCGAAATCTGAGAGGCTTTCATCGTCTGAGGAGAGTCCATCAATATGCTCTGAAACAGTACCCATTTCATCATTCCCCCGTATATCTTGCGCGCCAACTTCAAGGTCTGCCTGTACTAATTGTGGTGAACCATTTTGATCTCTTTCCGATGCGGGTCGAGTATGTTTAGAAGTTTGGATTTGTCCTATTTGAGAAGATTGGGCAGACTTGGAGCCATGTTGTGGTATATGAACTTCGATACGCCTCCTACGTTGGGGCAATTCTCCCGAAACATTAGAGACTGCTGACTGCCTAGACAATGGTTGTTGGCCCGGTGACACGGGTACGTCCCATTTATCAGCCTGGCTTCGAGCTTCACCTGGGCCATGTTGAACGATACTACTATTGTTCGGGGCGGGATCTGGTTCATGTCCCTCCTCATGGTCATCTGCAATGATGAGTGTAGGCGGGGATTTTCCGCGCTTAGATGTGCTAGTTGCACCACGGTCCCGAAATTCCCGTAAGCCTATATTGACATCATGCTTGGATTGGACCTGGGCGTTGTTCCCTGTATTTTTCCGTGCATTCTCATTTTCTTCTGAACTGGTGGCCCCATTATTCAAATGAGCATCCAGGGACGTTAGAAGCTGCTGATGGTCTCCACGCCCTTTTTTTTTAAACGCGGCATTGACACTGCTTACCAGGCCCGGAGGTACATCATCTTCGGGACTTCTGCTTGCTTTTCGAGAAGGTATGGTTCCGGCCGGCCGTCTAGCAAAGGGCAACGCAGACGTCGGATATAGTTGTGCATTCCCAGCATCGGTTGAGGGCTCAACTTTACGTCTTTTAGACGGATTAGACTGCATAACTAGGTCATCCAGTTGTCGCTTTCGACGGTGATCCAGCGACCGTACATTCGGATCGATTGAGCGTCTAGGTGATAAGGTATGAGGAATTTCATCATCACCACTGTCGACGTCTTCAGGGCTAGGACTATGCTGTTGTACTCGTCCTCCGTCTGGAATGTGACCTCTACCTGGAACCAGAGCTCCACTCCGAGTCCCCACCATATTTCCGGCCTTGGATACAATAAATACGCTGAAAATTAGCTGGGGCGTGTAACTGAAAGTTGGGTATTGATTAAGAGAAAGAAGAGGGTAGACTAAGTCCCGTCTACTTTCGAAAAGACTTTGAAATAGGGCTTAATTAGAGGTGATTATAGAAAATTGCGTGAGGCTCTCGCGGCAGTAATTACGACGCGTGATTATCCCAGTCTCGACTTTTGGTATTGTATTGTACACAAGCCACCCGGCTCACTTACCGGACTGCCGGGAAACGTACCTACCTGCGGGTTGTGGGGTTTCGCAAAGGCAAGGGCATGAGAAGTGTGTTACCTAATTTGAGGCCCGTGCAGAAGCTTCCATTAAACAGCAAGCACATTCTACGAAGTACATAGAGATATGTACATACATAGTGGGGGAGGGGCATATGTTTTGCTCAGGAAGCTGTGACGCAGCTAGCAAACGCCGTGTGCTACATTCAATTCTATCGCATAACCCAGTACCTTTCTATCAACTTCCGGTTTCGTCATTTCTAAAATAATTGCTATCAAAAGTGACCACAAGATAAAGACATTAAATCACGTTTAGATCTTGTATACAAGGCGAAATCCTGTCAATATGGCAACTGTGCAGGATTCGCAACAATCCCAAGGGGGTGTCGATAGCTTCCCCGTCTTAGAGATATGGGATCCTTCAAAGAAATACACTTTTGTCAAGCCTACAAAACAGATTAACGATGGACCTGACGTCGCCCGGTTCCTGACTTCAAAGGCGTATCGAGATATTGGCATATTTGTTATGCAACTAAATCGCGCCATGTGTCCTCGGAAGTCTATAGGAGATGACGGGAAGGACAAGATTATAACTTTCCAAATCGGTTCGGAATACGAGACCCAACCGGTCCAGTCGGTATTGAAGCTGCAAAGGTTACTTGTCAGGATAGAGTCTTATATCGACGAAGCTCCGCCTGATCAGGGCCCGAGGCGCTTTGGAAATGTTAGCTTCCGGAAGTGGTATAGGTTACTAGAGGAAAGAGTCGTGGACCTCCTTGAAGAGTTCCTACCTGATTCCGTCTTAAATTTTGGCCCCGGAGGTGAATCCGATACAACCTCCAAAGACGAGCTCACAGCTTATCTACTCGGTGGATTTGGGAGTCCACAGAGACTCGACTACGGAACCGGCCATGAGTTAAGTTTCTTAGCTTTTCTCGGAGGTCTATGGAAGCTTGGCGCATTTAAAGATGGTAAGCCGGGTGGTGAAATTGAGCGCAGCATTGTGCTGGGTATTTTTGAACCCTACCTTCGAGTGGTGAGGCGCTTGATTCTAACATATACGCTTGAGCCTGCGGGATCCCATGGCGTCTGGGGTCTAGATGATCACTCGTTCCAACCCTATATCTACGGCTCGGCACAATTAAGCCGCGCGATTACAGATTCAGAGCCTATGCCGATTGAAGGCTCCCTGTTCCGGGCACCTAAACCTGCACAAGTAGTCAAAGCTGAATATATTGAACAAGAGAGAAAGAAGAACATGTATTTCTCAGCCATAGGGTTTATCAACGATGTGAAGAAGGGTCCTTTTTGGGAACACAGTCCCATACTATTCGATATATCCGGTATCAAGGACGGTTGGGGTAAAATCAACAAGGTATATATATACTAGACATAATTGTATTTCTCGCTCCTGGCTAACCCTGTGGCAGGGAATGATCAAGATGTTCAATGCCGAGGTTCTTTCTAAATTCCCAGTGGTGCAACATTTTCCATTCGGCTCACTATTCTCTTGGGAACAGGATCCTAATGCCACGGCCCCTCAGCAGAGTATCCATATGGCAAACCAACCCCCTTCTACGACATCCATGCCGCCGCCAACTGCAGCAACTGGATCCGGTACAGCTGCACCATGGGCACAGGCAACAAATATGCCGCCACCCTCCGGACCTGGTGTTCCATACTCCCGAGCACCGTGGGGTCCGGGACATCCTGTCCCTAGGCCATCTCAACCACGGACCAGCACGCCAGGTACCCAATCACCTATCACCCAGGCCCCTTGGGCTAAATCTAGCGACAGGCCAAGTGGATAAATGCGCAAGTTATCTTACGAGGTTCGTCTTCTAGAAGCTTAGGTTTACTTCTACGAAGTATTCGTTTACTCAAGCTTCTTAATAACTCGCAGGGTGAAGACAAGGGTCCCTCAAAATTTATTGAGCCCCATAGTCCTAATTAAAAACACGACCGCGAGCCCCAGGCGCTTTCTATGTATGATTGCCATATTTAATAGAAGCGATATTGCAAACTCGGCCAGGATACTCGAAAGCCCCTATCTCAGGATTAGACCCTATATGTATTAAGGATAGCTAGTTACGTAGAAGTGGATAGAGTTATGATCACTCGTAAGACCCATGAAAAGATACGGTATTCAAGTGCGTAATGAGAGCCCACAATGAACCAGACTTCGTGTTTCCATTTACTTTCTCGAACCTTACCATTTTCATCTATTAACCCAGTCCAAAATTAGCGTCATTTACTTTACACTACAGAGTTAGCATTCCAAACATACGGGCTTTGTTACCCCTGGACAACTTTCACACGTTTACCAAATGCGCGTATCAATTTATCCTCTGGTGCTCAAACAACATAATAGGTCTATTGCAATCAGCAATGCTCATGGAATTAGATAGTATCTACACTAGGTCTGCCAGGCAAGAGGGCCTCGGGAATGCGTGAATATGTACTCAGGTATGCCTTTTCAAACAGTCCGCCTGGCCAGAGTAAGAGATGTAGGTACTTCGTACAGATCCTATTACATGCAATAGCGTTCAAGACCAATAAAATAGGGTAAAAAGAAGCACTAGAAGTATACTGTATCACGTGCTGATAGACTCCTAGCTACGATAAAGACCCTTAAGACCGAAGGATAATGCCATTGTGTGCCAAACCAGTATTATTAGGGTATCTCTCAAACTGCAAACTCTGTGGGAATATCCTCCGTCCATTCGCAACCACCAAACCATGAAATCAAAACCATTGCCGACGATCTGTGACAGAAAGCAGCCCTGTTCACTCCACTTGTCCAACGACCATATTAGTTCCAGTTTATACTGTCTGAATTGATTCGATCGGAGACCATTGTAGATGACATCGGCTTAGACAGCGGGGGCGGGCTTGGCCTCCTCCTTGGCCTCAGCGGGGGCTTCGGCAGCAGGAGCGGGGGCTTCGGCGGGAGCTTCGGCCTTCGGGGCCTCAGGCTTGGGAGCCTCGGTAGTAGCAGCAGGCTCTGTTCGGAGAGGATTGTTAGCTAGTGTCACGCGCAATTCCGATTACAGTATGATGCGTGTAACTCTAGGGAACCCCCCGCGGGAAGATCCATTGGTGCGTATTCAATATGAAACAAAGGAGGGGGTTCGGGTTGGACTTACGCGCAGGAGCAGCAGGTGCCTCAGCGGGCTGATCAGCCTTGGAGGCTTCGCCGGCGGCTGCAGCTGTGATAAGTTAGTAACAGTTCAGGCTCAGTAAGGAATTCCCTTGTCATGTAGCTGAAGGATGCTGGAGAAATGGGATATAGCTTACCAGCAGGAGCCGCAGCGTCAGCCTTGGATTCCTCGGCGGGCTTCTTCTCGGCCTTGGGCTTCTTGCCGAAGATCTTCTTCAACTTGGCCTTCAAGTTGTCGAGAGCACCCTTGGCTATAATGGGTATGGCATATTAGCATCATAACCTTTCACGAATTGACTTGGGGTATTTATATGGTAAGAGAGGAAGTATATGGATGACTTACGAACACCAGGCATGATTGCGGTATTGAAAGTGACAGGCTTGGATGAGAGAAATTGAAGCGTGGTGGTGCAAATGAGCGGCGCGTCTTGAAGACAAAGACTTGAGGTAGGAAGTGTCGATGTTGATGCTTGACGTGTGCACAAATAAATATTGTCTGTCGTAAAGAAGAAGGAAAGGTAAGAAAGGCTTTTGGGGGAAGTTGTCGAGATTAAAACTGGGGAAATCGATAAGTGGTAAATTGAAGAAGCAACCCTTTTTGCTGCACCCTTGACAACTTATTGACAGTTGGAACCGCCCATGCAGCCCACGCAGCCCATCAGCCCATGCACGCACGTTGGATATTTCTATGTATCCTTTTTTTAGCGCCGGGCCGCCAATAAGGCGCACAAGCCTTAACCAACAGACAAGACCAGCCAAGGAGCTTCCAGACAATTACAGACAATTACACTACAGCTCAGGGGTTGCTAATTGGTCATTACCAGATGTATTTACATTTTACATACACGTATGTAGCAAATATGCATCTTTTACGGTACCTACTAAACTGTAGGTATTATACCAGGTACTTACTCAAGGTAGCAGTTGAGCTACACCAGCTTCAGATTTGCATCATGTCTAATTTCTAATTTAGAAATAGTCACATCGTCTATTCCTTTGCTGTTTGTACACTATTTGCATGCACATACTTGGCCTAAGTACCTAACCTAAGTAAGCAGCTAGAAAGCTAGAGAGCTACATAAGAGAGGGGTTATTCAGGGTTCTACCAACTATGACGGGCAATTCGACATCGTTGTTAGTGCATTAGCTACACGTTATATCTCCGCGTCTCACACATGTGTTGGGCACGTCCCAAGTGTTCCCACGGCGGTCTCAGACATTCTAATCTGGGGTAGTTAAGACGATAGGCAGGTATATGATTATGATTACCTACTTGCATGCCTCGTACATATTAAATTTTATTACTACCTCAAAAACCCTTACCCGTTCATAAACTCAGCGGCAAGCCAATTTATTGGGGAGTTATTCTAAATCCGACAATAGCGCCGATCTAGCGAGATAAGTCGTTGCACGAGATCCCCGGAGGCCTTCAACTGTACAAACTGTACATGTATGTACCTCCTGACCTCGTAATTTGTTTCCAAAATAGCTACAGACTAACCAAATCGCAAAATTGTTAATTATATATTTCGTACAAGTAATTACTGAGTAGTATTCCGTATCCCACATGACCTACATACACGACCACACCTCAATATCTAAAATCCTCAACGTTTCGAATTGTTGCAATGCAGAACCAGCAGACCAGGTTATTGGGTTGCAGATCCTCGGATAGCTGCAGCATTTGAAAGCTCCTGACCGATTAGAATAAATGTCCTCCTTTTTAACTACGTCATGGCGTAAACTGGGCGACTTCGCAATGTGAGTTCAAATTGCGAGTTCATAATGAGTCAATTAAATAAATGTCTTAGGAGGTCCACTGCGAAGAACGGTACTGTATTATCCAGAAACTACCTACCTAACCTAAAGACTTACATAACTGTCAATAATTTAATCCAATCAGAGTCAGCGGTCTCAACAAGTCAAGTCAAGCAAGCTTTTACTAAAAGCTTGGCCGCCCCCAAGTCAAGTCAAATAAATGAATTTTTTTATTTACCTGACAATATTTACGGATTGGCTTGAGTCTCGGACCCGGAATTAGTATTAGTCCGATAGCGCCTCATCTCTAAAAACATAAGCCACAAAATCCACATATCCAGCCACGCCAAGCCACAGGAAGCCACAAGAAACCACTTATACCTTAACCACCAATTATACCACGTAAATATGTATATAAGTGGGCCTATATACACAAAATATATCTGGATAACTGGTCAAATAAAAAAAATAAAAGCTTGACCCATTCAAATATCCTAAAAATAGGTATCTGGCCAAGTCAAGTCAAGCCAAGTCAAGTCAAGTCAAATAATTACTTGACTTGTTGAGACCGCTGATCAGAGTTTGCACAATGACTCGTGGCTTTAGCATCACCGCAATCGGGTCCCGGACAGTCATTAGTGGTCTGAATAAGGTCCGAGACAAACGACATCTGTCAAAGAAACTATCCTAGACCTCGATGAGTATCTAAAGAATACCTGGAAAGAATAGAACTTATCTTTTCTCAACTCTCTCTTTTTCATCAGCAGCCAAGTTTCTTGAAGTCCCTAAATTATATTATTAGAACTACTGTAGTAATGGCTCCTATCGTTCATCTCGTTCGTCATGCTCAAGGTTATCACAACCTGAGCGAAGCAAATCAGCAAATACGCGATCCAGACTTAACGCCTCTGGGCGAGTCTCAGTGCGATGAGCTCTGCAAGAAATTCGATGCTCACGATAAAATTACGCATCTCGTCGCTTCCCCTATACGGCGGACGATACTTACTTGTCTGCGCTCTTTTGCGCCAGCGGTTAAAGCCGGGAAGAAAGTAATCGCTCTCCCGGATGCTCAAGAAATCTCAACGCTGCCTTGCGATACTGGTTCAGATCCCAGCAAGCTGAAAGAAGAATTTGGCGAACTTGTGGATTTCCATCTGCTTCACGAGGGCTGGAACGATAAGTCTAGCGAAAGCAGGTATTATCCCACCCCTGCCAATCTTGAGGCGAGGTCACGGGCCGCTAGGATATGGCTTAGGGACTTGGTGAACAAAGCCGGAGATGACGCTCAGGTTGTCCTTGTCACCCATGGCGGTATTCTCCACTTCCTTACCGAGGACTTTGACGGAGTGAAGTTAGAGAGAGGTATGCAAACTATACACTCCTTTGGATAGAAAAGCGGCCCTCGCTACCGGTTGATAGAGCAGATAACCACTGACGGCTAATAGGTACTGGCTGGGACAACACCGAGATACGTTCATACGAATTCAAGGATCCAACCGGCCAAGATCCTAACGCAACATTAAAGGAGACCCAACCAAGCTGGCGTGGTCGGCGTGGCAGCGCAATCCCTCTCACTGAGACTGAGCAAATGGAGATACGCCAAGCTTTCCAGACTGCTCTCAAGGAAGAAACCAAGAAGCAAGAGAGTCGCTTGGCTCAGGCATCTGAGGCTGTTGTCGATTAAGAGGTCGTCAACGCGGAGGGCTAATCAGATCTATGTAAGACCTTGCTTAATAGAAGTCCATCAATAGAGTAAAGCACCCCGATAAATAGACAATACAAGACTATACCGCTTTTTCCTACCTAGAATCATTAGTATGTCGCTGGATAAAATATATATAACAAATATCAAAGAAGCTATACTAATAGATGAAGCTTGTAGGTAACCCATAGTAGCCCTTACAACCCATGCTCTTGCTCATTGCCAGGACTGACTCCTTCATAAGCGTCTGATGATAAACATCACGCACCCAATTCAAGTTTAGGGACTGCGTGGACTTAAGTGCGTAGAAAGAGAGGAACACACAAGTTCTTGTAATTATTTAATTATGCGGACTTCTAGCGGAGTTATACTTCTAATATTACATCGATCATGTAGATAGATAGCTAAGATAGGTAGGTATTTACCCAATTATAGAATTCATCTTATTGTAAACAAAAATTGACCTAGAAGACGCTGTGATGTCCTTTCGGTTGAAGACTTGAATAATAAGTTGAGTTTCCTAATTACATCAAGCGTGTGGCCATTAATGCACCCAAGGTATCTACGTGTAAGTACCTACCTAGGTAGGCACATGTATTGAACATAGGTAGACGCTGTTATTCTATAGATGTAAACCTTATTAGGTACATGTATGCAGTTGCTCAGCTACGAAATATTCGTATGTACACGCGTTGGGTAGTTACCTTCCCTGCGAGGCTTCCTAAGGTTGGGAGTCATAGCTGCCGAATGTGTACATCGGGAGACTGCAAGACTGTAAACAAGAAACTCCAGACGTGCAACTGCCTTATCTGGGTAGGTTCTTTAGCCAAACAGGTTATATCAGTTCGATAGCCTAGAATAAATTGCTCATAGTCTGTTTCACTGCCGCATAGAAACTTGCTCAGGCAGGAACCTCCCAAGACTATTCTTGCAGGTAACCACCAACGTTCAACACATATTCAAACTCGGGTAACAAAACATCTTCCACACCATCCACAACATCTACTTGAACATACACCATTCTCTGTTCTTGTCTCCCAGGCCTAGGATAGTTAACTTGAATTTCTTGTCCAAGGTAGCAGGAAACTTCAAGTTATTCTGTTATTTCTCTACCCAAGCCTAGCCTCTCGTTACTTTTCGCACTTTACTCTAAGCCTATCACCGTTCGTTTCCCATCACACTCTTTCAAAATCTTGACAAAGCATCACCGCAATCATGCGATCCGCATCCTACTTGACATGCTTTGCCTTCTTGGCTGCCACCGCTATTGGTGCGTGGAACGACTTCACCGACCTGCACCCGGTTCTGGCCCCTCGCTACGATGTGAACAAGTACGCCAACATGGTGCCGATTAAGAACGTCAGTCTCTACTATACTCTCGGCAATTCCATGGATCCCCTCAATAGTGTCAACATTGATCTACTAACCAAGCAACCTGCGATGCTACTCGAGTCCATCGGATCGGTACGCGCGGTCACTTGTACGTCCAACACGGTGACTATTACTTTCAATGCTACAACTACGTTCGAGCGCGCCCTCGGAATATGGTCCATCTATGACACCTTCTACCTAGTCACGAATGGCGCGGAGGGTTGTGACGCTAAAGGTGAAAGAGGAATTTACGAAGTCAGGGGTCTCATCTGGCAAGACGACATCGCCACGGTGACAGCACAGACTATCAAGCTGAATTTTGCTACCGCAACTAGTAGGTTAGACGCAATATTAAGCAATTGAACCGACTAACGTTGATCCAAAGACTCCATGCATGTCACCTTCTCCCATGTTCGAAGTTCGATGCAGAACAGCAGCGGAAACATCACGTTCGATGAGCCTGGTATCAATGTCGCCTCCAACTTCTCACTTCCTCCGGATATGGAAATCTTTGAAGCACCATCCTTTACAACCATAGCCAAGAGGGGATACCTCACTGACGCCGCTATAATCCGCGGCTATTTCAGCTATGATGTTCCAAGCTCGCATCTTCAGGATCTCTGGTTTGACATAGACGCGGCCTTCATCGGTGACTTATCCGTCACTTTCAATCTCACCGCACCTCTTGACAACAACAACTTCCTGTTCTCCCCTGGCCAATTCTTCCCCAGTGCTATCAGTGTGCCTAACGCCTTCAGTCTCAAGCCAGCACTTCGTTGGGCCGTAGGTGCTGATATTGGTGCTGTGGGAGCCATATACCACAATAGCAATATCACGACGGAAATTAATGACGGTCACGCACATCTTGACTTCACGAACGCTGATAACTCACATGCTGTTGGATGGTCACCACTCCTCGCTTCTGCTGTCGAAACTGCGGAAGCAGCCACAGGACACGCATCACCTTTCATTGATTTCACAATTGAGTTGGCCCTTGATGTCATGGATGGTCTTTACAATACCACAGGCGGAATTACAGCGCGGTCCCAGTTTGTGAACGAGTTGAACGTGGCACAGAGCCAAATGCGCGTCAGAAAGGCCGGCCCAATGATCTGGTCCAGGAACGTTACCTGCACCAGCGGCTTTGAACTACGCTCAGCTTTCAATTTCTCCCTGAATGCATATGTCACGGGCTCATGGGAGAAGACGCTGTATAACACCACAGTCCCCATTCAGGATGAGTGTTTCCGTTTCTAAAGTCTCATTCACCAGTCCATCAATAGTGCAATAATGGGTGATATTGCAGACATTCAACCTTGCCAAACGATATTCATTTGAGCTGATACGGAGGAGTATGGCAGCTAGGAGTGATGCAGATTTGAGTTATTACAAAAAAAGGAGAGAAAATTGGAATCTCATTCAGTTATGTCAGGAAGAATGCGGTCATGTAATTATCAGTCCTGGGCGCAGATGTCAGGAGCGGGGCTGACGATAAGGTGGCAACGGGACTATGCAATTATGGAAGGTCTTCGGATTTTGCAGTTTGTCCTGTTGTGAACTTATTGGGGCATCATTCTAAATCATTCTAAGTCATCAGTTTTGGGTCGAGTCATCGCCCTAAGAGGTACTTAGGTAGATAAAAACCACAAATACATTGATGTCTCACATATCTCTTCCAGGCTCTCGAGCGTAAGGATAATTTTCTTGTTTACTAGTATTTATTTTTCCGTTCCATATTTAGAGGAAATCCCTTGGTGATTTTGAAGTGTCCTTTTCGGCGAAGCCCGGCCGTTTTTTCTTAGCATCATGATTTCAACTAGAACCCCCCATGGAGCCGCCATTGATGGCCGCCAAGCCGTGGATCGAGCCCCTACTAATCACGTCGTGCCAAAGCCGATCCCCGACTCACAGACTCGAGATCCCCGGAGGTATCAGCTGAATCAGTTAAAAAGGCGCTTCTCTCCCATAGAAAATACGTTGCAAGACGGAACAACAAATCTACTATTCCGGCTCAAACCATCCGATCCGGACTTTCCTTTCGAGCTGGATTATCTGGAATGCGAGCTTCGGGTACCTGCATTGTATCCAGAGAGACCCCCCGTTCTTCGAGTCAAGAATAAGGACATCCCTCGTGGGTTCGCCGTCAATATAGAAAGAGGATGGGACAAGCTTGTCCATGAAAATCAAGGCTCAACTCTATTGGCTCTTATCAACGCTTTGGACAAAAACCTCGAAGCATTTCTTTCGGAGCGAAAGACCGAGACTATAACTCTATTATCCTTCAAGGATACAAGACACCTAAATGGTCCAGCCGCTGTGTTAGGCGAGCCTTCATCTCCAACGGTTAACGCACAACCAAAACCTACTCCAACGCCTCGAAGACAGTATGTACCAGAGGAGTCATTCACGGAAGAGCAAATCGCCACTGCGAGAGCAAGGCGAGCGCAAGAGATCAGACGGCTCGAATCTCGGATGTCCCGGATGCCTCACTACCAAAAATCCGCGGATGGAATCGTTTATACATTACCCTTGGAGCCAAGACGACGGAACGAATTACCGACTGAATTACAACAAATTCAATCAGTTCAGTTGATCATTCCCTTACTTTACCCCCTACAACCCTTGCGAGCTCTGCTTAATAACGTTGAATCACAAGATGCTGAGGCCTTGGAGGAAATCTTTGCAGAAAGGGCTGCTCAACAGAAGCAGATGAACTTGACGAGTCATCTAAATTATCTCTCACAGAATATGCACGCAATGGCTAAGCAGGCCCACGCAGCAAAAATGAAATCTGAGATGACTTCCAAAAGCGACAATAGGGTAGCTGATACCACAGCTCAACGAACGGTAGCTTCGAAGGCTACCAATGATGGTGGAAGAAGTCACATTCATGTCATTCCTCGTCCTCCAGAGTGGAGCTACGTCAATGAATCAGGAGAATCGGACAACTCTGACGATGATTTCTGGGACTCGGAGGATGAATCTGACGATGGGGGTGCAGCGACCGGCATACAGAACGAAGGCGTCTCAGTTGTTACGCAGCAGGCTGAAAAAGGCACAGCGATGTCATTTCCATCAATCGAACTACACGGTATCGAGCTACTCCAAGTGTCGATATTGAACCTCAGCGTTAAATGCGAGCGCTGTAAAACATTAAACGAAGTAACGGGGTTAAAACCGGAGGTGGAAAAGACGGGTAGCTGTAAGAAGTGCGCCACAGCATTTACGGTTAAGTTCCGTCAGGAAATGGTGCATCAGAGCTCGGTCAGGGCCGGATTCATCGACGTTGCCTGCTGCACCGTCGCCGACATGCTCCCCAGGTATATTACCCTCATCATTTCTCGCTCCGTAGCATTTCACGCACTGACATTTCCCCTAGCACATTCGTGCCCACATGCTCTAGATGTTCGACGCCAAGCCAGGGGCTAGTAACCGTCCGAGGAGACGCCATCACCAACGTCTGCCGAGAGTGCCACGCCAAGTTCACCTTCAAGATCCCAGAGGTCAAGTTCCTCACCATCAGCCACGGGTCCCTACCGCCCCCGGCAGCCGGGCCGCGCAAGCGCGTAGAGAAACTGGGCTTACACGCGGGCGACCCGCTGCCGGAGAAGGGCACGTGTCGGCACTACCGGCGGTCGTACCGGTGGTTCCGGTTCTCGTGCTGCGCCAAGGTGTACCCGTGCGACAAGTGCCACGACGCGGCCGAGGACCACCCGCAGGAGTGGGCGAACCGCATGGTGTGCGGGTGGTGCAGCCGGGAGCAGAACTACGCGGTGGAGGCGTGTCTGTTCTGCGGCCGCAGCGTCATCGGGAAGAAGGGGAGAGGGTTTTGGGAGGGGGGGAAGGGGACGAGGGATAGGACTAGGATGAGCAGGAAGGATAAGAGGAAGTTTCGTCGCGTAGGGGGGAGCGAGGGGAGGAAGAAGGATTAGGGGGGGCTGTGAAGTTGGGTGACACCCCTTGCTCAGGGGTAACTAAGACGCATATATACAAGCAAGTTACGGAAAGGAGACTTGCCAAGAAACCCGCCATTTCTTACATAAACATATTTTAACCTATAACTTTCATTCTGGTGAGTTTAAATTCGGGATAACTATACTATATTAGTAACGATTTAAGATGGTTTTCACTTTTTTCTTTTCTCCCAAAATGTTTCCTCCGCTCTTTCACTAATACTTTTTCATCTCATTTAACTCACACTATCTTAATAACTCAGGTATTAAAGGCAGTAACTAGAGCTTTACGAAATATCTAAATGTTTCGTGGTGGATTATAGGGGAACTAGATTTCGTATGACTTAGGTACCTAAACACTGATCTTGAGTAGGAAAAACTGCAATCATTCAACACACTTGAAGGATACGAGGATAACAGGTACTAGGTTAATATTAATGCTAATATCTAAAGGGATCGGGTATGAGGGATGGTGGTAAGTGGGAACGGGGTATAAATCAGGTCCCTCCCGTAAATAGGTACCTAAGGTATATGACTTTCCTACCTTTTCTCAGGCAACCTTCAACTCAATGCCTAGTAACTCTACTAACCTTTTCCATATTCGCTCCTCTCCTCGAATAGATCTGCTGCCTCGTTAGCTAGTTCGATTCTCTTAGCATGCCCTTTGGCCCCGGCGAAGGTATCGTAGCCTGGCCAATTGGTTTTCATGTCTTGTCGACGCCTTTTTTGTCGGTATCATATTGACGAGGTATCTTGGTGTTGGAGAAGGTCAAGATTCATATTCGCACATTGGATGAAATATATCGAATTTTATGGTCACCTTAGGTTCCTAAGTTACATACCTACTTATATTATAAGCCTAAGATATCCTCAATAAATCCCATAACCATTCTGTGAAAGCTGTCGGAGTGCGTCGTACAAGTGACGACAATGCGAGTGACAAGACTGACAAGACTGACCACGTACTCTGGCAAACATCAGAACAAAACGAAAACGAGCACAAGTTGATTGCTATCAGGATTGGATGCCCTAGTGAGGTGAATCATGCCTAGAGTGAATGTCGAAAGTACCTAAGGTAAACCAAATAATAATTATATTAAACTTAATAACACCTAACTTTCTAACCTCTAACAAGGGCGCTTTACGCCTCTTATATACTCGTATAAGCCCCTGTAGCCACCCTAACCCACTATACCCTAACAGAGTCACCCCTCCCTCCAATAGTCCCGTCCTCGGGACCATGCAAAAGCTACGTGGAAAAAGGGTAAAAAAAATCGTAAACCTCGTCGTCGCGTACTGGTCCTAAAATATATACTCGTCTCTTCTAGCCTCGGTGCTAATCTCGTCTCTACCCTATAATAAAGGATATACTCGTCTCTCGTCGTCGCCTCTAGCGCCACTGCTACCGTACTAAGGTATCTCCTAGCTATTCCTATATCTCTACAAAAACCTCGGCAGCACTCCCTTTCAGGCCTAATCTCCGTATACAATCGGTAGTAGGATACGCACTCCCATAGCTACCTCGTCGCTTAACCTACCACAAGGTCACCGGCAACCGTTCCGGAAAGTCTCCTGGCTATCCTCGAACCGCGTCAAAGACCTCGGCAACGCACCCTTTCAAACCCCGTTTCTTCCCCGTAGCAACTATATAAGCTAATCCTATATAAGATTACCTACTACCGTATCGAAATATCTCCTAACTATTCTCAAACCGCGTTAAAAACCATCGGCAGTACGCCCTTTCAGGCCTCGTTATTCCCTGCGGCGACCATAGCTCTCTAAGGTGACTGGGGGAGTCCTACGACCTCCTCAACGTACGTAATCGAGATAACTAATAAAATACTATAGCTAAAACAACTAGTACTATAAAGCCCTAAAGCCTTATAACCTCGTTGCTATAGCCTAAGCCTTATCTCGGTCGTAAAGCATAATCTAAAGCCTAATCTTTATAGCTACTGCCTCGCCCTAAACCCTAATCGCCTAGCCTCGTATTGATCGTGAAGCCTTTACTCCTACCAAGCGCCAGAGATGCGCCGCTGTACCTACATAGTAGTATATAGCAGACCAATAGACGTAAACGTTATCATCATCATCATCATCCTAAGGTAAACCTTAGGCATTAGGTATACGGTGACTCATAGTCTAAACAAGCCTCACAAATTTAAAAAAAAATACCTAGGTAGTTACATCACTTGAAGATTGTTGTTCTGTCGTCGCGTCGTCCCCGCCACCGTATGCCCCCACTTTTCGTCGATACTTAAAGCAGGCAGGCAGAACCGCAAAGCAAGTTCTATTCGAGGCAGGTTCGAGGCAGGCTCGATTATATCAAATCCTTTAACGTGCACCTTCACCACCTTCACCACCTTCATCCCTACCTAACTTACCCAAGTACTTACTTTTTACTCTACCTACCTCTTTTTACTCTACCTACTCTTTACTCTATCTACTTTTTACTCTACCTACTTTTTACTCTACCTACTCATCCTTCTTACAACAACCAAAATAACCCCTACATTTGGGATTTTCTTTACAATAACTCGACCCCAAACCTATTACATTTAAATTAATTGACTTGCATCGCGCAATTAATTTCGTACGCATCGCACATTGCTGCAAAGATGGCGGAGCGCTCTAAAACGCCCACGCCGCGCCTTTCGGACGGCAGCGAAATAAATAACGATATTGACCTGCCCTCGAAAAGGCCTGCAGCCGCAACACCTAAGGTGCACACTCCACGCGCTCTTCGCATCGTGTAGATTAGAGCTTGCCACGTCCCATACCCCTAGGGAGGTTGCGAAGCGGAGCTCACGCTCCGTTCGCTCAGACGTTAAATAGAACAACAACAACAACACAGTTAGCTTGCATTCATGATTTCTTGGCTCGGCAGGTGATACCAGGTGCGTACCTTTAACCACGTCCTAGGTATAGCTCTCACAATAGCATCGTCACTAATCTATCATAACACAGCATTCAACCTCACACTTTGAGGTCTTCATACGGCAAATATCATCAGCGGAGAAAATCTGCAGTTTTGCTGCACCAATAATCGCGTCTTGTATTCTTCTTGACCAGTATCCGCCTGGGATGCATCGTAAGCAAAGGACCCCACGGTACCCGCCAGTACTAATGCTTTCAGTTTTTAAACCTGTGGAAGTATACCAGAAACTTTACCGCACTGCCTGTATGCAAGCCGCAAGAGCTGTGCTAGGCCAAAACCCTTCCGCTGCGTGGGCGTGTACACTCTCAAGTTGTGCGCAGACGAGAGCACTTGCCAGACCCGTACTAGACTCGACAGCCCAGCCAATCAACGTGCAAGTCTACAGGCATATCGCCATCGCTTATATGAAGAGGTATATGGCAACGAGGTCCATAGAGGGCATCTTAGGTCTGGTCGACGACGAAGAGCTGCCGAGCGATTACTATGCCGACGAGGATTACGTCGACGCGGGCCAAACAGCTAAACTTCATATAAGACAGGCGTTAAGACTTCTGTGGCATATTCCTTCTGTAAGTAGCATCACTCATCAATAAATGCATATTTGAAGTACGTTTTCGAATACCCCTATTCAAATGGCTTCTGATCACTGAACTTGAAGTCTTCCTACGCGGCCGAAGACTCATCCGCAACCTATTTGGCGTCCTTCCTGACCAAGCGCGGGGCCGGGCGCGGGGCTGCTGCGGGTGGGCGTGTCTACGTTGAGCGCGTGGAAGCCGCGGAGGGTGGGGGGCGGCGAGAACACGCTTTGGGGTGGCGTGTCGTCAACAGGGCGGGACGAGGTGCTGTGCAGGCGATACGACGATGGGGGGATGCCGGGTCGTGCCGGCGTGAATGCCGAGCGGCCCGCATTGCTCGGGCTGTAAGAGCAGAATATAAAAGGGTGCTTGTCTCGCATATAGAAGGTAACGTATTTCTGAATTTGGTCCGCCATTGTAATATATAATTTTAATTTTATCGTTATTAATATTTATGTCATTAATATTAATAATAGATTCGGTCTAGAAGCCGTAGACGTTACGATATCATCGCTGCTACTACAATTTACTTCCTTCTTTGTCCAGCGGTCGCTGCTGCTGCTGTTGTTGCTGTTGCTGCTGCCACTTCATGAACTGCAATACAACCTCTCGCCCTCGAATTTAGCGGAGCACGGATTACACCCTTGGTACCAACATCTCTTAATCAACCTCCCGCTGCTTATACTATGTAGGGCCTGCCGTGGCTCTCTTGTTCGCATCACGATCGCAAACGGGCCTGGCGACTACGCTTTGACACCGGAGGAGATCGAGTCGGCCACTTCTAAGGAGGCTAACCTGGACCTCCAGGCCATCGCCGGCTAAAATAATAATAAAAGTAATAATAAATGTAAAAATAATTGTAATAAAATTAATTTCTCAGCTTCTCATAGTTCTTGGCATTCACATCCTTCGCTACTTCGAAACCACTAAAAATGGACTACCTCGACGCCGAAGGCGAGTGGTTAGGCATATTTCGTGTCGCAACATGTTGTTGCATACTACTGCTTTCTCATATACCCACCGGGCCCAGTTGGGTTGGAAATATGGGTCTGAGGGCTCCCGTTCTACACGTCCCTTCTATTGCTATATGATAGGGTGATATTCAAGATCTGTAGACATTCAAGTATCGACTGCTAAGTTCTCGCTTTCCCTCAAGTACGTACCAGGTTGTAACCAACGTACCTGTTAATATTAAATATCGAATATACCTACTAGTTATAACATTTAAAAACGTAAACCTGTTATTTAAGTAAAAGTATACCTTGCCTCTGGGGGCTCAACATTCCCTGATTATCGATCACTACCCGTCGATCGGCCTAATCTCAAGCCTATTGGCTTTGCAGGTCTTGACTCGAGGGTTGGTCTAGTGGTTGGTATTAGGGTCCCACGAAGGGGCGACGTCCAAAACCACTCCAGGAAATCCGTGCCGGTTACACGGTCCTCGGGGATAGGATCATTGGATACCAGGTAATCCAACGTCGTAGTAAAGTTACAAATGGAGACATCATCCTTGTCGGTCGGGATAGGATTGATAGATGTTTTATCACGTACTGGTCGAGATACTATACTGGTTAGGATGTTGTACCAGTCGGGTTCTGCCAGTTTAGCGTCCGCGTCCTCCGTATCTTCACTCTTCTCCTTCCGCTGTTTCTTCCTAGGCGGTTGGACTGACACCTTTATCTCATCCCCGTTCGTGATTGCCCTGAGTTTACGAAGGGTTATTGTATTGCATTTTTTGTTGTTGGGAACTCATATCACCTTTTTATTTGGTTTAAATAGGTTAATAAACCTCTGAACTAATGGGTCGCAGAAGAGATTGAGCAGTTTGAATATCTCGTTCCTCGGCTGCTCTCTCTGATGCTTATGCAGCCGCGCCCCCGTGGTCCTCAACATCTTCTCGAGGCTCGAGTCCGTGGTGAGCTCCGCTAGCTGGCTCACGCGGCGAATCTGCTGGATCTTGGCGGGGTCGTGTTCGTACTCGTCCACACTTTTCCGCTGTCCTATCCCGTTGGGCCTCCTTAGACTCCGACTCCGGAAGTCGCACGGCACGATGTCGTATGGGGGGGGGAGTATTCGGTCAATTTCGACGCGGACGTCGATGATAAGAAAATTCAACACCTTTTAACATTGGGACTAGAAAGAATTCTCCTAATTGCCTCTGCTGAATCATACAGAGACCGGGAGGCACTATTTAGAATCGATGAGATGCCACCTGAAGAAAATACCGTATTTCTATCGCATTGTCTCAAGGAAATCAACAAAATAATCCCACACAAAATCCCACACATACGTGATGCCGCAGCCATATTGAAGGCACCAGCATTCTTTCTAGATGAAGATTATGGTGCTGAGCAGATATGGAGGATTTCTTTAGAATCCGACCCAAGTCGACATTTTGCCATCTACGATGAGTCGGACTGGCCATATCGCGAGTGCGGCTACGTGTTCTGGGACCAAGAGAGACTCCGGGCCCTTGGATCCCTAAAGCGTGCTTGGAAACCTGCGGAACAACCGGCCCATAACTCTACGGTCGATCAGGAGGAAATGCAACGTTCTTGGAATGAAAGAGCCTCTATATATAAGCGTGGTGGTCGGGGATTTTGGTCAAAGGACGACGACACGCAGGTCGTTTGGCCCATCCGACAAAGAGAGAAAATGCCGCCCACTGTACCGGGAAGTCTACAAGAAACTAGCCGATGAGATCCGGCGCTCCTTCTCTAGTGGCGCCGACATCAAAAGCGGCCCCCAACTCTCTAGCTGTCGGTACCTACGCGCCTGCATCGACGAGGCCCTGCCATGTCACCCCCTATCACAGGAACACTATGGCGGAAGCTACCGCCCGAGGAACACGCCCGCGAGCCGTGGATCGTCGACGGCCACGGTATTCCGCAGGGCACCCAGATCGGCGTGTGCACGTACGCGCTACACCACAACGAGGCGTACTTCACAGATCCGTTTATCTTCCGGCCCGAGCGGTGGCTCGACGAGAACGGTGATCCGAAGACACTTAGTCGCATGTATGCCGCTTTCAGCCCGTTTTCAGTCGGCTCCCGGGCTTGTGCGGGGAAGAGCATGGCGTATCTGGAGGCGAGCTTGGTCATTGCCAAGACGCTTTTCACGTTCGATTTCTGGACGGCGCAGGGCGAGGCGGGACATGTGGGTGCGGGAGTGCCCGGGTGGACCGACGGGAGGGGGCGGCCGCATGAGTTCTAGTTGTATGATACATTTGGCTCGCAGCATGTTGGGCCAAAGTTGATATTTTGGCGGCGAGGAGAGTTCGGAGGGGATGTTGAGAAGGAGGTGGTAGGGTCTTGATTTTGGAGTTGGGGAAAAGGGGTTTACTTGTTCACAATACGCGCTACTTCTGAGGGCTCTACTTATCTGCGATCGGTTATATTTGTTGGCAAATGGACTGTACTAAAAGGTTATACGCTGCTGCTTTTACGTATAAATAAAACTTCTTCAACAGATTCCTTACTCTAAATTTTCTACGGTCATTTTGAATAACTCATTTCCCCCCTTGGTGGCTCTTGATAGTCCCTATACGCAAAGATACGACGCCAAGCTACCTGCTTTATGATATTCATAGCCTATCTCATAACACAAGTATGAAGTTTACTGAGATAGAGGGCTAGATTTGTTGACACGCTCGTTCGAGCAAATAAATACCCTCTACTGCTATATCACACAGCTTACTACACTGGACACAGGTCAAGACCTAGTAACTGTCGAAGCACTATACTCATGAATTATATTTCTACCCGGCTACCTAAGTTTTGCTTGCCCGACCGACCCAGCCCCTGAAAACAAGACTGCCTAAAGCCTATAAAGGGGTACTCGCCACCATCATTACTGTCCCAGATTTAGGGCATAGTGCCTACACCAATGATTGGATAGTCCTGCTATATCTGATAAGCTATCATGATTTCCGCTTCGTGAGCTTGCTCGTTCCCCAGCCTTCTCCGCCGATTCCCACCCCTGTGTACGGTCAACATGTAAGGGAGTTTCTTGCCTATCAGATGATCTGAAATATGGAGCTTTCGGTGACTTCTAGCACACGGTGCTTTATTTCGACCTAAGGGAGCCATGTTGTAGATAAGAAACCAAATCATAGACGCGCATAAGTATACTTACCGGGATAGACAATAGTTATATAAAAAGGGGTAACTAGTTGTTGAGTACTATGTACTAATTATATGATATTTACGTCGTCTGGAACCTTGTCACGTTTTTCTATATTATTGTTTTCGATTATCATCAAACACAATTGCTACGAGACTTAAGGAGAATAAATACTATTAAGTGCTTATAACCTGAAGATTTGAGTTAGTACTGCGTGAGTATCGTACTATTATATAGTGCGACCTCTTATGACAATTGAATAACTTAGAGTCAAACTTGGGAAACTGTATCGAAGCCATTCCCGGAGATCCCGTAACTAATAACGAGATGAGATCCATAACTACCAGCTCTTACGGCTGCGACGTCGACTATTTAACTGTTAAGTATTACAAAATTCGGTTTTGTTCAAAATACCATGTGAGCCGTCTAGGCAACACTCAAAAGCTATAGATATCTGGCAAAGCACGAGCAGGATTGATCTAAAATAACTTCCTAGCCATAGTATTGGACGCGATCTCAAGTCATTTGCTTATACGCAGCTCACTAGTAAACTCTTCGGTGTTAAGCTATAAAACCCAATAACTATCAATCTTCCGCAAGCACACTTCATGATGCAGTAATAAATGACGATGGACTACACCACCAGGTCTAGGATCTTAGAGTGTCATAGGGTGATTTTATTTCCCCATGGACTTTATATTACATTAGGCATACTCGTAACAAGAACCGCATAGTTACTCGTGTAGCTACCAACTTTACGAGCACCAAACTATAACCCCCTTTCCACTGAACATGGACTCAATATACACAATTGATGTTCATATTAATATTCATACTAGCTTATATATATTCAAAAGCCCTAAGAGCTTTAATAGGGCTAAATTATGAAGATCGTAAAGGCTTTACCGCCTTTGCGTTCACGTAAGGGATGCTACTGATATCTATCTATCTAGGTACATAGGTAGGTAGGTAGTTATTAAAATGAGTGAGCTCCTGTTAAAATTAACTGCTAGAAAATTCGAGAAACATCATCTAGCCGAGGTTAAATCCGCTTAATTCTTCTGGATGTTTTCATTGATGTATTCGGTTTGCTGCTACCAACAAGTCGGTACAGTTAATATTACCTAGGTACCTAACCTAGTATCAAATACCCTTATATGTTGCCTATTAAGGAGGTTACCGCGCCGTCGGTAATACACGCGGTACTTGCCCAAGTATTCGTTTTTTTTTTTCTCAGAATAAAATAATATTTTTAATATTTTTTATTTATTTCATCTTGGTTTGTTTTATTCTAATCCTTGAGTACTCTCATTACCGCTCAAGCCGCCCATACGACGAAAAACCCCGAACGCACCCCAAACTAATCCGCCGTCATCCCTGAAGCGACGACGACATGTCCCACTTTCCCTTTTCCATGCGAACTATTTTCCCAAGCCATAGCCCTGGGACGAATTTCCTCGTGTCTTAGGCACTCAATGGTAGAGAATAGATATATCATATTCTACCCAAGCGGGTCCTCCCCCCTGTCTCCAAGGCTTCCGGGATGCACCGGACTCCCTTCCGCCTGGAACTCAAGGTGACATTGCTGCGGAGCCGCAAATCGCTCCTAGCACCCCTGGGTTCCCTATCCCATGTCTATAGCGCGATATAAATTGAATACATAACATGGACTTGCCGGAGTTTTAAACACGCCAGTACCGTCTTGAGTAAAATTCTTGCCGAGCGCCCCTCCGTTTTGGAACGCCCACAGCCAGTAACCCAGATATGCCGCCGACAAGGCTCTTCTGTACCCGGCCCCCTACCAGTCCGCTGCTCCTATTCGGGGTAAGGGAGATTAATTCTAGGCTGATTAGCTTCTTACTCTACCGGCAAAGAGAGTGACAGGACCCGCCCTAGCGGCCGCAAGTACACAGCATATCGAGCCCGGCAGCGTGGCGCTGGCGCGATGCTCCATCAAAACTGTATCGGTCCATCTACGGTGTAATCGAACCCGTCGTCATGGATTTGGTAGTTTGGGAAGCGAGGTAACTCCACTACTCTAATGTCGCGTGTGATAATCAATAATCAATATTCAACTTCCCCATGAACATAACGATCTTCTGGAAATTAAGAAGGGTTTTCATCACGGTCCGTGGTCCTGGATCAGATTGGCGGTTGGGTATTTCGGCGCGTTGGGTAGCATGCTAATATGTAGAGAATACAGAGACATCCAGGCAGACAGACATACTCTACATACACGGACATGGTTCGAGCGGCGGTGATGACCGGGCAAAAATCTACATACGAAGCCGACAGGTTTGACGATGTTGACACAAGGCGGTAAGTTGAATTGAAGGCCAAAGCAGCCCATCCATATAACCTCGCACCAACAAAAATCTACAAATATGTACAAATACCTACATACGCGTACTGCAGCAGAGCATGTAGGGCTACTACGGACAAGGCGACCTAACCGTTCGAGGTGCGTTTCGCAAAAGCCGCGGCTAATGAGCGTTCCGCGCCGGCGGCTCACTCACTCACTCACTCACTGTACATGCCTACATGAAGAATACCGGTGTATGTAAATCCGGGGCAGTACATATCTTGCGTAGTGTACCTTTGACAGGTCTCGTCGTCGTGTCGAAAGCCAATCAGCGCGTCCCAGAATTAACTCCGCTGCAGGTCGGAGCTTGCGGTGTAGCAATGGGTGAATATGTATGTACATACATACCTAACCTAGGTATCAATGGTTCCCCAGTCCCTGTGTTACGAAAAGCATGCGCCGCATGCGCCGGTCGTCACGAGTTACGGCAGTTGTTCGTGGTAGTTGATTAATTGGTGGAATGGCTGTGCTGGCTGGCTGGCTGCACTTATGAGATGAAATACATACTCTTTTCGTCTGGCCATCTTACATAACGTAGGATGTACATATGTGTGTACCTAATGTAGGAACCAACATGACCAAGACCATGCTGTTATAATATATACCTAATTACGAGACTAAGATATCGAATCCTACGCGGGATGTTAGGAACGGCGTTCCGTCCGCACATCCCGCCAGACCGCGACGGGAAGATGTGGTTCCTTTATTGCCGTATTCGTGTTTAAACTTCTGACAGGAACTCCTACGTTTCCAGAACACCTAACATACAATACATTAGGTAGGTAGTTAAGTGGCTTTCTATGTTGTCTAAATGTTGGGGTTTTGGGGGTCACCCACTCACTTACTGATCTTCCCCTTTCGGCAACAAGTGGTAAGTTCGGGCCACTCACGCCTCTCACCGAGGGACATACATTAGGTAGGTATGGTAAGTGTTATATAGACCAGGGGTAAATGTTAGTATGGTCTGGTGGTCATTACTAGGTTAACCTAGATAAATTCGAGCCATAGCAACCTCACGATATGGCACAATGCCACATGGGTTGGTGCCATCGGAGTTACCCTATCTCGAGGTTTCTGCATGAGCCTTTTGCGTGCGACTGTAATAGGAGCGTTTCATTCCTTTGCGGTAGTAGAAGGATTCATTATTAATAGAATCCCACTGACTGCGGTCAAGTACCTTGATATCTGCTATAGCTGCCCACGCACAGGCACATACATGCACGTTTCCAAATCATTGGTCGATTATTCTTGGTCACATATTTAGATATATATTATTGCGCCAAGTTAGTAGACGTGGACTATCGTTTTACATGTCTACCGAATAACTATTAAGGCGTAGTTTACTTATAACTTAGCTTGTTATAACCAACTGACTAACTACCTACTAATTAATTAATGGAAGTAAATAGTCTAGGTTTGGGAACATCCTTATGCAAGGTACTATTCGTGATGTTTCTGCTGAAAGGGTGGTTGACCTTACAGAAGGAGAAACAGGGCCTGCTTGTGTATAACGCTTATCTTTAACGCGAGGGAGGGATCAACCGCATTGCGACAGTAAGAACCCCGCGGTGAAATATGTACTATTAATATTTCATTCTTTATTTATTTGAATTTATCTCGAGGTGGATAAATGGTTCCTTAGTATTCAAGTATCTGGTAGAAGGAATAGAGCCTCGCATTTCGCTAATGTAGAGTGGGGGAACTTCATATCCACGTGGAAATATGTATGTAGGTAAGCTTCCTTATCTCATCCCATTAGCAAAGACTATTGTGTTATTGTGAGTGAAATAGTTGACCACGAGATCGAAGCAATCGATCCACAAACTGACCCGATCACTCGGAGTCGTGGTTCGAAGACCAGCTTCTCCAGTCTTCATCATAAGATCGTAGAATGGAGCTCATCGTATCCACTCATGCCGCTGCGAAGTAGTTGTAAAGTCCACCAAAGCCATGGCCTCGGGTCGATATGATATGCCCTCATACATATTATTCAACTTACTTGGCAACAGACTCAAAGCGGTCCGCAATTCTGGCTTTGTCCGGGGTTGTCTCCATAGTGTAGGTACGAACAGATCAGAAACACCAGAGTTGGGAAATTAAAGCGTCCAAAAACATCGACCGAAGCTGAAAATCTCTTATGTCCGATGGAGATATCGCGGTGGAGAAATATCGGAGAGGTCGATTAAAGAGCCTATCAGATTTCAGATTACGCGAAGCAATTCCTACGCTGTATATGTGCTAGTCAACGCCTCATGAGCTGCAAGGCTGCTACACTAGTATTTCACATCATACGGATTACATACAATACAATACACAGAGCTCCCCCGTATGTAATTGCAAGGGAGCAGCTTACGTGGCGGAATAGTTGCTACAACGTGGCTTTGACGACGGCGATACCAATCGCAGTTATGCTAGAAGCTTCAAGACGCGATGTCTTCACGCAAGTGAATCTTCTTTGGGAATGGCGTCTTCAAGTCATCAATAGGCGATCCATAACATTCGCAATGACGAAGTTTCAGGGTGCCTCGTGGCGACGATAGCGTGATTGGGCATACATATGTACACTATGGATAGTGTATGGGTCAGGCGCTCCGCTTCGTTGCGAAACACCTAACGCCAGGGCTGTCGGCGAAATTCCTTCTACCTAGCTGGTGTCTTAGTCTAATGTAAGTAACAGGGCCGAAACGCTTCGAACTTCCTTCTAGAAGGACTAGAAGGAGTCTACGGAATAAGGACCAGGCTGTATGGAGTGATAGAGCCCGGTAGTTCAGTCCGGCTAAGGTTGGGCGGCGCTCGCTTCAGCAGCTAAGAAGCAGCTAAGAGAGTCAGGGCAACGGCAGCGCGTTCGAATTAGGAAACGCGCGCGAGTCAAGAGATTGGCCGCGTGTTAGACTAAAGTTGACTGAGTCGACGATGCCCTGTCGCCGGATGCTCATCCGTCCCGCGGGAACGCTAGAACGTCTGAGAGCCCGCTGGTGTCATTTCATGCTAATCACCCCCCCGGGCAAAACAGGATATGGTGGATATGGTATTCCAATCGTCCTAAGCACAGATGCGTATGGGTTAGGATTACTACGAAGAGAGGCCGTGCGTGAGACGGGGAACTATGATAGTGTACCATAGTTTTGTTTTCACGCTACGATAATTTGAACTAAAAAAAAATAATAAAAAATAAGAATTTTTATTATTTTATTATTTTGCTTTGAATATTTTCTGGTCTTAGCATATTTACTTCCGTCGCTGGGACCTACTGCATGTACATCACTACGTACCTAACCTATCTCATCATCACGACTGGGATACCTAGTCCCAGTCGCATGGCTGACAGCGGGAACATTCCCCAGATCTTCTCTTCAGCTCAACGACATCAATAGTGTATGTAAGTCTTCATTGATTATCTAAGTTGCTAATCATCGGGGATAAGATAGAATTCTCGCTCTTTAGGTATTCAAAGTATCATTGTCTATAGTTAGTATGTAAAAGAAATGTCATATGCCCCTAATGGCCGTTGTTTGTTTGCTATCTTTTAAAGAGTGACGATCGTGTGACAGGTCATCGGCTATTCCGACCAACAATAATTAAATGGGGTAATGCCGTAAGGAGGCTGTTTGATACCATCGTGAGAACCGCAGAAAAAGAATATTAAAATGATATATAAAATAAAAATAATGGTATGGGATAAAAAGAAGTGGAAACGCCAGCCAGGGTACACGAAATGCTTCTCCACATCCATCACGTCTACTATTGCACGTGTAGTATGTAATGTAAACAATGGTCAAGAAGATCTGGAACTCGAAACGATCACGGGATCTGTGCTTCCCAAGTCGGAAATCCAGGGCTCTGGTCGGTGTCTGTTCTTATTGTTGCGATTCTTATTAAAACCCAATTAAGATGACGGACCCGCCGACACGGTGATTGGCTTGAAGCCCAACTAATAATAGCTAATAATATAGGTACTACGGATTAGTCCCGAGGTTAGTCAAATGATCAAAATGGGGCAACCCGGATAAGCCTTGCTATCAATGCTATCAATGCGATCCATTTGCTATCCGTCCGTCAATGCGTAACAATCATGCCGTTTCGAAGAGCATTTCATGATTGATGATTGGTGGAGCTACTTCCTCTGAAGTCCACGGGTATTGCTATGGATCTTATGTAATTGATCTTATGTAATTGCTATGTTCCCCGCCTAAAAGTCACAAGCCCGGGGAGCCATTTCGTCATGTTTGTTTTTCTTACCCCTTTCCCGGTAACAAACTGGTAAACTGGTAAGGGGCTGACATCATTCAATCACATGTATTCCCTTATCTACGTAATCAAGCTGGGATCAAACAAGGAGACAAACATACCGCCCAAAGCTTAATGAGCTGTGCAACATAGTGCGGCTTGAAAGAAAGCTTAGGTAGTTAAAACTATTGTTACTAAGCATTGTGTAGATCACCTAGACTTGCGAAACGAACCTTCACGTCATGCCGCGAGACAATGTCTTCAAGTGGAGATCGAGCCTCAATTGTCAAGCCACAACCAAACAACTACCTACTTCCAAAAGAGGAACCTACCCTAAACGGATGGGGCTGATGCTTTACAGCACTTATACTTATACTTATACGCTTTCATTGACATTTGTAGTTCATTTATAGAAGGACTTCTCTTATTTACAGTGTGTCACGGCACGCCAATCTTTCAGGTTGGCAATGGCAGACAACAGCAGCAAAGAAGAAAGCAAAGAGGGGCAGAAGCAAAGGCCGACAACCAAAGAAAAGCTAATAGAAGAAATCACCTCGCGCATCGAAGAATCGAAGAAGCTCCAAGAGGAGTCCGTACAGCTCCACAAACAAGCCGACGAGGCAGAAGATCCCCATGTCGCCGAGGATCTGAAATTCCGCGCTCAGGAGCTCGACGTGAAAGCTGCTAAGCTGCTGAAGATAGCTAAGCGCCTCGAGTCCGGCTGGCTACAGGGCGGCGCCACTGGTGCCGGTATAGGGGTCGGGATAGCCAGCGGACTTGGCGTTACCGTCGGATCTTTGGTCAGTGGTTTAGTAGCTATCCCCACCACCGGCATAGGTATCTTAGTCGGTATGGGCACGGGCTTGGTGCATGGTCCTTGGGTCAAGTTCAGCGAGGCGTTTAGTAAGGACCAGGTTGACGAAATTGATAAAGAGGCTGAGGAAGAGGCTCGTCGGATCGGCGGGGCTTAGAACTAGTAACATTGGGAATCTAGGAAAAGATCTTATGCTTTGACGAGGGGTACATTTAGAGCGAGCGCAGGTTTGGGTTTAACGCGAATGGGTATGAGGCTATGCAATATTATATCTATTTTTCTAGGTAAAGGACGATGATTGGGTATATTACTTGGCTATGATGATGGCTACGAATTCGATGATATATTATGGTACTGATCAGAGGACACTTATGCCTTATTGGGCAACCATCCACTCCTTAAGGGTTCATGTGCTTCTTCATAGTTAGTTCGAACTAGTTATTTCATCAGATTTCTTAGCCGCCCTAATGTTATAAGGTTCTTATCCATATAGACGCTAAGCACCCAGCCTTGGACTTCATAGGTCGTTCACTGCCTTGATGGCGGATAGTCTAGCTACTAAGTTCTTACGCAAAGACAGCTGTATGTTAACTAAAAAGGCATAAGACGATTATCATATGATATTGTCCTGTGGCGCTAGCAGAGTTGTCCCCTTCCTCTCGTGATCACTTTATTGTTCCTCATCAGCAAGTAATAATAGAATGACGTATTTGAGCTACCTATAAATTACATATGATTACCTACCTCTCGTGCTTTCCCGGCAGTGGCATAAATGAAACTACCGTATCATAATCCAGAGAATTCATCTCTTTATCGTAGTAGTTCAAGGAGAGGAGGCTATGAATTCGGTTAAAATCACTATAAGTATAAGAGCTGCTGGGTCTGGGTCAGTCTTACCGCGTTGACTTAGTCCTAAGTCCCTATGAGATGTCGATTGCAGTTCTCTCCCAAACGAAGTTAGCTAAGCTCTCAACCATATTATTTAACGAGAACCTTTGGCTAGGAAGTTGAACTATAGTTAAGGCCATAAGCCAAGCGTAATAGTCACTTCAAATTTCTAGGGCGCAAGTCCTTCGTTGAACTAATACCCCTTTATATCTGACTATGAAGTCTAATTCAACCTCATCGTAGAAACCAAACACGACTTACCCTCAAGGCTTTATTCATTATCACTACTGGCCCCTTTATGTCCAGTCGCGTAAAGAATAGCTGCAATGGCCTCTCGGTAACCATTAAGACGCTATACTTGCGTATTGCTATGGTCCCAGCATCAGGGACAACAATGAATACCTACTCATCCGTGCAGCTTCAATTGACGCTCATCCTTAATCTATGTCGCTTCAACTCGATGGGTTGTAATTATAAATGGGCTTAATAGGTAATGAGTAGGGCAGTGCAAGGACGGAACCCCTTTATCAAGCACGGATTTCTTGGTTTACAGGGGTTCTTTCTTGAGACAACTTGAGATACCAACTCGAAAGCATATTGCACAGTCAAGAGGAGAAGCCAGTCTCCTCATCATGAATCAATCATATCTGGCAACGAGGCTGTTACACCTATGCCGGCTCAAATGAGTTATTATAGTTAGAGACAAGACAAGTCCAGAATGGCCCGTTAGAATGGTCACCTACCGTACGGCAGAAGCACCTTAATACAACCCCTCGAAACCCGACAGCAGCTCTAATGCGCATCTAGGTGAAGGAACTGTCATTATAGCCCACAACTCTCTTGTTGCAAAACCTTGGTGTTATGCTAATCTCCCTAAGGATACCGAACCTAGTCTACATAGTACTAATAGTACTATTCTAACATAGCTAATGGCGCCTTAACAAAGTCCTCTTCTACTACGATAACCTAAGACGGGCGGTACTATAACGACCTCAAGGCCACTGTTCGTAGCGTAGGATGCAATTTCTAGGGGGATCCAAGTTAATAAAGGACATTGGGATAACATACTAGTTGCGACTACGAGTGCCAAGGACTAGAGAGATAATACTCAAGCATGAGCCCGATTTCCCGCATTGAATCTGACCGCTACCAAAATCCGCCGGACCCCCTTTTCCAGTTTCGTAGACTTCTATCAAGAAGTGCATCTATCAAGAAGTGCATCCGGGTCTATGTCTCATTCAAGCTCTGTGGACTACCGGTGCCTCATTTAGAATCAGGGATAGATAATTCCTTCCCGACGTCTACTTCAGACGATTATCTCCGATGCGAAATATATTGATGCCCTCGTATGATATTATTCCATCTACAACGTTGCAATCGCTATATATATTCTCAATAGATGTCTTGATTGAAATTACAGGGGGAGCTGAATGAATCTATGCTTGGTAGACAACGACCAAGACCCAAAAGTAGAAATACACATTGTACCTACGCATTTGGAAGGCCTACTATCGAACAGACGTTTAATTTAATCGAGCTGCGCTCTAAATTGTTGCCACTCCAGCGGTGTTAAGTGAAGCTGAATGCCTTCTATCCAATTATTTCGGTATAACCTTAACTTCACAGACCGAAAAAGTGTTGAGCCTTGCGCTTAGTTATTATTACCTCTTCCGGGAATACGAGTGGTGGCGGCGCGGCTGTTGTAACCTTACAACTTGTGTCCCGAATCGGTGGTGACACGAAAAGCTCAGGTGCCTGTCAGGGCTTGTCAGGGCCAGATCCTCCTCTCCGAGACATAACGGGAAGGCTGAAGAACACCGTTTGTCCCGACAAATCTATTGAGGGTGTGAAGACAGTTGTCAAGGCTGAGTTGTCAAAAATTGTCTCAAATCGAACGCGTGACAGCATCCTACGTCCTTGGGGGGGTGGCACCGAGCCTCTGAAACATTATTCCCATTCCCACGAAAAAGGGTGTGCTGACTTATTTCGGGTCTTACCCTACCTTACCTTACCTAACAACTGCCTAGCCTCCTCTCCATCCAGATCTCGTACCGTTAATCTCCACGTCGTATGGCGAGGCTCTCTGGAGAGGACGCGGGGAAGGATCATCAGACCAAGCATAACGGGAGCCCGCGAACGGAAGCTGGGCCTAGCCTCCCCGGGGGGGCAATCTTGTGCATCGCCAAGAATAATATAGGGCTTTTGATTACTCTTGGTACACTCCATCACATATGTCGCACGACTACAAACTCTTCACCGCCGATTACATTATCCGATCATCACTCGTGGTGTGTCAGTGTCAGTTGCGCCCGTTGGCCAGCTTAAGACAGACCCTACGAGCTACCGTAGACGAAGAGCCGGGTTTACCTAAGACTCAACTTACGCGTCTCAGGCACACATGAGCCAGATCACAGCTGTCGCAATAGCGCAGGCCTGCGGCACGGTTTGATCACAGCCTAATAAGTAGTACCAAGTAAAAATAACGTCACTAACGGAAGCCATTCGAGGAGGAAGAATTGAATATGCCCCTGGCCGTGGCTAGACCATCTAGATGTCCATCAATCTAACTACGATAGCCCCTTGACCTAGAAGCCAACGCAACGGTAGCAACCACGGAGATATTTTTGACAGCCAGCCTAGCCATGGAGTGCCGTACTTGATGATATGATGCCTCGTGAGTGCCGTGCCTTGGTTCCTGGAGATAGATTATGGGGGAAAAGCAACCCTCCACACCGGCAACCGATCCGTACCCCAAGCGTTGGAGAAGGGGGGAGAAAGGAAAAAAATTTCAAAAGAAAAAAGGATAGTAGGCCCCCGCAGCGAGTCCATGACCTTATGAACCCTCGTGTCCTCCTCGCCGGCTAAATGGCGCGCAGTCGAGGCGTGCCGACTTCGATTCAACCGGCGAATTTACCCAAGGCCCTGAGAGCCCGTCGGGACCTCCTACGGAGCAGGGGGCGGCAGCCCGCCCGCCTTTATAGAACCCTGGAACCGATCTCCCGGGATCTTTGGGACGGAACCTACGGGGATTTATGTAGGGGCGTGCCGCTGCGCAAACCCAGCCAATTCCGCCGCGATGGCTTTTTTTTTTCGGCTGCGGCAATGTATGTATGTAGTGTATATATCGCAAACCCGTTAACCGGCGGGTTACAAATAACGAACGAACGACCTACCCCTGGATCCGAGGCAACGCCATGGGTCGGCTACCGTTCCCTTCAGGTCGCCACCTGAGGAGAGTAGGAGTTCCATCAATATGTATATATTAATTATATCTCCATAAAATAGACTACAACCTACAGCCTACAAGGCGTGCAATACGTGCGTAGGGACTCCAAAATCTTTCTGGGGTGCATGAAGTTTAAAAAACTTGTTCGGTACGACGGCCCCCAGATCTACCCCCGCGGTACGCCAGCCCACTTATGCTACGACATGCCTCATCGTCATTGTCTTTGTTTTTTTATATTGTTTATTTTATTTTATTTTTTTCCAAAAAATTAAATTATTATTTTTCCACGGCGTTCATCTTCTTTATTTCTCGGTGTCCAGGATCATCATCGTTGATGGCTAAATGGTGAGACGGATCTGACTAGAGTTTGGTTCAAAGATCTGGATTTAGAGACATCGTCATCCTAGTCTCCTTACCTATACCTACCCCATTTTGACCGCTATACTACTAGAACAGGACACTTAGAATAAGACACTTTTCTAAATTGCTGCTGTAACGCGACTCGTCCTACGCCGTGGTGCTAGGTATGTAAGTGATAGAGATCCCGCGTAACCGGGCCTTCAAGACTGCTGTTGGTAGACGTTGTGCAGTTTACTAATTATACTCGCTTGGCGGAGGATGATGGTACACACTCAGTGACCGGTGATGACCACGCTTATCCTGACTCGAAGCTAGAGTTCTCTGCCTGAGACTCTTTCTTACTGACGATCGTATGAGGCGTATATGGGATTGCACACACATACGTTCCTATTCTGTCTAAGTGGCAACCCTGCTCTAGTTTCACTGCAGTGCACAAGAGGATCGATCATTTCGGGGGCACTACTATAAATGGCATATTTGCACGAGTTTCTGCGTCGCGTGACCCCAGGTCTCAGCTACTCACATATACAATCGCGATGGCACGTCGTGACAAATCAGAAGAGAGACATTGTGCCTGGGGCTAATAGGTCTAGTTTAGGAAAATGTGATGCTGGGACTTTGTTCTTCGTTTCTAGAAGTCGAGATTACTCGTGGCTGACTAGGACCTGGGTTGAGAACTACATATATCGGATAACTACTAGTATTGCAGATGCAGATACCCTGGCTTCCCCACGGAATAGTCACCTACTATTCCTGAGACCTGCTATTTGAATATTTGCCTCGGCCCTTGAATAATGTCCGCCGGTCCGAAGATCATTCGCATGTGTTATTATGAACGCACCTAGCCGTTTCTCTTTCTATGCAACAATGCGGTTTTGACTCTTTTACCTTAGGTACCTAACCAATACCTACCCAGGTTCAACGGAGAAATCAACCCGGACTATTTGCTAGTCGGCGACTTCTCAGCACGGCGGTGTGCATGTTG